ATGGTCCTGATCATCACCTGTTGAAGACATTTGTATCATGGAACAAAAGATTATGACGATGAAAACCTGACATATATCAACAAAAATCAGACAATCTACTTTCAAAACTTTAGAAACTGGTCTTCTTAGTTTCCCATCCGTAAAAAAAGAGACTTCTTTTAAACAAATAGGTACCACATTTTCAACTAAAAGTTTTAAAAATCTTTTGAGAACTTAGAAAAATTAGTAAACCACATATTCCCGTTTCTAAAAGTGTTAATGCCTAAGCAGTTTAACATTCAAGTTTCACCGGCTCTCCGTGAAGAACAAAACAATTTCTTCTTTTTATTAGAAATCATGGTTGACGAAATGTCAGTGATGGCTGGTTTGGTCTGTTTAGTAGAAAAGGTTGCTTTATGCTTTCAGCTTGAGACCCTGTAGCTCTGTGCAAATTCACCACACCACAAAACTCATTTGACTGTGTAGTCTGAACTTGGCTGTACGCCTGAGCACATTTGAGAAGCCCATTTGGAGATGTTTTCTGCACTAAAATAGTACAATGCTTAAGAAAAAAAAATCCTATTTAGTGGGACTTTGTCTTTTTGAGCGTGGCGTCATGCTAAAAACCCTATTTTCGCCGGGAACGGCCACCCTATCACAAACTCTGCAGGGGAGCCACATTAGAGGTAATGTCATCCACAGTTTAGCCCTCCACTCCTCATTCCTCCATCTCTCCCCTAATGAACTCCCACTGAATTACCACTTCACCAGCGCCCTGCCTTTTTATGATTCTATTTGTTTATCTATCTCTGATTTCCTCCCTCGTCTTCCTCGCGCCCGGGCACGCACCGGCTCTTTAATTTTATTGGCCACCGTTAGCGAGCGGCGAGTCGAGGCGTTTGGCTCGTCACATAAACCGCCACCACCGCCCCCCCAAACCCACCTCCACCCCTGTTTGTGAGATTAGCAGATTAGGGTGCTCATCAGTCAGGGAGGGACCCCCGCCGTGGCAGGCCGCGGCCAAATCACACAAACATCTCTGGAAGGCATTGTGCCGTAATTGAATGCACAATAATTTCCCCCCATTAATACATCGCTCATATCGCAGCTTCCGCATGAAATGCCCACATTATCTGTTGCATTTATCTGTTAATGTCTTCACTCAACAGTAAATTTAATAGGAAGAGTGAAGGGGAGTGGGTGAACAAGTGCAGGAAAGAAAACACGAAAGCTTTCTCATTTTTCATTCATCTCTTCTGAGTAGTTGTCACAAGAGAGACGCAGAAACGATCACAACTGGATCCAGCTGCTCCTGCGACACCTCTCACACCTGCTGAGGTTCACTCACGCTGACAAGAAGCTGCTCTCCGGTCATCACTGATTAATGTCGCCTCACGGTTTGTGAGTAATCCTGCTTTTTAAGGCCACATGGAGTGATTTAAAGTGTCTCCTTTTTCAAAAAAAAAAAACTTTTGCAATCAAGTATTCTGTCTCTATGAACCCATAAAAACAACAGCTGCGGCATACCAGGGGTGTCACCAAGAATTCTGGGTCCCAAAGATGTTTCACAGGGCCCCACCACCACCACCACAGCCCGAGGTAACAAATTTTATGTGCAGGGAAGTATTGAAATGTTATTTATACACAACCTGAGCATGAAGAGGACAAGGTAGGCTTTGTCCACAGGAGGCTGGGCTCGACAGTGCGACCATTTCACTCGCATTTGCGACTAAAAATAGATGTGTGCAAATTGTAACATGTCTGGGGCACATGTGCGCATAAAAAAATCAGGCAACATATGATTTTTCCTGAAAATACTGCTGTGAAGTTAGTTTTAGGTTGGATACCCGATGGACATTCACTGCGGATCTACCGGTGTCTTCTCACTCTCCATAACCGAGACTAGTAACAGGAGCACGTTTGAATCTACTCGGCATCCCTGCTGTCAGTGTCGGGTATTGACTAAGGGACCATCAATAAATTACCAGTTGATGTTCTCAGAAAAGGCTGTTTCCTTTCAATAGGTTCCATGTCATGTGACCAATTGACCTTAAATTGATATCAAACAATAATACTATATCAACCGGTAAGACACGCCTCTTTAGTTCCGTAATTTGTCCTACTAAATATTTTGTGTGAAATTTAAAGGCGCATTTTGAACATTTTCTCCAGTAGCCTCCATGTCACGTGACCAAAAGACCCAAACTGATTTCAAATAATAGTACTTATGTCGACCAATAAGACAAACATTATTTGATCAATTTTCATTTTGCCCTTAAAGTTCTTTGTGTGCTTCTTACTTTTCAAGCCCTGACAGGAGGCGCCACAAATTACATGAACCAAAAGTTTCTCACAGAAGCTTTAAAGTAAAATTAAAACTACTAAATTAAAAATAAAAATAAAGCTGTTTCTATTGCTGCGTGGCTGACACCCACCGCCTTGTACCTGTTTTAAGCAGTAAAAATGACCTTATCCAAATGGTCAGTCACATTTCTGAAAATCTTATTTTGCCTTTGGATAACATGAATAAGAATCAATGTGAATTTTAAAGTCAGCTCTACCATAGATTTAAAAACTGTTCAGACCATGATTTCATTTTACTTTGTGCCTCATTACAGCCAATGGTGTAATTATATTTGAATGCCTCAGACCCTCAGGGAAATACTGAGATAAAAAAAGAAAAAAACTATGAAGAAACAAAAATGTTCTCTGTCTTTAACATCTTTAATGTATTTTTTTCGATTGGTTAGACTCTCAGATTAAATTTTCTATTGGTATTAATAAATAACTTACAATTCTTATAAACCTAGTTAGACACAGCCACACTAACCTTGATGGCACAACAAGAATGGTTCCCCTCAATCCATCCTGAAAAACTGAACATTAGGGAAGACAAATTACTTAATGATAATCTCATTTGAATGTTTTTTTTTTTTTTATTATCAAACTCATTTAAGTCCAACCTTCCACTGGAACAGGAATAGTGCACCTCAAAGATTCAGCAAAAGACAGAGATAACTGTTCCAACCGACGCCTAAAAGCTCTCCAGCAGTGCTCTAATAAATACTCTCAGTGTAACAGTGCTTTTTAACCTTTTTAGTTCAAATGCTGGTTTGTCAGTGCAGCTTTTTCTGTTTATTAATAGTCAGATAACAGTCAAAGAAATATAATGTTCACTGGAAAAAAAACAGCAAAGAGGTTAACACGTTCAATTAGAAAACATACATATTTATTGGGACATCATTTAACTTGAGAAAAGGGTGTATGCATGTTAAAACTGCTCTGTAAAAAAACATTTTAGAGGAAATTATTCCTATTTTTCCATTTCTTTTAACCTAACAATATATGAGGACAGGGATGCATGTGTGTGCATGACTGTATTTGAGTGTGTAGTTGATAACGCATACAAAACATTTAATATCTTTTTTAGCAGAAACAATGTGGATTTCGTGTTGCCATATCAGTTTTATATGAATATAATGAGTTTCTAGATGGAGGAGGGTGTATTTTTTTTAAATTGTCTCTCTATCTTTATCGCTTTTCACTGTTTCCATGTGTATCATTGTCATTTTCTTCAAAACTTATATCATCATAATAAGATGTCGGGTATTGTTTCCATTATAGTTTCGTAATAAATCCCTTTTCAATACAGTGATATTTGCTGTACAAAATGGTAACACATAAATCTTTCAAAATCATGTTTCAAAATTAACTTTGAAAAAAAAGTTATTGACATTTTCTTTTTTTCTTGTTTTAAAATAAATACAAACTGAAAAAAGTAAACCTTTATAATTTCCTAATTTATACATGAAAGGGTTGAGTAATACATGCCTAAGAGTTTTCAAACTAATTGACCTTCTTTATTTCTTTATTTTGGTGAAAAGCAAAAAGAAAATGTAAGCTGAAAGTAAACAGAGCCAAGGCCGCCCAAACTCTTTCTAACAGCTTTTAAACTTTTGATTGTTTTTGTGTTTTTTTTTCTGTTTTGTATTTGACTTCTGAGTGAGTGTCTGACTTCTTGCTTACCACAGCTGAGTGAATCATAACTTTGTCTAACACATGAAGCATTCGTGGATCTGAGCGGCGCAGCAGCCTCCTCTGTTTAATCTGCACTTTTGTTTCTCTCTGCTCCATGTCCAACACAGTTATTGTGCTAAGTTATCTCCAGTCTCCATGCTTCAACATACTCCAAAACACACAAACACCAGCGTGAACTCAACTCTCACTGTTGCCACTCAAGCCTGATCCTGTGAATGTTGCCATGGTTTTGTAGCCTAGCGACCCGCATATGTTCCTGTGTGTGTGTAGTGTATATGTGAAAGCGTCACACACACACACTCACCTTTAATTCTCTTTCCCTTCAGCAGCCTGCAAACACTCAGGGATAAGTGCCTGACGTGCTAGCCAAACAATAGACATATTAACTCTTGCAATGACTGCTGGTGGGAGTGTTTGTGTGTTTGTGTGGGTACACTGTAAGTGTGTGTGTGCAGAGACGCAGAAGCTGCACAGGTAAGAAGTTGGGGGTTTGAAGAGATGCAGAGTCACATGTTTTCAGATGTTGTCCAGATTCGTAGTTTTTTTGTACTTCAGAATGAAAATACACAGATTTCATTAAGGATATTATCTTTTTGTCATACTTCAATTATATATTAAAAGCACATATCAAATTAAAGCGCCACAATTCTGCATGTTTCATTAACACACCAGCTAAAATGGTGTGTTTAAAATTGGATCGTCTTGAATTTGGCTGAAATAGCAGCATTCATTCACAGAAATCGATAACACCACCTATTCGTAAAGCTTGTTGACCCCTCATGATTGAGACTAGCTGTCACTCACAACCACAGAACAGAGGGGATGAAAGATGGAGAGACACTGTGATCGTCAGGACTCAAAAGAAGGCCGAGTTAGCCCTCAGCTGAGGCTGGGTTATGAGGCCAGTTTTGAGATTATGGTAATGAATGCAGCAGAGTCATTAGACAAGTCTTTAAAATGTTAATGGACAGAGGGAGTCTTACCATGGTCTTCAGGGCAGCATCCTCCATGAGACTGGTTGGGGAGTGGGCACATTTCTGAAAAAAACAACAAAAAAAAAACAACACAGTTAGTCCATTAGCAGAGATGTCATCCTGCTGAAATGAATTTGAATTCTGCAGTCTTATCGATGATGACAGCTGCTTTGTACGAAGTTGCTTTGTATAGCCCTATCTTGATTTTTAAAATGATTTTCCAGCTACGGTGTAGATCAGTAGGAAATGTTTTCAGGACTTTGTTTTAATTTTGTTTGCCCGTTGTTTTGGCGTGAATTGTTAGAAAAGTCATTAAAATGTTGTTGACTAAGTAGTACCCCATTGAGCAATAGACGGCTATTAGACGTCTAGTTTTTTTAAATTTCAACCGTCTAGATTCTGTTTTTTTTTTCTTTTTTAGACGGAATTTAGAAGTTGCACTTTAATCCATCATTGGATAACTATTTATTTCAAAAAGTAACTGTGAGTTTCAGAACTGATCTCCAAGTACTGAACCAAAATAATTATGATAGCTGTTAAGCAATATACAGTGTAATAAAAACATAGCCCATATTAAGACTTGGTCTAAACTTGGTCTAAATTTAGACGTCAAAAAAACTTTTATTTTTAGACCTGTGGTAGCCTGATTTTAGACCAGTCATCTAGGCTACATTTAGACGTCTATTAGACCTCTTTAGACCAAAAAAGGCTCAGTGGGACAGGTTTGCCCATGCTCACTGTTATATTAATAAACGTGGGCAAAGTAAGCTTCAACTTCAGCCTGCATATTTTTGAGTTGATTCATAATAATTATCAGAACCCATTGCCCCATTGGTGATTATTTTAACTTGTGACAAGCAATACAAGACTTATTTCTGCTGGCTATATCTTTAAACTAGATGTTCACCTTGATTTGTCAGGTGAATGTGGTTTATGAGAGCTGATAAAACATTTCACATATTCTTACTGTAATTAAGATAAAAAAACATGAGCTGGGTTTGAGTTTAGGGGCTGCATTTTGCAGGAACATTGCACAGGGCGTGATAATATGTTCTCAAGTGTATCTACAAGGATTGAGGAGGGAGAGACAAATGACATTTCATTTAAGATTAAGTTTAACACGAGGGCTATCAGAAATGCAAATACTGAGAGAAAGCCATGCAAGCCAATGGTGACCTGAGCAAATATACCTCCTGCTTTTGTTAAGTGCATTTAGACAGAGCACATAGCTGAAACTGCATTTTGCATCAGCCTCTTGATGTAAAAATCTGTTGTATATGTGTGCATTAACAGTGGGGGACTTTGCACTCAGAAATGTCTGTCACAGCACTGTTAAATAGTTCAACAATAAAGCCAACCAGAGCTCCAAAGTGTCTGTTCAAACAGCTGTGAATGCATCTGTCAGTAAAGATCGGTAAAGGTCTAATCAAAATCAGACAGAATAAAAACAATCATTTGATGCTTTTTAGGTTTAAATCATACACAACATCGATGGTTGAATGTAGGTGAAGTTTACACATCATTCTTATTCAGTGTGCTGCAGTATTTCCTGTGTACAGTGGAGCTGTGGAGTTGTGTATTTGCACGCCTGAGTCTGAACCTCTCTGTGTGGCTCTGTGCTGTTTGTGTGTGTGTGCCATATGTGTGCGCGGACTTGCTCAGGGAAGCGCACCGCCCTGCGGATGACACTCAGAATGCATTATAACCATTAATGAAAAAGTTAATGGGGCATTTTCTTACATATCAATTTACATTTGGACTATTTGGGTGCACAAATGATGTCTGGGCGGTCGCGGCCAACGCCACTCGGCTCCGAAACAGAGAGGTCTAATGTGTTTTTGTGGACATCAAATGTTGTGAATAATGACGCGTCCACTGAATGCAAATCAGATGACACTTGATAGGCCATGATCAACAGTGCCTGCACAGAAACTTTCACCCACAGACACAAAGAAAGAGAGAGAGGACACGGAGGGAGCTGCTATCAACACAACAAAACATTTCCCTGCCGTATTACACCTTTCATATATGATGTACAGCTACATCTCTTATCTTGCATAAACCACACATTCATGTATGCAAAATACTGTGTTGTATCATAAACCAGAGGCAGTGCATTTGCAAAGCACGCACGCACACACAAACAGAGTCTCCCTCTGTTTTATGTCAGAAAAACCATAACATAATGCTCCCTAATGCATGACACACTGTAGTATTTGAGTGTATTACTGTCATCATTTTTCTGCGAGGGAGCTGAGAGTAAGTTCTGCCAAGTAGTCACCTCTTGGCCCCCCGAGGGTTAACAACACTGGAATTGGCCTTGAGGGGTGGGACTGTCAATTTGGGGGCTGTTAGCCTGAGGCGTGCAGACAGGAGCATATGCACACACACACAAACACAAACACACACACAGAAAAGCGAGGGTGCTGTTGTTCATTTTATTTAGCTTGTGACTCTGGGTTCATTTTCAGTTGATTAAAAAATAAATAACAATAAAATGAAAGACGGCGCGTTGACAGTACTGTAGAAGTCCTCCCAGAGGTTTCAACTCTCCACAAGCATGTCCCCAGTTGGCAATTAAAGTATTTAAAGGCCCGGTGTGTAGTTTCTAACACCATTAAGCAGAGCAGACTTGATGGAAATGGTATATTATATTCATGGGCTAGTTTAAATTTGTATATAATCACCTGGATATCAGAACTGTTTTGTTATTGTGAACTTGGAATGAGGGTAAGTCCCCCTCCACAGAGTTTTTGTTTGAAGAGTGGCAACAAGTTAGTGCTGATAGAGTAAAACTTTCCAAATGTAGAATCATACTTGTCATGTATCACAAGAGCTTCTTGTCAACAAAGATCAAAAACGACTTATAGACATGAAGGGAGAGCAAGAAGGATCCACAATCTAAAATCTGACTGCTGGACATCACTCAATACAGTGTTGTTTTTGGCAGGCATTTTAGATTTAGTTTTAGTCTTAGTCATTTTGACGAAATGCTTCTTCGTTTTAGTCCCATTTTAGTCATTTCTATCCTTGATAGTTTTCGTCTAGTTTTAGTCCGAGGAAAACTCAAAAGGTTTTCGTCTAGTTTTAGTCGACGTAAAGGTGCCTTTTGAGGTTCGTGGTGTTCTTTCCCGACAGTTTGAAGCATGAGGAAGCTGTGGCTCCACAACTGTCGTCTGTCTCGTCTCCCTGTCCCGTGTTTTATTGTCACTTTTATTTTATTGTCACTTGAACTGTATCTGAAGTAGGACCAAAAATCATCCCTCTTTTTTCGGCCACCGGGCACCGCTGCTGTGCCTGCCGCCACGGTGTGTGTGTGTGCGCGCCTCGTCCACCTGCCGCTATGTGTAAGTGAATGAGTGTGTGCGCGCAGCTGTGCGCGAGCGAGGCTTTTGGTGCGTGTGTGATGGGGGCGTGACTGTTAGGACAAAAAAAAGCATGTTTTGAAACTTTGTTTGTCCACCTAATAACAATTTAGTCTCGTCTCGTTCTCGTCTGACGAAAATGAATACAATTTTCGTCACATTTTAGTCTTTACAGAGCTTTGGTGACGTTCGTCTTAGTCTCATTTTCGTCAAGGAAAAAAGGGGTCTGACGTCGTCATTTAAGTTTTCGTCCTGCCTGACGAAAACAACACTGACTCAATATTCCCCTTTCTACACACTGTAGCTTTAAGTGTATCAATACAAGTTTGGCATTACAAGTCAAAAGAGATGGCAACTCTGCTGGACCGACAGCCAAATAGCGTCCATTTAGTGTCTATAGTGTCTGTTGACTTATAACAGGAGTAGAATAATGGTGCTTGAACAGCAACTGGGTATCAATCATGTGACTCTCCTGGTTGTTGCTGCCATCTTTAGGACTGTACCGCCATCAGGCTCTATTGAAAAAAAACAGTTGGTTGTATGAAAACCATCCATGTTCCTGATGACATAGTTGTCGAATAAATACATAACATTATCTTGGTTTGGATCCTAGTTTACTCCAAAGTGACGTGTGAGCTTCGCAGAAGTCTGCAAGTAATTTCCAATTTTGTAATTTAGCGGCGTTAAAATCTATCTTGTCTACATCCTCTCTCTCTATACTGAGGAGTCCTTTATGAATCTTTAGAGGACCAGAGTTTGCTGCTGCTTCAATGAAGGATGTGTTTATGATCCTAAAGTTTATCAGGGGGGCTTCGTGATTGGAGGGGTGGGAATTTACTGAGAGATGCATAAACTCACATTACCAGCTTGAAAATTAACGCAGCTTGATATAATTTAAACTGAACATTACACAATCTAACCTAACCATAGCTAAAGTAAAACTAGCCAGCTTTCTTAAACAATGTCACATAAGTGTCTCTCGAAAAACATACATTTGTGTCCTAAACTGCAGAAATATACATGTGAACATTTTAATATATGTGACGGATCAAAACGTATTCGCCCTGAGTGGCAAATAAGTTACTCTAAAAAACATGTATTTGTCCTACATCTTAAAGCCTGTTAATCTGATTATGTTGATTTTTTTTTCCTTAATCTCTTGTAGTTTTAATTGAAAAAGTAAACACTTGGCCTCCTGTGCCTGGCCCGTAGAGTAAAATGTCTAATGACCGTATCTGGGGGTATTTGAGGGGCTCTTACTTTGACTCGTGACTCCTGGAGTGCAAAGAATCAAACAGAAAAAGAGGGAAACTCAGAGTTCAGGCTTCTCTGCTGGTGTTTTTCAGCTTTCAGAGGTGTGTGAGTCGACTTAATTGCCTAATGGCTTTGAGGAATTCTACCTATTTCACTTCCCCATCTCCGCTCTCATTTTCATTACCTCGTATTGCTACTTATTCCCCTAAAATGGGCATCGCACCTGATACTTTACATAAACAATTGCAAATGAAAAGCCACCCCGCAGTTTCCCCTTTTCCTCTCATCGCTCCCCTCCCTTTCACTCCTTCCAGGCTCACCTCTCTCTCATTATCCCATTCCTTTACTTCCCGCCCCCCCTTCCCCCTCCTCACCCCGCTCACCCCCACCCCTGTTACTGGCGAGTGGGCGAGAGCGATGGGCAATAACCCAGCACGCCGCTTTTCGACTTAGCGCTACCTGCTATGCTAATATCATTAATCAATAGAGCCCAGATTGTCTTCACCGCGATTCGAAGGATCTAAGGGTCCCAGTGGTGCACAGGTACCTTTTTATTTTTTTTCCTCCTCCCTTCTTCTCGCTCTCTCTTCTTGCACAAAAAAAAAAAAAAAGCTCATTTGCGAAGGCCCCCAAGATGGCCGACTTAATGACGGCCACAGAAGTTTTTCCAACAAATTTCATGGGGCATGATCCTAAGATAATAGCTTTTCAGCCCCAATGACAATCCAATTACCGTGCCAATCAAAGCCCACGGCATGCTGTCTAATTATGATCAAATCTGGCTGTCAGCTCAAATACTAAAACAGCAGCTTTAAGTCCAACAAATCACAGTTTAGAGACGGAGCCCAGTTTGTTCATCCATGATCAGAGGTAGGGTTTAACTTTCTGTTTGACAAAAAAAAAAAAAAAAAAAGATAGTCCTGTTTTGTGAGAGTGCGTTGATGTGATATTTGACACAGCACACTCAATAATGAGCCCAAATAAAATTTTTTAATAGACTTCATTATGCATTCATTGCAGGGCATGTGAGGTAAAAGAGATTTCTTTCAAAAAGAAATTAAAAAGACTGATGGTTTTGAATTTTCTCAGATCCCTCTTTTTGCCACATGCACACACATAAACGGATGCATAACATGCAAAAATAGACACATAAGACCCTAAAGAGTCGCTCACACTTGCTAACAAACAAAAAGGCGGCATCAATAACACAAATGATTAAACATTCATGGCCTTTTCAGTGGAACATCTGCTGTGTATGGGGCTCTAGCCTCAGGGACTGGGCGAATCAAGAGGATTTCAAGAAAGCAATAAGATGGGGTGGGGGGACGAGGCAGCAGGAGATTTACACACACACACGCACACAAACACACACACTCATGCACGGACACACAAGTGAATGCATGTGTGCGCAAACACAGCCACAAAGAGTAAATACGCGACGGCGTGGACAACAGCTCAAACAAGCAGCTTTTACGGTGCAGGCTGGAAAAATACAGCGATCTGAACAACATCCGAACACGCTCAAATACACAGACCGCCAGAGAGCACGCTCACCTTGAACACAGCTCATGGATGGATGAACTGCTCAGGAGACATGTTGTGTCTTTGCTTTAACTTCCACTGAGAAAACTGAGCTTTATCTGTGGGATTGAGTGTGGGATTTTTTTTTTTCTTTTTGGATAATTTCATATTTAGAAATTCAAACAACACACAATGTGTAAGATTTAAGATCATGTATGTCCACGAAAAACCAAGTTCATATGATGCAATTACATCTAGTCCAAGCACAAGATTAACCAGAGCGGAATGATTTTCTTTTAACAGAAGAAGTCTGAGTGTTCAGGACAACATTTCAAATCTGAAGACTTAAAGCACTAATGGTACCTTTAAAAAAATATGCATGTGTGTGAGTGTGTGTGTGTTGGCTGAGCACTAGACTTCTATTCTAGAGAGCTTCTCACGTCGCATTTATTCTTGTTTAGCTTAAAGGGAGTTGTCGCCAGTACTGTATGTACAAACATGTCTGTTAGTGATAACCATTAGGTCTGTTTTAAAATGCTCCGTATGTTTCATTATTATTATTATTTTTCATTTTGGCTTTCAATATAATCTTAAGTAAAAAAAACTAAAACAACTGACAGAAATGGCGCCAAAACGATACCAAAAGAATCTGAAAGCAGCTGACTGAACAAGAAGGCAAACAATTGCAGCCATGTCAACGACAGTAAATGCAAGGGATAATCTGAGATGGATTTAAGAATAAATGAACACAAGCGTTAATACATTGTGATGACACAAGTGTGTAAACAGCGTTTCAACATGTTTCATGAAGCGTACTTACACCCAGGTGATGGGGACAGGCATTAAAATAAAATTACTACTGTAGTAAAAGTGCCAAAGTGTTAAGCAGGTAGCGACTCCCACATTCTGCCATGTTTGTTTACTTTAAAACCACGTTTGACCACGAGAGACTTTCCAGTGGTGAGAGTCGGGACTCTGCTTGCTGGTGAAAAAGGTCCTAATGTGTGATGTGAGGTCATAGACTGTATATAGAATGGACGCTGTCTGCCTCCTAGCAAGGTGAAGCCACCAAGAGAAAAGCACCCTCTGGTGACTGGCTGCAGTATAGCTCATAAGTCCCGCCTCCTCCAGCCACCCTTATGGAGTTGTGGACAAACTTATTACACAGAATATTTTTTTTTCTCCCCCCTGCTTACGATGTTGAAATGTAGTGACTGTAAGACTGGTTTGTGCTCAAGTCCTCTTTTTTCTGTACAGCTCTATTTTAAAAGGTTATTAGGGGGTTCATGTTTTCTATGATTGACACTTGATACAGCCTATGGGCGTATGAAGATTGTGTAGCTCACCGGGAGAGTAGCTGTTTGAGCTGAGCGTCATCACAGCTACTCTCCCGCCGAATGCGTACAATGCTACTGCGCAATGTTGGTTTGAAGGAACAAAACTGTAAAATCTGTCATCATTTGTCATCTCATGTTGAGACCTGAGCTTTTCAAAACTGTAAACGTTTTTAAAAATCTTTTGGTGAGTGCAGGCTTCAGTTCGTCTCCCTCTGCCATTGTTGTTGACCAAGAAGTTGATCAATTCAAATCTAAATTTTCATCTGGCTTTGCAGAAAAGACTCTCAGAGTTTTCTCAGCAATGTTGTGCAAAAGCTTCAAATTGGAAAAGTGTCATAATAGATTTTGTTGTTTGTTTAAGTAAGCAAAAGTGCTTCTGGATTTCCTTTTATTTTTATTTATTTATTTTTTTTTTTTAATGTGAAGGTGCAAGATTTTGCATATAAACCAGGTACCAGCCATAAAAGCCCTGAAGTACTGGGCTTTAAATAGATGAGGTTTTTGGAGCAGAAAAGCAACAAGGACCTGAAAGAGAAGGTTTCAAGGATCCAGCATGGCTACATTGCAACACACTGCAGGTGAAGAGCATGGAGGTCATAAAAAAGACTGAATATAGTATTTTCCAACCACTTATCCAAAGGCACACAAACTCTTCAGCACAGTGCACTTCATTCATGTTGGCTGCAATATACAGAGCATTTGCACCCTGCAAATGAGCAAGGCAGCACCTCTGAAATGTACACACACACACACACACACACACACACACAGATACAACACACACTCACTGCTAACCTTTCCAGTGCCGCTGGAACAGTCATGTGAATTATTTCAATTCATAAAGTTGCTCATGTCCAGATTTCATTAGCAGCACATTAGCTGCAGTTTTATGCTTTATGTTTATTACAGGCCTGACATGATCTATAAATAACAAGTTAAGCGGGTGCGGACACCGGGGACGGCCGTGGCACTGTAATGCTAAAGGGATCTATCATTAGAGCTGACAATTGCTAATAGCCAGCCCTCTGGGTCAATCACTACAAATTACAGCAGCTCAATTACATGCCATCATTCCTGAGCGTCCAGCATGTGAGGTGTATGGCAGGAGGCCCGGAGGTAACCATAGAGAGAGGGTTTGAAAAGCAGGGTACATGTCAGGGTGGGTGAAATCTCACTCAGGTGTGTGATCAGGTCAGACACAGGGAGAGAAGGAACTTTTTACGATGCTTGATGAGGAAAAGTATGAGTTTTTACCAATATAAAGTGACCGTGAGACACATTTAAGAGCACCATCAGTGTTTTCACAGACAGAGTTAACTCACCCTCTTCTAATAGACCCATGCTTCAGTTTTCTCAGTTTGGAAAGAGGTTTTGAAATGTCACTTCAGATAACTTGGTTGGACTGTATTGTTTTGAAATACCCTTTCATCATATGTTTCCTCCTTTTCTAAAGTAATTATCTACATAAAGTCATTGAGGATTGGTAGTTTTTTTTCTTTTTTAACCAAACAAATGAAAAATTGTCTGGCCAACAGTTTTAAGCCTGGACGCACTATGCAGTCACTTAAGACGAGAGTTGACATCCTGGGTAACCTTTTCCAGAATGATTCTGAAATATATTTTCAGAGCTACAAGAAAATTGGAGAAAATTATGGAAAAATTCATGTTTTTCCAAGCTTTTCTCTATTTTTGCATATTTTGGGATATCTCTAAATAGATATAATTGGGTACTAAAAGTTTTGAGCTGCCTTTGTAAACTTCTCCAGCTGGCAACTCTGAAGAAGTCTGTAATGTATGCAGCGTTATCATTTTGGTAAAATGTGTCTGATCAAAACATGTCTGCTAAAAAGGTTTATTCTCACCATTGACAGGCTTTATATGGAGTTTTAAATCTGTTGAGCTAAACTGAAGAAAGTTAACTTTAGTGGCGGAACTTCTTTAAAGTTGTATATTTAATTTGAGTCAAAAACTGCTTTGACATTACTCTCCTACCGAAGCCACCAGAATCAACTGATAAAAAATAAATAAATAAATAACTTGTTAGTTGACTTTAATCTTTAGGAGGACCATCTTGAATCAGAAATAACAATACAAAAAGTATCTGGTAAAGGCAGAGGTTGATCGCCTTTTTTTTTGCGTGATTTGTCTTTTGAAGTGTCAGCTCAGATGAAAAATAACATAGAACAAATATACAAATGACTGGTACAGGCAGGGGTAGAACAGCAACTCTTGTAAGAAGAAAAAAAAACATTAAACTGAACAGCAAAGTAGTTTTAAGCACAATTGAGTTATATGTACACTGTTACCTCAATGAGTACTTTCTTATTTAGTTTTTGTTTGTTTTCATGTGCCTTCTTCACTTAAGAGTTAGCTCTGAACAAAAAACAACAAATAACACACTGTGTAAGCCACAGGTAGCTTTTTAACTCCTATAGTCTGCAAGTAAGAAGACACAATAGTTTAAATACAGACCTATACAACAAGGTAAGATGATGTTTTTAATATCTTTCAAATAAAATTGTAAGAATCAGTTCTTCAGTTCACTGCTGAAGGGTCAAGTAAAATCCACCCACTTGGTTCAAAACTTAACCAAGAGGGTGGATTTTACAGTATGTTGCGGCTATAAATATGTCTTACATTTGGGTCAATCTGGTAAATATTGTCAAATACTTTACTGGAGATACTGGAGATAAATACTGGAGATGTTGGTCTGAGTGAGTTTGCTAGGTTGGTGTTTTTTGTCTTCTTAAAGGTAAGCTCAGATCAACAATTGCACACAAACAGTAGGTGTAGTTTAACAACCTCTTTGTTCTGTCAACTGAGAGGACAAAAATCCAAAAACTATATAAAAGTACTTGCACCTGTACTTTTTAGAACTCTGAAGTTATTGATCTACTGCCACCAGAACCAGCAATTTTTTTTATCTTCTCCTTTTTGTTGACATTTTTAGAAGTCAACTCAGATTAAAGACTACACAAAAACATAGAAGTGTAAAGTATCCCTTTCTAACAGCAGCCATTACAATAGTACTCATTTTCAATCAGGAGTAGATAAAAGAAAATGTGCAACTTCGATCAATACATAAACTTATTTTTAACAATTAGTGCTAATTTACCCACATGATTAGTAAAAGTTGGTCAGTTTCTGCAGTTCTTCAAACCAGTTTTCCCCCATTCCAGTATTTTCAAACCTTTTCAGGGCTTAATATCCTATGTCTCACTGGTTATTTTTACAATGTTCCCTGGAATGAAAGAATAGAGAGATAAACACCAAATCCTCCATTCAGCAACATTTGGCGACTAGCTTGTGGTAATTTTATGCTGTGCTTATAATAAATGATATTTATCATTACATTCTGATACCATAAAGCAGCCAAATGTCATGGGTAGGGATTGTCGCATAAATCACTCTTCTATATTTTGACACATGATGTGTATAATATGCAGATTATGTGCTTTCCATTTTAGCTTCTTCTGTGTCTCTGCCATCCCACAGAACAAACACCTTTAATAAAGTCACAATCACGAAGGAGCGAGGGCCAAATCCACTCCCACTCGTGCACAAACACACACACACATACACATGGAAGAACAAACAGCCGCACATTCAAACACATACACACAAACACACAGAAGCAAAGGTAGTATTGTCAGTGAAGCCACATATAGAGTCAGCTTATGTGTGAACATGAGTAATCATTGTACGAACCAACAGACATGCACACAGTGACAAAAGGTTTGCACGGATGTGATTAACTCAGTATGGCTGAAAACGGAGCCAAGAGCTTCACCTCTCTGCCGCCTGCCAAAGACCTGCTCTAAAAATGACTGCGAGCTCAAACAGCAGGGGAGTTTCACTACGTGGTTCCTTCAGGAAGTGCTGTAAAGGTTGACTCCAGGGTGTAAAAATTCAGCATTGAGAAGAGAAAGAGTATGACAAACTTTATCATCAAAGAGTGACATTATAATGATGAACAAAATCATTCCAAAAAAACACTGAAATATCTGAATGTCAGCAGGGGAGATAGGAGATAACCTTACCTGTTTGTTTGAACTTTCATCTCAGTTAAGTGATTTCTTTGATACAGCTTGGTGTCATTTGTTGATTCTCTTTCTGTACGTAGAGTGCTCTTCAGTTAAAGTGACACCTCAGCTCCAAACGTTCATGTGCAGGTACTAGGACGTCAATGTTTATTTTTTTTTATATAGTACCAGTATTTGTTTCAGAAAACAACTTTTCAACAAGCAGTTTATGGTCAAGGACTAGTCATTTCAATATTCTCAGCAGTGAAGCGCTGTTTGAATGAAGTGTTGGCTGGTGCTTACTGTATGGAGTGAGTTTCTTGGCAGTAGAGAAAAAAAAAGTGCACTATGGGAGGTTTGAAGCCTTTAAAGGTGCCTTTCTACAATGTTAATTCACTTTTAAGAGAGTTTAAAGAAAGGATGGTTGAAAAAAAAGCAGCACACACTCAAACACTCTGCCTAAAACATGGTTTACAGTTTCAACCTAATTCTTCTTTCAGGTCTCTATCTTGATTTGTGTGTGGTAATCTTTCTAACACAATCGCTTCATCTAATTAGGGAAAATTTACCCTACATTTGTCACTTTGAAACCGCACCCTCTTCAAGACATGTGAAGTCTGCTCAGGGCAACACTAAAAGCCTCCAACCTTTATCATTACTGACTTTGTTTTTGCCTAGTTCTGTAAAATACTTAATTAAGATGGTCAGCATCCCCTGAAAATGGCAATCCCAGACACAAGCAGATCATACACATCATATCAAATCATTCCAAGGAAAAAGGTACCTGCACATTTTAATTCTGCCTGTTGACACTGTGACAAAAACTTCCGTTTCAGTTAAATATACTTGGTGAGCAATAAACTTAATGTACATGGTACATGTCCGACCAGTCTCCAGATAAGATGATAAGAGGAAAAAAAGCAGAAATGGAAATGAATATTAAAAGACACAGGAAGATGAGTGAAAGAGACATTGTTAAAGAAGACAGACACCCCTAAATCAGGTGATATTTGTCAGAGTACTGAGGCCATATTAAGAAAATGTACTCAATACTAAGATTTTGAAATTTTAGGGAGCTTTCACCCAACATCGTTTGGTCTGGACTTTTGGATTTTCCTGTTTGGTCCAAAACAAATGAAACCTCCCCTGGACCTTGGTCTGGACCAAACATAACCCTAGTCTGGTTCATGCCCAGCGTGAAAGCATTATTTTGAAAGGTTCAGACCTTCATTTCAACGACAGGAAATGACATGAGGAGTAGAAGTGTCTGATATTATGTTGAATGGAGATTATCCAAGAACAGGAAATTTTGTAGTATGATAGAACAAGTTATACCTCACTATTGACAGCTTATCTTATCAAAAGATTAACTACACAGACTTTCACACAGATTCGGTGTGGCTCACAGGATTGCATACTTTCTTAGTCGTTCCTGACGACGATGATGAAGTTGCCGTCTAATAATAGGCTCCGATCAGCCTCATGTACAGCTCTTCAAGTTGTCACCATGAGTAATACAAAATCTACAATAATATGATAGAGAGAACGACAATATCATTCAAGTTTACAACATTCAAGACCCGCTATTTAACCTGTTGACGTCAAATGACCGATCGCTGTAAACTACAGAGACAAGCAAAACACTTAGCTCACAATGTTACCACGTAGGTTCGTCATATAAATTTTGTTAGTCTGTTTGAAGTAATGACAGTGTAAAACCTAAAGAGACTTAACCAAATGTATACAATGAAACAAAAACACAGACCTTAGTCCAGACTTTCAGGTGTGAAAACATGTTAAAGCTCCCGTGAGGAACTTTTAGTTCGTGTCAACTTTGGCACAGTCCTTGGCTCCCAAAGGCTTTTGGGTATGATGGCAGCAATGGCGTTTAAAAAAAAAACTTCAAAAAAAAATGCAGTCCAAAATCAATCAAATCAATTTACTGAGGGAAATAAATAATCTTTTAATTTTTTTTTTTTTTCAGGAATGGTGGCAAACAAAAAGCTGAAGACACTGTCAGTGGCCACATGTAAAAGCTCTTTTTCAAGGTTACAATTTTTTTTGTCTTGTTGTGAGAGAACTTTTTTGCAGCAAGCTGTTACTTAAATTTCTTTGTTGCTAAAGAATGCCACACTCCACTCTTGGAACTATTAAATGACTAAACCCATCACTCAAATATTGTACTTTGGGCTTGAGGCATTCAGATGAAATTCTAAGGACATATAAGAGGGCTTTAATACCACCAAAGTAGCACTTGTGTATGGGGTTTCTCTGCTGCATCTACCATTACAATTAGATTGTGTGTTATCACATTACCTGTTGTTTGTTGATACGAATAAGGTGGGGCTAGGACCACCAACACTACCTGCTAAATTGCTCGTGAGAGTATCAATAAAAGAGAATTGACTCATTTTTATTGTATTTGGTAGTACGGGATAATATCTTTACTGGTGAGCTGAGGAGTTTCTCGACAACAACAACAATCACGTCAATTCATTCGGCTGCACTCTTTGGAGTGATTATCTGAAGGATCCACTGGGGAATACAGAGCTCCTCTTTCATATACTTCACAATATTTCACACTAACATCCGTATGCCTCCGTTTAACGAGATCTTCCTTCTCGCTTTGATCAAAAAGAAGAAAAGTTGATGTAATTAACTATGCATTATGGAATGGTTGAAATTGTCACTGATTAAAAGAGCAACTGAGCTTTATTATTTTTCTTCTCTCTGTGAGAAAAAAAAACATTTCTTTTTCAAAAACTTTCAAAGACACTTTGTTCCCCGCTTGTAGCAGCTTCTGTCTGGATTCCTGAAAATCTGATAGTTGTATTATCACATTGGTGGACAGAATAAAAACATGTCATGATGATACAAACAGACACATCATGGACCAAATTCCCACAGCGACTATGTGACTTCCTGCAAAGGTGGGAAGCTCAGCTATTGTCACCATGTCTTACACTGTGTTAGTCAACACTGAGTCCACAGTCTGACAATTTTTTGACATTTCGCCTCCTCAAAATTCACAGAGACATCAAGACAAAATAAACACCTTCTTAACAAGCTATCAGCTAACATCAGAATATAGTTTATGTTAGCATTTAGCCACTATCAACTAAACAAATATATTTCAGAGTCTAAGATACGGCAAGGAGGGTAAAGAGATATTTTATAATTGACTGCTTTGAAAGTACCAAAGTGTTTGTTTTTTGTTTTGTTTTTTTGCACTGTCCACCATCCTAACTTCAGAGAACCTGCTCACTGACATTTACTATTAGTTCACCAAACTTGTTCCCCCACATTATTGCTTTCAGTCTCTTTGAAAAATCTCTGTGCCATCTTTAGCGTTCACACAATGGTAAATAGCGACCATGCCATAGCATTCTTAAGAGCTCTAGACCTGAAAATTCTACCTAGAGAAAACAAGTATTGTCACTTTTACCTCTGTCGTTGCTGACAAAGACATAATCATAAGTCCAGCCCCCTCTTAATTTAGATTGGTTATTGGGGATGAAACGACAATGATGAGCATGGACACATTCCAAAAGCTTAACTACTTTAAACTTAAAATACTCACATTTCTGCACAACGCCTATTGTGGTTTTCACAACATTGCAAGAATGAATTTATTTTAACTTACAGGTGTTTTGTTCCTCTGTGGTGTTTCAGCACATTGATTTATTTTAGTATTTTCACATATGAAGAAAGCATGGCAATAATTGATCTTTCGACATCCATGCTGCTGTTGCCTAGCCATTGCATCCCCACCCATTTTCCACAAGAACAAAAAGTCTTTCATTCACACAACGTCATGACAATTTTCTGACTTTGAGTTCCAGTTGAAGGCCACAAAAGTCTCCAGTTGGTAGGGTCACATTTTACCACAACACTAGCAGTCTTTTTGCTTACATAAATGTTTTACTTTTTTATTGTTTCTGTGAATTTTAAATGTAGTGAACTTGGAAGTGGTTGAATTCTAAGATTAGCCTTGTTCTGATACAAGCTAATGAGTTGTCAACTATGATTTTTCACTAAAGTGTGTCTTTTGACTTGTACTATTTATTGCCATGTGGCTGCTTGTCAAGGTTGAAATGTCAGAGGTTAGATCTCAACAGTTTGCCAGGTTTTCCACCGTTGGTCTGCTGAGACCAAAATGTACCAAGTTGGGAATTAGTACTTGTGCACAGCATACACCCACTCTTGCTTTTCCCTGCTGATATGTCCACATCTAAACTTTTTCCTCTTGTCAAACTTTGTTACTTTTTTCTCTCTCTTTCTTTTCCAGTAGTGTGTTAAATGACAAGTCAATGCCATCAAACAAACTTTTATCCCTAAAGAAGAAAGGCATGGTCACTAAAGTAAGGCAGTGTGTGATTCATGTCTGGTCTAGACTTCCAATGTGTCACAGTATCAATCTGAATGGAGACAGAGCGCAATTAAGACCCGCCCACATCAGAGGAGAAAACAATTCATCGCTCTCCATTGACTTTGTATTGCGTGAAGGTGCCTCCTCGTCACTTTAGTCCACTGGCAAATGTCAGAAAAATGTCTGAATGGTTGTGTGTGGTCTGTTGCACAACGAACAGTCAGAAGAAGTAACAGAGTCCAAACTTAAAAACAGAGTATATGTAAAGACAAAAGTGGGTGTAGGAATAAAAACAGAAATAGGAAGAGGAATTAAACAAAAACTTGGGATTTTAACACTCAACCGTTTGTTAGGAATGCAAAAATAGTCTTTGTGTGGATTCTTGACATCAACGATTACAACTTTATGGCAAATATGTGTTTAAAATCCTCACATTTATTAACCTCTGTTCTTGTGAGGTTTTTTATTTTAATTTTTTTTTGCCAAAGACCAGCAAATAAAAGAATGGAAACTTAGTGAGACCACTGGGTGCTGTAGTTACCAACATCACTGATTATACTGTGACAGCCCCAGTACAGTGATACCCGACTGGCACAAGTGACTACGGGTTTGATTAGGCCAGTGAGTGACTTAAGATTTATGGTATTTTGCTCTTTAAATATGTGGGGATTTATTATTTTATTTTTTTTGTCAAAAAACACACGATACAAATTCGGGACAAAGTTGGCAAAGAGACAAAAGGTAGTGTTTGATCTGCAAAAAATTAACATAATTGTAAAATTTATTTAAGGGGGTTTAGATACGCTTTTTTATTAAAAAAAAAAAAAAAAAAAAAGAATTCTCGTGCCAGGCTAGCCCAAAAATCTGCCTCTTGGTGGTGGAACTTTTGGAGAAAATTTCGCATTTATAAATAAGGAGGAGTAAATTCACTCAAACTGCACCATGTTTTTTTTCATTAATGTGACACTTAATCCTGGCATCTTTCTCCCAGCAGCCCTCACGTATTGTGTCATGTGCTCTACTGTGGGTTTATCCCTCGTAAAATGATTTCTGAGCCCCTAAATTTGCTATGATTCTCCTCTTCAATTTATCCAAAATGCACTCCACTTAAACAGCAGGAGGATAAGAGTTCTTTTGTCTCTTTTAAGACATTTTTTAAATTGGGTAGAGTCCATTAAGAGAAAAAGCACCAATCAGCCTTTCCAGTCATTCGTCTTTATCAAACACAGGGAGCTCAAACAAAAAGCCTACTCAGGTTGGAAACGGTCGAAATGTCAATTAGAAAAAAAAAGTCATCATTAGGTTTATTACTCAAATTAACAGTTCCTCTCAACCATTTAAATCATCGTTGGTGTTCGCTGTTAAAAGGGAGCAGATTTCTTTTTTTCCCCTTTTCTTTTCTTTCAGTCTAAGTAGTCAGACACATCTCCCTTTGGACTCTGACGGAGTGATTTTGGAGGTATTATATTCATGAGGGGTTCCAGTAATTGGATTAAATTGGTTCCAGAATGTAGCAATTTATATTATAATATCCCATTACTTCTAATACTGTTCTTAATTAATTAGCCTGATTTTTTTGGTCCGTGTTCCTGATAAGTTAAGTTGGCTCAGGAGGAGATCTGTCCCACGGTGGCGTCTCACTGAGCTGCATCAGTCACACACACCTGGACACAACACAGGAGGTCGAGGAGGATCCTGACGCTCGCTGCCAAGTGAATGACCTTCGTCTTTATTGAAGGCGGAAAAGACGAGGTTTTGAGAGCAGATTTGGACAAACACACACCTGAGACGAGGAAATGTAAACATATTCATAGCCTGGGAAAATTGAACGTTATGTCCAACTTTGAGTGTGTGTCTGTGTGTGTGTATTTCCATTGAAGGGCCCCAACTGAGCAAAGTTCAATATCATCACCTGTCACTCTCACAGCCTTTGTCTGATTTAGCTTTTAATATGAGAAAGTAATTCTCCTTTGAATATAACAAATTAATATCATTTTCAAACAATTTCCATATGCAAATATGATTTAATCAAGTAAATGAAACTCTCAAATGCGACGCCTGAGGGCTAAAAGTAAGCTCAGTGTGTGTATCTGGTGTGTGTGCGTGTGTGGTGGGGGTAGTATGTGTGAGGCTGCGTCTGTCTGTAGCACCATCTAAACTGAGTGTGTGCATAAATATATTTAGTCTATTATATATTGTCACTGATGAGTATAAAGCTTGCTAGGTTAAGGTTTTGTGCTCAAACGTAATTCTTTGGTAATCATGGTGCCTGATGATTCATAACTAAATGACCCATCCGGCTCTGACTACAAATACTAACAACCGTGCTCAGTATTTGAGAGATAATAGCAGTGTCAACAGCGACAAAGAACCAGAATAAAGTGCAGGAGAATGACAAATATTTGCTGCCGTCCTTCACCGGCTAACTTTCTCTTGCACACGTAGGCACTAACAGAATGATTCAGTTCTTGTCGCAATAATAGGACTTATGTTAAAAAGGAGGAAAAGCCGAATCCCTCATGATTCACATGCGACAATTCTCTTCATACTCTATCCTTTTCAATACTGAGAAACTTTTATGAAGCAAAATTGCATCAAACATAAGCTGTAGTTTCAAAATATGTCCACAGGTCATCTCTTTTCTTCCTTCCCTCCCTTTAGGCTGCACTATCTTTTGTGATTGTAGCTGCCAGCGTGAGTTTTGTTTGGCTTTTGTTAGGATGGCTAATAGCTAGCTGTTTGGCCTCCTACCAAAGACTGTAAACACACCTCTTACCAACAAGCACCTTGTGGAAAATCATCCAATGACAATGCAGGAGATAAATAGAGGTGGCACACTTGCTGCAGATAAATGATTGGCTTAAAAAGGAAAACAAACAGCAAAGTAATTGGTGGTTCATTCAAACAAAGCCAACTATTTTGTCTTATTGTTTGTGAGAGCATTGATTGAACAGGTTTTTCACCATAATTTTCCTCGACAGTTTGCTTGACATCATTATCAAAATTTAGTCGAGACAAATTAGTAAAACAAGGAATAATGTCATTGACAAGAGTAACTGTCAATAGCTTTTTTGGTGATATGGACCATCCTGTTAGTGGGTCTGAAATGAAGCTGAATCATAACCCTAGTTCAGACTGCTGCTGGGGTCATTATGGAATATAAAAACATTGTTAAAGACAGTATGTTCACATGTTGTTGCAAAAATCTATTTGTTGCCTAAGAGTTAAATCACACTAACTCAAACTTCTCATAGCTGGACTAACATACCTTGATAATACAGTTGGACATTTATTGCACCAAAGGCCTTGAGCTGAATAGTGAACAAAAAAAAAAAAAAAAAAAAAGGACAATCAAAGGCCATAAAAGAGACAAAATTTAAAAAGACCTTAAAAAAAAAAATCAGGATCTGTAAACGTGATGATATTGTCATAGTGTGATGTATATCTCGTTCACCTTTGTTTTGATCAAGTCCAACTAAATAGCCTAGTTGAGCTGTAGCTTGACTTGACTGTGGATGTCAAGAACTGACAGAGGCATTGAGTACAGCCTTGAACCTAAGGAATGTGATGTAGACTGCATCCACATGTGAGCCACTGTAATCCTCTGACTCAGACAGGTCCCTAAAGGTGGTTCCAAGTCCATTTGAGACAGTGGTGACTTTCTCAATATTTACACACCTGCACTACCAGGTAACGTAGGATCCCTTTGCTCTCCAGTTAAAACCAATCTTTCTTTGTAAACTCCAGTTCAGAGATGTGTCTTTTCGCAGCCACAGCAAATTGCATATCTATCACTGTCAAATTACTGCATTTTTAGTATAGTTGTATTTTTCTCTTTTGAAGCCTGCAGACCTGAACAGCTGATTTAGAAGAAAATGTATTTGTTGCACTAACTGTCCATGCCTCACGTAAAAGCAAACACCTATGTTGATGTATTAAAGCCTAAAACAAGATTTCCTTTGACCTCAGCACATACATTAGGATAATGGTGTCACTTCACCTGTGTGAAACTGTTGCAGCCCAAAGTAGAGTAGGCAACAACCCATGGGCCTTTGCGTAGTACACTAGCAGAGTTCTTGTGTCCTCTTTAAGATAAACCCTGCAACGTAAAAGCACTCAGAAATGTATGATGAAGTTCTTATGTGCAGTAAGTGGATACAAAGATACAACAGGTAGAAAAGTACAAGCTGGAGTCATTCTAATGAGTCAAGGAGCATGTTATGACCAAACTTTTATGGGTTATCCCCATGTCCCTGTGTCCCCTGTTGCTGTTCAATGACAGGTGTCTGTCTTTGGATCTGATAGCATATTACTTACTGGCTTACAGCTTTAAATTTAATCTCTTCCATTGGCCTGCAGCGATGGACTCAGGCACGAGCATATTTTTCACCAGAGCTTGTCATACCTCGCTCTGAATAATTTGAAGCTATTCTTGGGGCCAGTGCTATCACTCTTCGACCGGATAGAGCCAGCATGAGACACACACAGGCCACGAGGCGTCAAAGCCAATCATCCCACATCTCACAGTTACCACTTTTACAGCGGCCATTTTGAATTTGTCTTGACTCGTTTCAGATTCAGACTGGCGCTAATGAGACCGACAGTTTTGTGACCCTGATAACATGAGTGTATCACAGAGCAAGATTGTGGTTGTCCAAAATCAGCACTTGTCTGCAATATTTTTTGAATTAACAACAGTTCAACACATACCACATCAACGTGGTTTTTATTTTTTGTATTTTGCACAATTGTGGGTGCGGCATTTTACCATTGTACCATACTTTATGCATCAAAAAAACAACAACAAAAAAAAAAGAAAGAAAAACATCTCTTTCATTGTTAAATATCTGCTGGAATTTACCACACTAAAGGGACTGACTGCTCGTGTATTTGCATAGATTAAACAAAAAATTCATTAAAACACGCAAAATGGTCAAATTTAGAACATCCCAGCTTATAAACCATGGTAGAATCCTTTTATAGATTCATTTGGATATTAAGACAGTTGAAACATTATGTTAACTGGCAATAGGTACAATTCTGAACCTGTTAAATGAGTTCTGCCCAAAACAATCACTATATGTTATGTCTTACGTTTGGCATCAGTGAGAGGCAGGGTGTAGAAAGGTGATAACTGTACTTCACTTTCTTGTTAAAGGTGTTTTTCTTATCTTAACTTCTGTCTGGCAAATTCCTGGAAAAGTTCCTGAATATTTGTAAAAGCTCCTTAAATAAAATTGTACAGTATGAGCACTCAGGATGTGCCAAAAAACAACCTCTGGAGCGAATGAGTAAAAAAAGTGCACTTCCTTCAGTATCCACTAGAGGCTGGCTGTAAAAGCACTGGAAGTCACATACACACCCATTATGAAAAAGCTCATCTTGAGAGAAAAACAAAAAAAAAAGTTTACTGCCTGGAACAAGCAAATATTTTTGGCTCACTTCTCAGTCTGCACAATGTACAGACTGAACAGGCAGTGATTTGTTTATAACCTGTCAGTTTTGAAGACATTAAACTTTAAACTTTTGCAGAATCAGAGGCACAGCAGACTTGGCTAACAGAGAAGCACACTATAGCTATAACTGGGATGCCAAAGCCCTGTCCCAACCCTACTTCTTTGCCTCACCAAAAAATAGATAGAGTCACTATTTCCAACATGGTGTTTGCTGTTGATGGGCTCAGAACAAAACAAAACAAAACAAAACAATAGTTTATGTCACCATCATCATGTGTCATCATGTATTAAACAGCCGATGGGTCACGCTTTAACAATGGGACAATACAGCACTATCAAATAAAGGAGCTTCAGCTGTGCATTTTATAAGATTCAATTGCAGAGTGAGTTTGATTTCCACTACAACAGGTTAAAAAAATATGATGTTTATGCCAGGCCTTAGATTTCAAAGGGCCAAATATAAAACACAGATTTAGACCACAAAAGAAATAGAGAGAAGCTTTTGGCTGAAGTCTATGTGCTGACTTATATCCCTCATGAGTTTCCTGTGCGTATGGGCTTTACATCGGCCTGTTCTACCCCTTAGATCTCCACGCTCCCGTTTAATTAGAGTCATATACAATATTGCATTTGTGAGGCTCAACATATTTTATGGTTCTATTTGTTGTTGTTTTTTTTTCAGAAATATCAGAAAATCTGGGCCGTTACTTCATTTTTTGGATTTATGAGTACCTCTAGAAAGTTTGTAAGTGATAGACAAACCCCAGCAGGACGTATGTATAGTAGAAACACATTTGTAAGAGTAGAGGTGCTGCTGTTTATCTTTGGGTATTTGTCTCAGGGGTCCTTATTTGAATGTCTCAGCCATGCTGACCTGGATCCATGAAAAAGAATCAGATTCAGAGTTAGACAGAGAAAGTAATCAGAGTGAGGGAAATTGAATTACAAAACAACAAAAACAATGTTCAGCATGTTCACAGGACACCTCCTAAGTGAAGAGGACAGCAGGCACAGAAAAACACCTCATCTCCAACACCGCTTGGCGTTGCATGGGAAAAGCTTATCTATTGTCACGGCGATAAGCAGCAGGAATGTAATTCGACGTTACATGAGGTCGGACACTGGCAGCTTACTGGTGTGACACATCCGTGACATGCTTCGAATTAACATGCAATAGTGTCAATTAAAAGCATGAAATGCACTTAGGGGAAGCTCGAATGTTTTCCCTGCGTCCCAAACAGCCTGAGACAAAGTGAGTGAGCTGGTATGATAGGTTTCTATCACACTGTTTACGTGAAGTGTGCGCCCAAGTGACAATTAGTACCATGCACGAATTCTTGGTTGGTGATTATCGAGTCGGACGGTGGTTCACACTTTGTATGATCTCTGTCATGAAACAGAACCGAAGTAAAGGTGCGATGAAAAATACTCCCTACCTATTTTTCACAGGAAAAAAGCAGCAGCACCTCTGGTTTGATTACAGCCACCTACTAGTTTCCTGCCAAGAGTAGAAATACTTTGAAGTAACACAAGAGCGTGCGCATTTCCTCAGCCTTGTCACCAATATTTCATCGACACCGCGTGAGTGCGGATTTGCTCTTTCATCACACTAAACAGCGGTGGTGTTTGTACAGTGATATTCTATTTTTTCCACATCCCATTGTTGTTGTCTCGGTGCGTTTCAGCACACAACTGGGACTCATGTGAGTGTGGAATTGTGTCTCAGCTTGACGTGCTGAAAAAAGAAAAGCACAGAAAAAAAGACGGTAGTTCAAAGGATGGATAATGACGGACGGACATGGAGGCGACATGTTTGCATGGGAAAGAGCAAGTGTGTGAGGCACAGGGTGTGTGTGTGCGAGTGTGTGTGTGTGTTCACCCCCCAACGCTGTAGTCTCACACAGCGTCTCAACTTCTGCTGCTCATCGTCGGTGGTGTAATAACAATATCACTCATCTCATATCCTCAGCTTACTTTGCTTCCCCCCGCCACCGCCGCTGCCGCCCCCTCGCTCCACATTTATCATATTCATTTGATATTCAGAAATAAATGTAGCAGAAAGAGAATAATGCACCTCCTGTACGCGGCGTTCATTACAGATACATTTACATGGGGGTTTGCCTTCATGGTTTCAAATGGAGCACTGTTCGCTGGTGTTCCTCACATTTGTCGAGAGGGAGGGGCGGGCTGTGTGTGGGGAGGTTAGTTCTCTTCACATTAGCGCTATCAGTGAGCGATGATAAATGGGTCGATCTATCCATCTCTCCTGTCACATTCATAAAAGAAATTTGGCCTTCGTCAAGGGAATCAAGCACGGCGCTGTAATATCCGCAACACGTATCCATCAAGTCTAACTTGAGACATATCGAAACGCTATGGCGACCATACCTGAGTGAATAATATTTCACCCATGATAATGCAGCAAATACCCTCGGAAAAAAAAATCTGCATTTTTCTGTCTCAGCTGCAGAGGACGGCAGAGGAGGTGGGCCACTGATCATATTCAATCTGGAGGCGATCATGTAAATAGCCCTCCATCTTGGGAAGGCGATATGCAAAGCAGCCCGTCTCCCCTGTGTCAGGATCAGATTAATGGAAACCTAAAAGTGGGAATTACGGCCCTTATCCGGTGCGGCGTTCCGGGGAGGGGCCGGGATACGGGCCCTGGGGGAATCTGCCTGGTTCAAAGCCCATTCCTCTGGTTAAGGAACTCTCTAAGATCCATGCACCAAGGTGAAGGGTAATTTCCTTTGATATTCAGCAATGTATTACTGTATGTAGTGTGCAGGCTGCATGCCCCACTGGCTCTGAGTGCATGTGTGTAACATGCAAATGTATGCACACACAGACAGCCGCACAAAGGAGGCTTAGCAGTAAACAACATCATGAGGAGTGGACGCAGCGCTGTGCGATCATGATCTTAATAATCCTAATAACCTCTAATGTACGAATGCATGACTGGAGGTTGTAAGACGAACCGCAGACTTGGATATTTCTAATTCAGCAGGGATTTAAATGCTAGTTAGCCTGTTAGCCTTGGCCCACTTAAAAGAGCAACAAAAACAGTGCCACTGAAAGCATTAATTAGCACCACGTACACCCCGTGAGTGCATTGTGTCTGCATAACAAAACAACTCCAAACATGTGACCCAATGATAAAAACTTCCTCACACAAGTTCTGGCACAGTCACTTTGTCAACGAAAATGTTAAGTATCTGCTAAATTAGTAGTTTTTTTATGACTATAATGTAAGTGGGAAATAAAAATCTAACAATGAATTGTATCTTTGTTCATGTTGCCCTGACAAATAATGAGTGTTCAGGCTAACAACCATTTACAGATATATTTGCTTTCTTTCTTTCTTCCCTCTCTATTTAATTGCAACATGTGACCTGGTATCAAGTTTTACCGCCTCAGTGCAGCTTTTCCATTGTGATTGGATGATTTTTACCTGATGCATTTTGTAAAGAAGTTGGTTTATATGGCAGAAGAACAAAACTAGCCAGCTACTGTCCTATCATAAGCCTACCAAAGGTAGCACCTCTTTCAAACCAGTGGCCTGTAAAGGGTGAGGGAAGACAATACAAATTTTAGTCATATTTATGTTAGACATAAGGATGAGCCAAATGGTTGAGATTAGAACAGGGTACTTTGTGGATCAAAGGAAGCAAAAAACACTTTAAAACTGAAAAGACAGGAAAATAACGATGTTGTATGTTGATTCAATGACATACTTATCAATTCCACTGGCTGTAACATCACATCATTTCTGACACTTGTGAGTTTTGAAGTGAAAAGACCACCTTTTTGGGCGCAGACAGGCAATGGTGCAGCCAAGGCATGCACAGAAGTGCCTTTAACCAATAAAATGTCAAAGATCACTCAGGTAGGGACAGTTTAAAATGATAATAAAAAAAGTTATGGTGTTGATTTGAAGCACTCACTCATGGCGATAGAAAGTTAATTGATTCCTATGTTGGAGGTTTTTTCTTTGGTTGTCACTCCTCTACCCGACTAATCTAAACCCTCTCTCCACCATGATCTGACCTTATCTCCCCCCTTTTCTTTTTAAAGTAACACAATTACTTTAAACTATGCCTCTTAGAAACCCGAAATTTAGGCATAAATTAGCATATTGCGTACTAACTATAATGATGGGAATCATGTTTAAAAAATAGTTATTCATCTAATTCAGTTTAATACTTTGACTAGTTTCCCATCTGTTCACATGGAGGAGGCAGGGTTTAAGACTTTTACTGCAGCCAGTCAACAGGGGGAGCTCTAGATCTTTTAATTTCACTGTGAGTCAAACTCAAGGTATTGATTGATTCACATTGTTGGGGAATTTTCTTTTTCAAGGAAGCCAAATTTTAAAGAAAACCGTTCTTTGGTAGATATGACTGCAGTGACAAAACAAGGAAAAGTTTTATTTCCCTACTAATGATTTCACATCTACGAGGAAAATCTCTCCAAAATAATCAGTAAAACATCCATTTAAATGAGTTTAAAATAAAAGTCTGACTCAAAACAACACAAAATAAATACAAAAATATGACTAAAGTCAACTTTGATTTTCTGAATATGACTAAGACTGAAACTGAATTTAAATTTCTGTTCAAAAATCAGCATCTCTCTGACTGATCACCTTGGAAGGAAGGACAACATCCATGTGGACATACTGTACATCCAGTGTGTAAGCTGCTCAAAATACAACAAAATAAAAGTATGAGTGGTCTCAGCATAACCAATATCAAAGGCCCTGCTTTTCATCTGGCTTGATCCTCGGGGTTGGACGCTTTGTGCGCTCTGTGTGGATATGACAACAAGCCCAAATCTATTACCTGGAGCCCGGCGTGTCTATCTTATCGAGGGCTGCTCACAGTGTGGTGAGGCGCCGCAATATGCACCTCCACCTGACTCGCAGAGACAGATTGGTAATATGGAATCAAACCACTCGGCTGCACGCACACTTCACATGCACAAACAAAGCTCGCAAACACACTTCTTTGTGCGGTAAACTCCACCAGGCTTGTGTAGAGGAACATCAGAACACAGCAGCTGGATTTCATTATGAGTGTGAGTGAAGAATTACAAGAGGCCATCTGAGTAAGTCCTTCAGCTACATCATATATGTCTTTCCTTTCCTCATTCCTCCACTCTTCCTCTTTCATGCCACCTCACTCATGTCTCCCCCTTTCTCTCTCTCCAGGTTCCTCCACCCCCTCCTGTCCTCCTCTCCTTCCCTCCGTCAGCCTCTTTACTATTCATTGAGATCCAATCGAGTGTTTGGCACTCCTCCAGCTCTTCCACCCCTCCTCTTTCCCCTCCTTCGGCTTGCTTAAATTTGAATAATACATGACCTGGCTTGGCGGTGACGTCGCCGGCACACGGGCACAGATTCACACGTGTATACTGTACATACAGAAAAACAACCTGACAGGGAAACCAGAGGATGAATCTTCTATACACACTCTGGATGCACAGCTGCTCACAATCTATACTGTCAACAATTTATCAAGCGGGGCGCTGCTCGTGTCTGGTGTGTGTTTGTGTGAATAATCCTGCAGCATTCTCCCGTTCGAGCGCCCTTGCATTGGTATTTTTGAGTCTAAAAGCTTGAACTGTGTGTTTGTGCACCTGTGTGTCTATCTGCATGTGAGCGAGCGAGTGTGTGTGCGATGCAGTCAGAGCATCTGGCTCCTCTCTGCTCCCCGACATTAGCGCAGACAAGAGAATCAGTGGACTATTGAATGCAATTACAGTGTGCGGGCCAGACAATAAAGATTGATAGTGCTTTCGCCTTTTATCACACACCAAACACAGCAGAGGTTAAAGCCTGCGAGCCTTGAGCTGCCGGCATTCTAATAATGATTGAAAATATGCCACCGGACTGAGGAGGCATACTTATGACAAAATGCAAAAAGCAAAAGAGGAGGTTTTTTTTTTCCTTTCCTTTTTACCTGCTTGGGTGATTTGTGTGGACCTCTTTGCATTTCACATAAAACAGAAGAAAAATGATATTTTTAAAGAGCTCCTTTTTTTTCCCCTCAGTTATGTCGAGTGTTGCCTTTATTTTCTGTGAGGAAGTGAATTTGACGGTGACCTTTGAGATAGTTTGAGGAGACAAAACACTCACTGTTAAACAAAAACTGTCACTAAATTTCCTCACCGGTTAATAAAAGTGTTAACTGAAGTGAAATTTGAAAAAAAAAGGGTGACAGAAATACCACTTTTTTTTTTTTGGAATAGAAGCTTCATTACAGGAGGACAGAAAAAATAAGTTCAAAGCCGCTATGAGACTCAATACAGCTATTTAAACCACATGAACAGCCTGTGAGCAGATGAAAACCTGTTATTCATGGTGGATTGGGTATCAGATCTTCAACCTTTTCGTTGTCTCTGCGTTAACATCAGTGACAGTTGATGCAGGTATTCCCACCTCAAAATCCTTTATTTTAACCTTAATTTCTGTGGCTCAACAATCCAAAATTACATCATTTAATCAAAAGACTGTCCAAATTCTGACTTAATCCTGCGTATGAATACATGCTTTAATGATTAAGAAAGTTATATCTAAATATACCCCATCATTTTCAGCATACTTGATCAAAAAATGTCCAAAAATGGTATTTATTTTCAGCACTATTTTTCAGCTGTCACCTTAATAATGGGGCTTTATTATTTTGTTTCAATAATACACGGTGTTTAAATGTCTGATCTATGTTTTTGTTTAAATGCAGATACAAATGAAGAGTAGTAATCATTTTAAATCCACCCTACAGTGGCTCTATGGAGCAAACAACAAACCTGTACTGACCCCACACATTACTGATACTAGAAACAAAGTATTCAGGCTAATTCCTACTATGAATGTCTCACAAGACTGGATATAAACCAGACTCTCCTGACAAATCCAGATCCAGGTCTTGTTTTGACATGGAAATAATCATACTGGTAGTGATGTTAAGCATCTCTCTTAAAAATACATACACTGATATTTTGCTAAAACAAGCATACAGTAGCCATTTGTTGGTTCATTTTTGTCTCGTCTTTCCGCAAGCTGATGGTGTTGTTTTATTTTCCAGAAAAATCAGCGTAATATTGTTATGATACCATTTTGGCCAAGATAATTGTGAGGCGTAAAAAAGTGACTTAAATATGAATAATAAGTTGTCAGAGCTCAACCCCTTCAACTTCCTCTTTCTGTCACAATAAACTGTGCAGGTAAAAATGGAGGTGAGCAGGTCGGCAGTGTTACCCTCTTTTGTTGTTGCTGTTGTTTTGCATCTCCTGCAGACTGGAGCAACCAAAGGGTGATCTCAGAAAAGGTTTATAAGTATAATTAATCGAGGTAGCAACATTAAACCATAAACTCGACTAATGCAAACTGGTTCATGTCTCTTTAATGGCCGATGCCAGCCTGTACAGGAACCACTACTTCCCCCTATTATGGACCAGTTAGCTACACAGTACTACCGTATCCTTGTTTCCAGCACTTTATTAATATTTCATTGCTGGGTTTTACCTCTAGGTATGAGTATTTAGCTTGTCAATGATAACGGGTTGTGTGCTGATGCTGTCTGTTGTCAGGAGTGAGTAGTGCTGCTGTAAAGGCTGGAGACAAGAGCATTTTAAAATCTGCTCTATTTTAGCCTCAAGTTTGACTGCATTTTACTCTTGTGTTGATTTAAACGACTCCACCATCCTCGGGTTTTTACTAATTTGTTCTGATAAACATTGCATTGAAATTCTCACTGTGATCTATTAGTAACTCAAAATGTAGCGGCTTTGTAAATCTCCTTTTAATAATGAGAATGAAAAAAAAAAAAAGACAGGATGATTGCACATTGAAAACCAGTCCACAGCTGTGTGTTGTTGAAAAAGCATCAGTCTGCCGCAGACAGAAACTTTCCCTTTCCTTGCTGCAGTAATTAAGCATTTCTTTCTTTTTTTTTTTTTCATAGAAAATCCAAAGAGAATTTGACATGGCTTTTTACACGCCTGAAAGGTTTCATGCTGTCACACCCACAAAAACCTGCACATAACTACTGAAATAATTTAAAAAAGACACAATAGTTGATCTGTTTCATCACCACCACGCGATTCATCCTGACATATCAAAGGAGATTCTTTTCATCTAAGTGTTCGTAGGACAAAATGTGCTTGGGAGTGAGGAAGACGCATTAAAATAGTTGGTTGCCAAAGACATACAATGCATCAATGATGAAGGAATAATGGGAGACGTTGACCAAGGACACATCTGAGAGTGGAACAGAGGAAACAAAGAGCAGGACAGAAGAGGAAGACGAAAATGACAGGAGGAGAAAAAGGACAAAAGAGAATGAAACGCAGGATTTTTTTGTAATTTTTAAACGCAGTAACAGCCACAGGAATAGCAGAGGATGAGTGACAGAGTGATTGTTCTATTATGTGGCTGACTGGCCACAGCCCTCTAACATATGAACGTGCATGTGTGGCAGCTTTCTTCAGGCGCTGCTGTTGATTATTTCTGTCCTATTAGTGACATTCTCCTTCAGTCACTCCGCTTCTTCTTTCCCTCTGTGCTTGAACAGAATAAATACTTTACCTTGACACACCGCAGTTTGTCTTTCCTTTATGCAAAAAACCTGTTTGTGTTGGGAATAAAAATCACATTTGATGCCTCTTGAAAGTGTCACGTTGGCTGCTTTCATTTGATTTGGTTTGATTATGACTAATTCTGTCATCATCCGTGGGTCTGCACTTTCTATTTTGATATATTCCTGTTTGGATTAGGTGAACGAGAGTTTTTAGTTTTATTCGGGCGGCTGCTTTTGTCTACTTTGAGGTGGATTCTTGTATTTTTACACCGTATTTCAAGCCAAAAAAATCTCAATACACTAAATATAATCAGCATCACTGGACACGCCTGGATTTTATATCTCATTATGGACATCTTGGGCAAAAACACAGCAACACAGAGATACTAGCATGTAATATCTTATTTCAAGAAAAGAACTGATTTGATTCTCTCACATCCATTTTACCTCAATTAGGCAGTTCAGGCCTTCATTTTAGTTTGTGATATCCAGAAGTAAGAAATAATATATGGGCTTGTCGGGTAAAAATGTGGCTTATTTCAAATGTAAAACAGGAATAAAACAAACGTCCTGGGTATGATTTTGTTTTCTGATGTGAGAGCCCTTCCTCATGAGGCTCTAATGGCTGCTGTGTGATCTTTTAGGCCAAAGGCAACCAGTTCGAATTCGTCTATAGGGGCGTTGGTTTAGATATGCTGATTTACTTATTTCATATATTAGAAAATACACACCAATGCAACTAATTCAACTATAATTAGACAAAGACGAGTGGAAAAACACACCACAGATAAGCTTCTAAAAGCTCTTAAGCTCATTCCTTAGGAACAGCAAGAAAACAAACAAGTGTGGACGACAGGTCATAGATACTGCTGCGTCAGGGGATCTTAAACAGCAGAAATTCAAAATACAAATCAAGTCTCAACATCCAAATACAGCCCCATTAACTGAGGCTATCATTTTAGTTACAACAGTCACTGGTTTTCTTTTGCAATATAACTTCCTCATGCGCCCAAGTTGTTATCTTGTGTGAACAAGTTCAACTTTGTTACGACACAAACTACAATTTCCTTTTGCACACAAGATTTTCATATTCAGTGCATAAGTTTTTCTGTGGGGACAAGATAATTATCTTAAAACAACAACAACAAGTTATTGACTTACATTTTTTTATCCTAAAATTTGAATGACAATTTTCTTGTGCACACAAGGTAATGATATTGAAGTTATCTTGTGGCTTTAAGTTATTAAAGGTCCTTTGAGGAACTTTCTCTCTCTAGTTTCGCAGATACTTTTAAGGGTCACTCTTCTGGTTTTGGACAGAAAACACCAGCAGGAGTCGAATGCTGTACTACATGTCAAAGTATAGTGATAAACCATATGGAGACTTTATTATGAAAGTAGATTAAATCCTTATTTTGGTTAAGAAAACACATCCCCCTTACATAACAATGTCAACTTCACTTTTGATTTGAGCTGATATCGACCTCTTAGATCCACAGCGGAATTATTGACACAAAGACCTGAGACTACTGCGCCGACCATGACCTGTACAGACTGAAAATAACCCGGACCCAGCCTGGATTTGGCCCAGGGTCAGGTCTCAGTTGCAAAGAATCAAACGGACTAAGTGTCATGTGTTCATTTCATGTTCTGCACACTGTGGATCAAAACTGTGAAATTTTGGTGGACTTGTGTTGTTATTGAGCTCCTTCCAGCCTGCTAATCTGAAACACGAGTGAGGCCTTTGTCCTTGCTGACCAATGATTAGAGGTTGATCCGTAATCCAAGGATAATTTGTTTGTGTTTACTCCCTGTTATAACCTCGCACAAACATTCAGTGCCGCGGAAGCCTAATCTGTCCAACCAACACTGGCTACAGGAGATGTTTCACTGGGCAGTGAGCGGCGTGTTTACTCGTTTCTCTGGTGTATTTGCATATGAAACAGTGTCCTCAGATAATTCTCCAGGAAATATTAGCAGATTAGAAGCGGATAGGATTAATGTGCCGTGTTATGGCATGTTCTGATACAGTAAAGACACACACACACATACGCAGAAGCAGTGCAGTGTGTTCGTGTTGATGTAAATTATCAGTAAGTACACACACACTCTCACACTTTAACCCCTGTCCCTCACAGAGATACAGGGAGCGGTAGGACGAGGGTTCACAGATAACAGTCAAATCCAGACTCCTATTTAAAAGGTTGATATTTTAGTAGTAAACATGTAGGATTCCTTCATTATTTGACAACTCCCCCGTCCGCCTAGTTCGGAGCTTTCCGTTAAGATGCTTATCTGAAATGTCAAAAAGAATTATGCTGATAGCAGTCTGTATGAATAGGGCCTACGCTGTCCCTGATAAGGACGCGTGTGGACTCCTCACCAACACTGGATTTCCAGCACATCTAAAAAGGGGCCTAATTCCACGCTAATATGAATATGCCAACCCCCACCCCCCTCCTCCCAGTGGAAAGAATTATGGTCCCCGTGAACCGATCCTCAGTCTCCTTACCTCTGCCACGACAAAAATGCCACGGTAATGTCAGGGGAGATGTAACGATTTAGATCCCGACGATTGTCCCGTGTCAGCCGCACATCCGTCGGCCCGGACGAGTTGATTAGAGTTGGGACATCAAAAGCGGCTCAGGGTGGAGATAAGAGGGAGGGGGGGACGTGTGATGGTGGTGGCGGTGGCGGAGGAGTGGTTGGATATTAACGTGTTCCCCGTCAGGAATTAAGGCGCAGGAGGAGTTTCAGCCAAAGTTCTGTCTGTCTCGCCTCCTGCTATCTTGAAAGAGTTGGCAGTGACTCGGGCTTTTTTTTGCATAAGAGCCGAGATAATCTGAGCCTGTTTAGATCAATTAATGGAGAGATAGGGAGTACAGTAAGTAAACTGCAGAGAGCCTGCAAAAGTCAGCTGTGCGTGGAATGGAGTGTGGAGTGTGTCCCTGTGCTTTAATACAAATATACGTTCTGGTGAAGATGGTAGGATGAGTCTGAAACACTGACGTCATTTTGCTCACCTGCTGAGTTAAAAACAGACCTATTATGCTAAACCATATTATAATATATACAAATAATGTTTCAGTGTTTTGTGTCCCTAAACCTCAGGAAAGTTTTGTAACATGAGATACACTGATGGTGGTGTAGTCACCAAACAGGTTTTCCAGTGTCTCCAAGAAGCTTGTGAAGGACTGTTAGTAAGATGAGGTAGATGGCCTGATCAGGGTTAAGGATCTGACTATCGATTGTGGGGCGTTGGTACGCACGAGGCAGGGAGGTATGCATTTTATGACGTTTATTCAAGGTCCTGATGCGCACAGAGTACAGGTAGGTATGGTTGCTGAAACAGAATAATATCAGAAAAGGAATATCAGGAATTTGTAAACTAATTTATCATAACCAATATCGGATACATAACATGTATAATGCACAAAAACTGTGGCTAACATATAAACCATGGGTGAAGAAATAAATTATAATTTAGGCCAAATAATGTCAATATATGCAAATTATCCATCAAATGGTAACTTACATTCAAATTTCATTCTTCACGAACGACTACAGACTTCTTGCTATCAGGTGTCAAACTGACTCTAATAGACAACATGTGGGATTAGGCCCCTCAATAGCTGACTGAATTATGCCTGAGTAGAAAAAAGGAAACACTTCTCAAAGGGACAGTATCACAGGTTTGTGTGATATTGTATTGCTAAAGACATGCTGCCAATAAGCACTGTTAAATTCCATTTTTATATTGTGATATATATCGATATCGACTGATATGAAAATATATAGTAATATCCCATATTGCCCAGTCCTAGCTTTATGCTTACATGACAAAATGTGAAGCTAAATGGGAGCTGATAGTTAACCTCAGATCTCAAACTGTGTGAGAAGTAACACCCACAAGCTGTGTCTGACTTTTTACCACAGAAAAGAAGTGTTTCAGGCACAGGCTGAATAGTGCTGAATTGGGTTCGTACAAGCGCCAGCTAAGCTACGAACAAGGCCACGTGTCACAGGACTTTCCAGATGAAGGGTAAAGATGACTATAACAGGTCTCCTTCAAGGTGGTGGTGGATATGTAAGAGAGGATGTGTAAAACAACTATGACGAGTCCAGGGTCTATACTTAGATTGGGCATCTTGGGTCTAGGCCATATGATACATGTCAATACATAGTCAATGATGAGGTTACATATACAGCAACTGCCTGTGTGATACAACAATGGACGGTACATTCATTTGGACACTGTAAGCATTCACTGACTGAAACAAATATTTTAGAAAAAGGGGTGTGGCTTCATGATTGACAACTCTATCAGACTCCTGCAGCATCCTGTACCGGCTCAGCAGAGCAGAGAAGGAATGGTGGAGAAACATGTGACCAAGAGGAACACATGAGCCATTAAACTTCCTACGACTGAGGGTCTCCTTCAAATCAACACAAGAACCTTTTTCCACTATGTTTTTTCACACATTTACCGTCCTACAATACTGTACTGTGTACTGTAAAACTGTGCAGATGTACATCAGTGTCTGCAGTGTACATAACCAGAACATATATCTAGGATGGGCAGAATAAACTGAAGGTAAAACCAAACATATCAAGATATTAAGTTGGTCAGATTTCTAAATAAATGCACATCTTCCTTTATATTCACTGAATTTTATCAATACGGATATTTAATGACATGCATGTCTGTGTATTGATACGATCAAATAATCTTTCAATCCATGGCACATGGGTATTATACCACGTGGAAGGTCTTCATTAAATAACTCTAAGCTGACTGTGTGTCTCCACTTCAGCGTCTGCCCTTATTCAATTCCCATTCCCTCCTCGCCCTCAGTATCTCAATTTAACACCACAGCCCTTAGAGGTCAAAAAGACACCCTGGCGCCAGCTGTCCATCCTAAAGAGGATAGAAGGGTTGTGTGTGGAGGGGCTGGAGGAGGAGAAGGAGATGGGTGGGGGGGGTCATTAATTATACATAGGCCGTATTTTGCATAACTCCTCTCCTCTGCCCCCTTCACGCCACTGTCAGGCTTTAACAGGTTCGGAAGCGAGGGCTGCATCCGCTCTTCATGATAACATCTCCAATAACAATTAAGGTGGAAACATGTAATTTGCCAAGGAGGAAAAAAAAAACTGTCAATACACTCTGGTGCCTTTGCATACTAAACCAGAGGCCTGGAGCTGAAGAGTTTACAACTTTGATAACTGCCTTTTTTACACCAAACACAGCCCCCCTCCAAAAAGGAGTGCACCGTCTAATACAGGGAATAGTTGCAAATAAAAATAAATGCACAACCTATTAATAGATACCCGTTTCGATGCCAGGATTACAACACAAATGATGAAAAGACTATTAGCAGTGTTCAAAGCTACACAGCAGCATAGCAAACTTGGAATAAAACAACCATCCTCGCAGACAGACACTTATGCTGCTATCGAGTATACAACCAGTCAGAGAGGAAAAAAGTAGTGCCTGCTACTTCTGGATCATATTGTGCGTCTGCCATGCACTACTTCAGTTACACACAAAGGCTACTGATGAGTATAAAAGTGGTTCAGCTCGGCAGTACAACCCCAGACTGCAAACAAACTGGACTGTTCCATTTTCATGGAAAAGCAGCCCAAAGCCTACGTGGAAATATTTTAGATGACCACACCCATCCGCTAAATTACCACTTTCTGCTTTTGCCTGCAGGACAGAGACGCAGACTCCCCTGTGCAAAGAGAAACATTCATAAAAAAAAAAAAAATCTGCATAAAGTATCTTATTAAGGACACTTAAATCCAGCTTGCTACCCCAGACAGCACACAACACTTAATATTGTTACTTTGAAAACCTTATTACTGAATTATTCACTTAGTTATATTACTTATTATTAAACATGAAGGTTTGCAAATCTGTTGAACTGTACTTGAATTGTCATCAAATAAATAAAGTCCCAGAGAATATGGAGAAACCATTGACCATAAAGGACAAGGCCAAAAATCAACACTGAATGGCTATGACCTTCAGACCTTCAGTGAGCAGTGCATAAAAACAGACTTGACTCTGTAGTGGAAATCGCCGCAATTTTCTGGCCGGTCACTGATCTTTAAAAAGCTTGAACTACCGATACCGATTTTGGCTGATACTGATTTTTTTATTTTCTTTTAATAACTGACAACATACACCTTCAATGCTCCAATCTTATTTTGATGAAAAACACTGAGCAATACTTTTGAAACAATACAAACTTTTTGTGTTTGTTTTAACTGCACATGAGGTAGTTCTCTCTAATATACATGAAAAGTTTAAAATATCACTTTTCAAACTACTTAATTATATCAGTTTCTTCTGTCTTTTATTTCCACATTTTAAAAATTAACAATACTTGCACAACAGGTCACACTGCAGGCTTGCTTGAGCCTCTTACCAAAATAAAGTGTACAGCAGTATTTTGCTTTAACAAATAAAGGAAATCACAAGGTTTGACAATGTTAGTAAAATAATGATCTACAGGACAAACTAACAACACGACTTAAATCACCAATAAACTGTCCTGAGTTTGATGTTTCCTTGTAGTGGGTTCAACATGCTTAGTTGATCATGCTCTGGAAGACTGTTGTGTGTGCCACTTGCGCTGACGCACATGACCTAGTGGGCGGGCCTGCCATTCTGGCAAAGCAAAAAACAAAAAACGGCTGACTTTCAGACCTTTGCAGAGGTTGATAAGATCGGTGGATAAAATCGGTTTCATATGTAAGGATCAGCTGATCACTGATTCCCCAAACTTGAGGAAATCAGCGCTGATCGATCAGTGCATGTTTAGTTGAAACTGTACCATGCCAAGAGAAAATGTATGTAAACATGATCCAGAAACACTGACAACTTCTCTGGACCTGAGACCAAATCAAAATTCAATTAATTCTTTTTTGGAAATCACAGACTCCTGTGTCCTCCCCTCTACAAAGGAGAGGGACCACACTGTGTGTTATCAACACACAGCTCAAAAGCTACAGTCCTTGATGGTATGGAGTTGCAGAAGGGTCCGTGGTGCGTGTAGCTACACATCTGGGCGGGCGCCATTTATGCTGAATAGTAGGAGCAACAGCTGCCATCCAGCCAACACATTTTTTCTGGGAAGACCTTCATATTTCAGCTAGGCAATGCCAAACAACACTGCAGGCATCACTTTGGTAAGCATACTGAGTGGTTCATGCTATAATATTACCAAAAGTAAAAAGTCCTTAAAAACGACTGAAAAAGCGACTTTTAAAACTCGAACTCGTAGAAATAAGTCCCATTGTTCAATACTTGAAAAGAACAGAGATGGGAAAAGTTTTCACGAGTTACAAGTTAATGTAAAGACAGCTTTCTTGCATTTCAACTAAAACTTTTAAATCGACAAAATTACAATTTACAGAGAAAAGTACATCCTCACTCTTCTCCATTAAAACTCAAATTACTTGTTATAAAGTTAATTCAGGACTTGTATGAAATTACAAGTGCAGAGGCAACTCCACCACAGGTCTTTTCCTGCTTTGTACTTTTGGTCTTCATTAAATAATGACTAGGTAGTGACTTTTACCTTTAAGTGGTTATTTCTTAGATAATGACATGTGACTGTTAGTCTGAATAGACTTCCTCTTCATTTTGCTGTTTTTAACCACGGCACAAGGGGAGAGAGAGTACCTGCTGTAAATTTCAACCTGCAGAAGAGTTTCATCTCTCCACCACTGGGAAAACACCCTGATCCTTTTAAGCATGTATCCAGACTGACCCCATCCTTTCATCAAAAGTGATAAAAGCTTCGCCTTTACTTCTGATGCCACCTTCCCCCCTAGCTTCCCACCTCCCTACCTACAGTCACTATGACTGCTTCATCTGAATCAAGAATGCAAATGGGGCTGGAGCCTCACAAAGCCTGGGGTGACCTATATTACAGCTAATGATGGGCCACAGTGTCGGAAGAGGAGCTGGAATGAAAGAGAATTTGAATGAAGCTGACCCACATACAAAGGCACGACCAGTCGGAAAGACGTGTTCCCTTCCCACTAAGTAGGCCACAATGGGCTTCAGGATTATGCACAAGTTCCCCTTTTCTCCTGATGGATGGAAATGGGAAAAGTGATGGGAAGCCCCTGGCAACAGGAGTCATTCCTTACATGCAACGAACAGGTTTGTAGTACGCTGGGAGTCTCAGCTTGTTAAATGGGAATCAGTTTTCTTTGCCAAAAACAGCAGAAAAGTGATACACACGGTACACAAACACTGAACCTCATTAAGATGGGCAAGTATTCACTTTACAACCTGATTAGGGCAGAACCAGAATAGAAATCACCTCCTGTACCAGCATCAAACAGAATAGACACATTTTAATGTCATTTCCATTGGCCTGAGAAAGGAACTCGACCTATAAAAAAGGTTTTTGATCCAAGTCCAAAGGAAGATTTTTTCAGTGGGGTTGTATAAGATACTTGTCGATAAGAGGGGTATGACCCACAGGGATCCTGGTCAGCTCAGCCCCTTTGTAGAGAAACTTGGTGGAGAACTACCAAGGCTTCAGACCTGATGGAGTCAACTGAACTTAGTAATTTACCTACTTTTTACAAAGTCAGCACCTCTAAAGCTTATGTTATGTTTATGCTCAATTTTGACATGTTTTAGCCCTTTACAGGAAGCCACTTTGTTTTTGACTCTTCACAGAGATGGCATATACATACTCCAATAGACAAGCACTACAAGTTATTTAATCTACTGCCTCACGTTTTTGTTGGTTACAGAGGTGAATTAATGTGTTTTGGTTCATTTTAGTCACAAATGTTTGACACTTTGGCCTTGGTAATTCAAAATCATTTCTTCGCCATTATACATAAATATGATTTATGTAAATAACTATAATGTTGTTAATCCTATACCTTTAATACGTCATTATGGCTGCTTGGGACTTGAGGAAAATTGGTCTTTTTATACTTTGTGTCTTGGGCAGGGCCTGACCCAGCCTTATAAGCAAAGGCAACATACATTGATAGGTAAAAAAAAAATCAATCTACAAGCAGTGGAAGCAAGATAAATGCTTATATTGTTACACTACAGTAACTACCAAAGTTGTTAAATAATCAGAAAATGATTGTGCCTGGTTACATATTTAAAAACCTCTTAAGGACTTTTAGCAACAATTTTTTTGTTTTCAAAATTGTGTAATATTCTGTGTTAAAAAAGGTATAGACTGCTTTGAATAAGTAGACAATTTTTCCCTAAAAATACTAACAAAAAAAAAAAACTTTCAAACAAGATCTTATTGTAACTTTCTTCATAATTTTCAAATAGATACACTGTAAAATATTAAAATGAGACACAGACGCTTAGTATATTTCAATACAGTTAATTCTTAAAAATGAACAAAAAAGGATCAAAATCGCGTCTCCTGATTGTTGAAAGCCCATTCTTTAATTGAGACATCACCAAGATGAACTAACAGCCTCCTTTTCCTGCATTAATAGTTGCGATCAGAGCTCTCTTATTTAAAATGGATGTATCATGTTTTTGAAGGAAACCCACCAATTACGGGCGGAGCTACCACAGCACATTATTCATGCAGAGCCCCTGGGATTTTAATCCAGCCAGGAAACATGACTGAACAGGATTTTTTAAAAATATAATCTTAAATGTTGCTTTTATCAGCAGTGTTTCTGTTATTAATATACCGCGCAGTAAAATAAGTTGACTCTTAAAGAGTTACGTATGGATCTGCGTGCCCCTGCATCCGTGTGAATACACAGAGGGCTGGATGTCCCCCCTTTGTAAGAGACACAGATAGGAAATGTTTTATTTCCTGAGCTCATGTGGCAAGCAGGTAGTAATTGGTGTGTGTGTTAATCCTGGGATAACAAGTGTTTTCCAAGGAGAGTCAATGATCATCTTACAAGGTCAGTTTAGCCCCGCACACTGCATGCATAATGGAGAATGCAAAGGCTAATAGGAACATAATCACATCACACACAGGAACACACTCTCTCTCTCTCTTTCTCTCTCTCTCTAACACACACACACACACACACGCTTTTGTACTCATTCCCCAAGTAAAGGTGATGCACCAGGGAAAATAATACAGTTTGATCTTTAACTGCCGTCGCCCCTCTCTGGAAGACTTTCCGATGGAACAGGGCCACCCTGCGGTCTAACACAAGCCTTACCATCATCTTAGCAGGGGACCCTTCCCCTTTCCCTCCAGCCAATGGGATTACAGCTCGGAGGTGGCGGCAGAGGCGACCACGCACCGTGACCCGTCCGTTTTTTTATGACTTCATTATTTTCCCTCCCTGCCACGCTCGTTTTCATTTGCCAGAGCGGGGGCATAATGACTGCGCTATAAAAACGCTGCTTTAACGTTTGCATACTGTTCTCATTTGGTCCGGCCCTCAACCCTTCAGCTAGCATATGGCAGGTAATCAGGTCTGCAATCAGGGCTGCACGTTACACAGGGCCCCGTTTTCAGCACAGGGGCTATTACCCATCTGTCTCTGTGCGCACACACACACACACACACACACACACACACACATACACACACACACACACACACACACGTGCATCCGTGCAGGCATGCAAGCACTCAAATATGCAAGAGTAGATACTTGTACACAGATTCATCCCCGGCACAGGGGCACACACACACACATAGAAGCGTGCACACCCTCTCATGCACATACACAAACGCATACACAACCAGCCCATCACCTAACCTATAGAAAATCTCTGTATGAGGGACTCAAGCTAACGATAATGTCTGTGGAATGTGCAGTCCCTGTAAGTCCTTACCTTGTGTAGCATTAATGGCAGAAAAGATTTCACAGCTGTATGTGACAGCGTGTCTTTGCTAGTATATGGAGCGTATTTAACAAAGCCAGTTGTATTAGAACCCAAACCCCTCTGCCCCTCACCTCTGCATAACCTGGAACAATCATTTTACGCACATCAAAGCACATACATTCTCAATAGCTTTAGCATATGGCTCTGTCATTAAGTATGAGGCGCATTTAAAGGCTTTAGAGGAAGAAATCTGCCTTAGACTCCTGATGGTACGTATGACCCTAGAGATGCTTTGATCCCTTTAATGCCTTAATAGGGCAAAGACTTAATGATAGCTATTTTACAAGTTTGAGGATAATTTTTAAATATCTCAGGGTGCAAGTTAGAATCAGCGTGCCAGAAGAATACAAATAAGTTTAATCAAGTAAAGATGTCCAAATTTTTTGCCTTTAACTGTGTTAGTTTACAGACAAAGAGCTTTGACTTAAGAGGCATTTTTTCCTTCTTCCTGGAAATACTAGTGTGACAAATGGTTTCACCCATTGGTGGCAAATGTGCTGTAAAATTCTGTGTACAACACAAGCTTTAGTTCAACCCATCTGTAAAGTGAACTGCATCCTATACATCAGTGCAACTAGTATTAATTCCCCTCGGGGATTAATAAAGTTCTCTATCTATCTATCTATCTATCTAATGCAGTATACTACAGTGGCTCATCAAAAATACTGAAATATCCCTCTAAGCCAAAAAGACTGGAAACTTCACTTGGCAGAACATTCTTATTACGGTCCATGACAACTATCAAACAAGACAACAGCTTCAAACTTTTATGAAAAATAAGCTAATTCTGCATACCATGAAAAAGCTTTTCAGTCAGTACATTCACATGCATAGACAAGTCGAGCTATATTCATAGCTCAATTGAGCAATTTAACTGGACTACTGTCCTCGTCCCAGTTGACATGCACTGGGCAAGAATCAAATGATTGCCAGAAGTGTGCCGCCTCTGTTAGGTTAGGTGGCGACTTCCCCCCTTTCAGTTTGTTACTATCAGGGCATCTCCCAATGGACCGGTAATGTGTAAAAACAGTCACTGGGACGTGTTAGCAGGAGGCTAACAGGATTTATGCTGAACGATGAAAACAACATCACTTCCACAGCTCTGTAATGTCCTTCGAATAATAGAGAGTTTCGGCTTTTTAGCGTCCTTTCTTTGTTTGCTCAAAGCCAGGCAAGTGAACACTAGAGCACATGCAGAATGCTCAGGCTAGCTTCAGTTCGACAAAGCCGAAAACATGAGAGAGAAAATCAATCAACTGCATTATTAAGGTATGTTAGACAGACCTTGATCAGACAAATCTGTTCACATCATTTTTCAGTCAGACTAAAGCAAAATAAATAGATGATTAATTAATGTGAAAGTGCGCCGCTTGCACAAAGGCTGTAGTCTTTGCTGGTTAGATTCCTGACCAAAGCCTTTTGCTGCATGCCCCTCCCCATTCTCAGCTCACATTTCCCATCTCTGTCCTACCCAATACAGGCGGAAATGGTCCAAAAACAAACAACTTAACCCAACTTTTTTTATTTTTTCATGGCAAGTTTTCACATTACGTGGGACATTTTACTGTCAAAGGACAACAGGTCGATCGATGTCTGTTTATTTTTAGAGAACCCATCCTCACTTGCCAGAAATCATTATGAATCTCTGCAAATACAAAAGTTAGCCATGCTGTTGCTCCTGCTCTAGTCTTTGTTGGATTTTCATACGGCTTTATAGAAATCTCTCTTGATCAAAGTGAATATTTTCTGGGTCCTGAACAAATAAGGTCCCAGTTGACTATTGGTGATTGGAAATTAAATAAACCAGTTGGACTTTATTCCTTCACACACCCTGTTAAGATGCCATGACCTCCAATCGGGTCAATTCCCAGAATAATCCATGGATTCAGCTTTGTTATTTGAATCAGCAGTGATGTTATTTCAACTGACAGACACATTATACATATGGAATATGGAGACAAGAGGCCCTGTGTGATGATGATGGACTTAATGTGACTGGCATACTACTGTGAAGTCCAAAGGTCACCATTACTGACAGGAGGTAAAACCAAAAGGTCTGTTTCCTTTGGCGGACGGGGATGGAACTTCCAAAACTTCAGCCAAAGACAAAAGAGACGTTTCCAGCCAGCGTACAGTACTACAGAGGCAATTCTGAGGGCAGCCGAGACTAAAGATAAAACACAGTTGTCAGAAAATGCAGCGGTGATGACAGGACGGACCCAATCTGGCAAAAAGGATGGAAACCATTACTTCCAACTGGACTGGGGCTTTGAAGATTGGAGGAATCTTGTGGTGGGATATCCACCCCCCAACCAGGCATCCCAGCAGAATCCACCAGTACCCTCATTTGTACAGATGTCCAGCCAAATAGTTCATGTGCGCCTGTGTACTTTTCTGTGTGAGAGTGTGTGTTCCATCTTTCCTCTGTGCCGCACAAATCCACTATGTACACACACATTCCCTACCTCGGCGCCCATGTTTCATCCTCTCCGCTCTCCCCGTGTTGTGTTTGTCGAGCTCTCAGGCCCAAATCCATTATTACCTCCTGAAATGACAACTCATTTCCACAAATGTAATCCCTTCCCTTGCCTGCGTGAGGCTGTAAAGTAAACACAGTCCTCTCTCTAGAAAGCACAGAGCAAGGAGGGTACAGACCCACTGCTTCATATTTGCAAAGGGAGCTCAGATTTGTGAACGTCAGACCCAAGAGTGAAGATGATAAAGACTGAGAGCATTTGAAAGGATTTATTTGAGAGTACTGCAGTCTCTGTCTCTCTCTATGAGTGTGTGTGTGTGTGTGTGTGTGTGTGTGTGTGTGTGTGTGTGTGTGTGTGTGTGTGTGTGTGTGTGTGTGTGTGTGTGTGTGTGTGTGTGTGTGTAAAGATAGATAGATAGATAGATAGATAGATAGATAGATAGATATGGACATTTTGCCCATCAATTTTATTAACCTTTATAAAATCAGCTTCTCCAGCTCAAATAATTAGCACTACTCAAAGTTAGTTTTAGGAACTCTTCCCTGAAATATATCTAGTGGTCAAGACTGAAATGCGCCCCTGCTCAACCCTCTATTTGGTGAGGCTTTACAAGCAACGGTGGCCCTCAAGGGCAATGTGATGTGGTCAACATGGATCAGGGATAGGCCATGGGCTTGTTGTGTTAAAGTGGAAATGAAACGTGCATATTTTGTTACTGGTAGTAGTAGGATATATTTTAATAAACGACCTTGGCTTACATTGGATTTTGAAAAATGGCGAAAACTATAGAAATAAGTTTATTTTCGTAGTTTCTAGTTGGCTCTCTACCTAGCGAGCCACCATCTTGAAGTGACGTTGTTGATTACATCATGAGGGTTGGTTGGTGAACGGAGCACAAGAAAGATAAATCCATAACCAGGAAGTATTTCTCATGAACACATACTGATAAACATTTAGGAATCTGCATGTGGTGTTTTATTTTAAAATTTACTGGATTCACTACATCCTGCTTGTGTTCGACTTCCTGCCTGATGCTATCTGCTCTGTTGAGATTGATGCATGTTGGAAGCATAGAGTGTCGAAAATAGACTCCAAGGATATCTTTAGCAGAGTGGCGTGCCAAGACATTTCTGGCACGGTGCAGAGACAGAGCTGGGACGCATCCTTTGTGCAATGCTGCATTGATTAGAATGCAAACGTATTTGCTGCGTAGCACAAGACGCTGATGGAACACACTCAACACGGATTGTGAGGGTTTAGGGGTTTAGCCTCAAAAATAAGATTAAGAATTGTCTGTAGTCTCATTTGTCATGTCTCAAAAAGTCATGTCCTTTGTCTCATGTTCCCCAAAAGAAGAACAGTCAACAGTTTATGACAACGGACATGGTGACCGTGGGGGAGATATTATTGTTTCTGTTTGAGGGAGGCAAACACTGAGGGGACGTTATAGACAGAGGTAGTCTATGAGGCTATTAAATACTTTACATAGTGCGGACAGATTGGAAAAAAATGTATTTTTTCAATGTATGACATATTTCTTTATTTTAATAGTCTATGGTTTGAACTATTGACTTCAGTTCTTGGCCCAGTACCGCCCCAGATTTTTGTTGGTGAAGCAACATTTGGTCCATGTAAGCAAGCTTGCAGAGAACAAGCAGAAAGATGGACATAATGAACGCAAAGAGCAGACAAAAGGCTTTATCCGTATATGTATCGTGTATCTTGCATAGAGTATAAATGAACTCTTGAAGAACCACAGTTAAAACCAGACAACCTCACTATCTCAACTCAAAATCACTCCCATGCAAACCCAAACACACACTCTCCTCCGAGTGCGCACATGACACAAACACTCAGAGTCGAATCTCCCTCACTCTGCTCTCACAGAGAGATAAACAACAATTAAAAGAAAAAATGTCATCCATCAGCCTGCCCAGCAATCCATCCCTCACCCTCAGCCACATCATATGTGACTGGTTTAATCGCAGGCCAATCACTGCCGGGTCACAATTAATAAAAGCCACACCGGCCGCAAATAAACAAGTCCAAATTGCTGCCTTAATCGAATGATGCAAACATCGGTGAGTTACAAAAGTTCACTGCTGCCACTGACAATTTCCTAATTGTATTCACTCATTCATGGCAATTTTATTAACATGGAGCGGATGTCTTCTGCCCTTCCACTGTCACAGCACCAGGGATCTAATTTCATTATTTTCCACAAGATTTGCTTGACTACTGCCGCCATGCTAGTGGCGCGCCACGGCCAGATGTTTATGCTATTTAAATGAGGAAGCAAAGCCTGTTGGGTAAACATAATTAAAGAAAGTTGAGGCTTTCTTTTTTTTTTTTTTTTTTCTCCTCACTTCCTCTCTTCCCTGCCTTCTCTTTGTCTACCTACCTCTCCAACTATAAAATCTCTCTCCCTCAGTCTTTCTTAACTTTACTTCATTAGACAAATTTCAATTAACATCTGAGCCACATGTTTCTCTGAGCGGGAGCACAAGGCCTGCACGGAGGGCTGGGTACGCAGAGAAGTGTGACGCAGTGGACAACCGGAGCGCGCACACACAAACACACACACAGAGGATGCACAGATGCTTTAGCCTACACTTAGCATGCAAATATGCAGAGTTTGTGTAACGAACGAGTGCAGCAGAGAACAAAACAGCAGAAATAAGGAGCTAAAGTCAGTGTTGTCTCTGCAGTGCATGTTGACCGCTTGTTAAAAGTGAGTACATGTGTGCGAGTAATCATTCGCAGCTCTATCCTACCTGTGCAGCTGATGAATCCAAACACTGTTGACCTGTGGCCCCTCCGGCGGTGTGTGTGTTTATTAAAATCATCACCCAATCACACAGGCATTGCTGTCCACGCCTGTCGCATGCTAAATAAGAGGAGAGACAGAGACAGAGAGAGAGAGAGACGGAGGGTAAATTAAATCACTCATGTCATGGTGCTAATAGGCCGGCCTCACTTTCCGTGTAATTCCAGAGCCCGGCGCTGCAAGTAAAAAAAAAGTATTAAAAAAATTTAGAGCAAGACCAATCTATTAAGGCCAATATCACAGGCAGAGTGTTACAAGAGGTCATTACAAGATTATGTAAACTAAGAGCGAGTGTTTCCATGCAGTGGTCATTTACATGTGATTACTGCATCAGACTTATGCAGCGATTATACTAGAGGGCTGCTTGATATGTCAAGCTATATACACAGGCTCAGGGCATGCACACAGGCACATTGAAATATATCGGCAGAGTGAATTATAGAGGGGATTTGATCTTCAAAATAAAAGCAAACTCTCAACAGCTCTTGTTTGCAGGGCGTTTGTTGATTTATACACCAATGTCTTCGTTTAGCGGCGTGATTTGGGGGACGCCTCGCTCATAAAAGCCCTCATTCTAACCAGCGGCAGCAGCAGAAGCATTCATTTACCCCGATTGATAGAAAACACCCTATTCTCTGCGTGCATTGCCGCCCCGCGCTGCCAGCTTGATGGCTGAAATATGCTCGGCGGCTGCAGCCATACAGCCCGCTTTTTAAGTATGCAGCGCGCGGCACATTCGATACCCTTTAGTGCACACGAACTGAGTAGCTGTCAAAAATACAACAGGCATCTCAAGTAATTATGCAGATTTATGCAAAACATTAACAAGAAGAATTAAAGGCACAAATGAGGTGGCTACACTTGAATTGTTAAGATTATGAATAATTACCATGAATCTTTTTGCTCTTAATATAACTTGTTTTTGATAAACAAAGCCTTAATTATCGGAATACTTTGGAGGATTCCGGTGACCTTCATTAATCTTAGACAACAAGTCTCCGGTGAGACTTGAGATGAGGCCTACACACGTGCACTCAGATATACACACACACACACACACACACACACACACACTCTGGTATAGGGTAAACACGCACGCATGGCAGCGCATATGCTAACTAGCCACTTCAGCCCGGAGCGAGGAGACAGACAGTTACATCTCCTAGTTAAGCCAAGAGAGCTCGTCACACTCCCTGGTGTGTCCAGGTACACTAAGCCAGGAGGACAGATGCACTCGCACACACACTCTCACACACTCTCTCACACATACACACAGCAGGTGACTCAGATGCTCCTCTGAGAATTGGCAGCACCAGGTTCTTCACTAATTACAATTACATCTCACTTCCCTCCCCTTTCCACTTTCCTCTAACTTTGGACATGAATATTCCAGCGGAGCCATTGTGAATTGGACACGCTGCTCGATATGTCCCATAATTAAAAGCATGATGTGCGAGATGAAAATACTAAGGGCACTCTGCTCAGAGCTCGCTGTAGCATAGGAGGAGAAATGAGATTCATTTTTTTTTTCAATCTGAAACAACACAGTGGTGTGAAAGAGAAAACCAAATCTGCGTACAAACTGTTTTTACCTCACTGCACCACAGCAACACCTCAGTCTCTCTCATCAGACACAAACTTTTGACTAAAAGTTTGCATTAAAACCCCCTAAATGTGTCATGTGATCTGCAAGCACCCTTTCTAGCTGCAATGAATTATGTCTGAGCTATCTCTGCTCTTTCAGTCATCTCCAACAGTTATATTTACAGCCGTCTGCCATTTCATGGATTTACACACATAAGAAAGAAAAGAGCCTCTTAGTTTCTTTATTCTTGTTTTTGAGTTTCAACTGTTTCTTTGAGAAAGGCTTTGAGATGTAATAATTATGAAACAAGGGTCACACCTATTGTTTTTTGGCTCTGTTTTCTGAGATCATGGTAATCAGACATTTTTGAGGATAAAACGTTGATCAAATCATTTTTTTTCTCTAGACACAGAACAGCAATTAGTACAGGCCTATTATTTTTATGGTTGTCAATTGGCATAGTGAGGTTATGGTAATAGTAATGGGGATTTTAAATGATAAAGGGTGCCGTTTTTAAAGAGGTTGCTCCTCTCTCTGACACCTGAATTATTAAATTATTTGACAAAGAGACATTCTAAGTCCTTCCTTCCTGCTCCAGTAAATAAACTCAGTCCTACCACCCATGTGCAATACACACAAACTTGATATTTATTTTGTAAAATACATAAAACTTTACTCCAGTGCAATAACAGGAAACTTTTTTTTTCTATCAAACTTAACATTTTGTTCATTTTAAAAACTTTTTTATGATTATCTGTGCTTTAGCTCTATGATTACTTGTTTCTTCTGTGTGTGCTATGCTGATCATTTATTGCTGTTAACCCTGAAATTTTTGCCCACCGCAGTACGAATAAAGGTTTGTATGATCTTATTTCCATAAAGTTCTATTTATATGAATTCAGACAAACTAAATACACAAAATGAAGACTGAAACAGTATGTTGTAAAACAAACATGAAGTACTAAGTTACAGACAGAAAAAAAAAGAAAAAAGTTTAAGAATATTAAGTTAAAAAAGGGAACGTGTGTTTTGAACAGTCAGGTTTAGATGCCTGTTCAATGGTGACAGATTTATGGGATTTTGATGACTCGCACCTAAACCCAAACTACACCTTCTAAAAGGTGTGGTCTCCACTATCAGTGTGTGCACACAGATATACAGCATACTTTATTTAAAACTGCCTTTTCATTGTTTGAAAAGCTCTGAAGAACGCCTGAAAGCTCACTGCATTAACATGAAAACTGTACCAAGTGTGTGGATACAAAGTTAAGACAAGGTCAAGCGGTAGTCTCTCTACAACTCTCAAAAATTTTAAAAACTTTTTTTTTCAAAATCAGATTTATTTACTTTAACAATCAAGGGCTTTATAAAGCTTATTGTGCATCAAGGGCTTAAACGATAAATGTGGATAAATCACCCAATAAAACCTGCTGGAGCTTCTGAATAATGTCAGTAATATGAAAAACACATTTTGCACAAGATTTTATGAAGTATCAGGTTAAATCATGAACTGGATTAGTCGAGTTAATATTCCTCTGGAAGCATCAGAAACTATTTGAAAGCTTAACTTCCCATCTGGCTCATGGATCTACCATTTTCCACGTGTCATTAAAAGTTACTCGTGACATGACTTCTGCATCTGATGGATTATCATTGCATTACATGTGCCAATGGTGTCCTCTAGAATAAACTCTGAACACCTTATTGGATTTAATAACAAAAAAAGAACAATGAATAAAATAAACAAACCCAAATAATAAAAACATTCAAATTTGAAGGTGTTAAAAAAATATGAAATAGTAAAAATGAATTTATATTCGGCTGTACCCACGGTGAACCAGGTATCTTTGAATCAGACTCAACGACTCAGCTAAACACTGAGCTGAATAGAGAATGTGTATTACTCATATGCCACTGAATATTATGCATAACTAATGCTAACAGATTAAGTTTGATTATTATGTGTTGATCAGAGTCAGTGCTGACTTTGCACCCTGTGAGGCTCCAACAATTAGGTCTAGTCCCATGGGTGCTAGACACCCCTGGGTCCTGTCAATCAAATCTCTGTTGATTGTTTTTGTTTAGCCGTCTTGTTGTCGCTTCTTTTTCAGTCTTCCTGATGATCGTTTGCTGAGAGCACAAATACTGCACACTTCTTTTTTTTCTATCTTCTTAGCCTCATCAAAGTATTTTTATGTCAAGAGTTTTTTCACACAGACTATCAAAATAACCAGAAGTTTCCGAAAATATACTTACAGGTGTAACAATAAAATGAAAGTTATACTGACATGACCAAATCTGTCAACAGAGGTCTTCAAGTGTGATGAAACTAATGCCTATATACTTTTCTTGGGGGGGGCAAGTAATCAGATCACATGTAATCTGATTACTTTTCTTCAAAGTGGTCACAGTACTTCTCCTCAAGGCTAACCCCCAATTTTCACTGCATCCGGAACAGCTCCGATCCGATTTTCGCTGTTCCCCAATTCCTACCGGATCCATTTGTGAGGTGAATTTCGAGTCGGATTACTGACAGCAAGAATCCACGGATTCACGTGGAATTGCGCAATAACAAGTTGTATCTATAAAGACAGCCGTAAGTAGTAAATTGTGTCCTTCCAAAGGAGGAAATTCACTTTTAGACTTCTAGAATCAGCATCTCGTCATCCATGGTGTCATCGGGGTGAAATGCTGTCTATAAACCTTTCGCTTGTTTGTCTCCGTAAAGAAGTCGGTGGAAATTGACACATTAACTTGAATGGTTACGATCAGCTGTGATTGGCGGATACAGTCTTTTCCTAGCTGTTCCGGATGCGATGGAAATTGGGGGTTAGAGTTATACATATGTTTCCGTATTTGAGGGTGTGGCTGTTATGTCAGACAGATGAGCTTGCCCCACTCAGCACCACCTTTTGAGTGGTGGAAAATTAGTTTGTGTCATCAATGCCACTTGTGTCATTCTGTAAAAACCATAGTTTGGGTTCAAAATGTCTCTTCAGAATCTAATGATTGATGTCACAGAGCTACTTTGTTTTAATTTTATAAAGTCTGGTTAATTACAGTGACACTGATGTTAGCAAGTTATCAAAGAGTTTACACTGCCAGAGATGAAACATCTGTAAATCATACAATACTGGGACAAAGGAATTACAACTTTAAAACAGTCAAGTCATGTACAAATCAGTATTTGGTGTCAAAATGTCGACTTAGTATTTTTAAGCTTTAAAAAGCTCCTGTGATTAACCTACAATTTGTATCAGTGTGTCAATGTTGGCGCCCCCTGTAGACAAATCATTCTTAGACTTTTGACAATCAGATTTGTATCATAGAAAATTGCAAAGTTATGATTTTGTCCATAAACAAAAAAAACTTTTTAGAAACTCTAAGAAACTTTCAGGGTAATTGGTATTGATCAAGACTCGTTCACAGATAAAACTCTGCAGATGCAAATGCTTGATACATTAGAGAGGAAATCCTACTTATTACTCTGTTAACCTGCTCTCTGGCTCTATTTTAATCACCCCTAAACTTCTAAATTGCAGCTTTTTAACCAGGTAATCTGTATGTCAAGGAGAGAAGTGATGGAGGAAAATATAAATCAACCCCTGTTAGCTTTTGCTGACAGGTTTGAAAGCTTCCAGTGCAGATGGAGGAGGATCCCTTGTGTAGAAATTTGAACCACACTAAAACTATCGTTGCCTTTAATTTTTAAAGTATTTGTTCGCAAACAGAGGTCACAGTTTACTGCTACTGTATTTATCACCATGTAAAGGGAATAAAAGGGAGGCTTGCAGCGTTTCATCTCTTCACTGATGCTGCTGCTGCTGGACAGAGTTAAAATCCTTCCTGGGACATCTGATGAAACCACAGCTCCCTGATCTGTGCGACTGCCCTCCTGTTCAAATAACTGTAACTTGAATAGTTTCTCAGGCCTGCTCTATTGATCATGAAAACACAGCAGCCCTTCATCTAGAGGAGAACAAAACAAGCCAATATAGCTTTCGGATGCTTTACTGCCCTCTAGACAACATCAATGCAGGAATATTGGCCCGGTTTACATAGGAGGCAACAAAAAAAGAGCAAAAGACAAGAGGGGGGAGAAAAAGATGGCCGCTGTTAAGCTGTTAGTCAAGAGAGCCAGATTTACCGTTTCTATTTCTACATTTTCCCTCTGCGGATCGATGGAGAAGTCGGTTCATTTTCTCCGACATCAATACTGCCAAGCCCGGTACAGTCCGCTCCCCTCCATCTGCCTTTCATCCTGGCCACACTGGAGCTGCTGGATGCTGGTGTGAGCCTGACGCTCGGGGTGACGGCTGCCCTCCCCGGCACAGGATCAGCTCAGACTCACCTAACCTCAGCCTGGTGGAGGAGGCAGGAGGAGGGGGGAAGAGAAAATAGCTGACCTCTGATGAGTGGTTCGGGGCGATGTCTGCTGCGTTTGTAGTCAGATGGTGGAACTTTGGAGGACCTTTTCCCACTTTTCGCGCAGCAGCAGGAAGCTAAATGTTGGCCGGCTGCTGCCTTAGCTGCCCTGGTGTCTGACTATGGAGGTGTTTCGGTGAAGAAGAATGCCTTCTTTAAGCACCTTGGGAGGAGCACCCAACCCCGGCTCAAACCTTTAAGCAGCAGGGAGAGACTGAGGAAAACTGGCCTGAGTCTCGGCGCTCAGAGGCAGCCCCAGCCGTCGTCTCAGCACCCTGACCTTTACACTTAGGGAGCAAGCTGGTCAAAGGCCCTGGACGAGTGAGACTGTTTGGCGGTCGGGGGAGGGGACTTGGCACGCAACTTTGAGAGTGTGGTCCAAGGTGCTCACAGGAAATCATGCCCCAGGACAGGAGCAATACACTCTGATCACATGACTTCTGTTTGATCCCTGCGCTCTGTTTTTATTCTTATTCCCCTTTTTTTTATCTCGTTTGATTCTGGGGCATATGTTCAGCCTGTGAAATCAATGTTTCTTTAATAAGTTTGAAGTGTGTTTTTGCTAAAGGTCAGAGAACGATCCACAAAAAAACAGATAGTAAAGGCAGCAGAAAAAACTAAATCCTACAGTGGTTCTACAGTATTGTTTAATCGTAAAACCTAACTGTGATCCTTGAGCAAATCAGAAAACACCAGGATACATCAATGCAGAAAGTTATCTGTAGTTAAACATGTATCATTATTCTAATTTACTGGTATTTTTGGGCTTTTTTAAAATAGCAAATGATTTAAAAAAGTAGTTAGGCCAATAAGATGCACAGCAGACACAATTTTTTCTGATAGTGAGCAGGTTGCAGCCTCGCCCCAACTTTCTTTGTCTCACGGTAGGTCAACCGAAAGTCAGGTTGAGTCAGCGTTTATCTGCCGCCAGCGGGCTTCAAATCTGTGCTTCAGAAACTGGTGAGTGACGTCACTGAAACTGCGTCGATGTTTAATAAATGTTAAGATGGCTTTATGTAGGACTGGGCGATAAAACGATATGATATATATCGAAAAATTAATTTCCCTCAATATCAATATAAAACATGGTCAATATGCTTTTCGATAGTTGGCATTCTGCCATGTTTTGGTAGACTATATGAATAGCCAATGAAAAGGGGAGTTGCCCTGGGTCCACTTTGCGCTGAACCAACTCGTGCTGAACTAGAACTAAGTAGCAAACAACTGTGTATTTGCAGGCTGCAACTATACGCAACCATAGCATTTTAACACGTGAAGCCGACAGCACTGACGGTGAGAAAAAAAGAAAATGAGTGCTACCTGCGGCTGAAATGCAGATGAAGTCTCAACAGATGATCAAAAACATTGACATGAAAATGTCGGTGGTGTGGAGGTATTTTAGTATTTTGAGGTTAGACATGAAGCAGAGTAATGTGCACTGAAAATTATATCGAGTACATGTTCTCGCAAAGTCAAATAATTTTCACCACCTGAAGCAGTGCCATGCGGCAGAGCACACGCAATGCAAAGGTAAAAACCCCAAGCGGGGAAAGGAGCCCATGGCGCCTGTGCAACCGAAACAGCCGACTGTTCAGTCTGCTTTCTCTAGCGCAACACCTTACGATGAAACGTCAAAGAATCAGAAAGACCTCGCAGATGCAGTAGCTTATTGCCGATAAGCACTGTGAAATTTCATTTTCACTGACTGATATGAAAAAAATATAGTGTGATAAACTTTTTCCCATATCGACCAGCCCTAGCTTGATGGGTCGAAAAATGGTTAATTTTCAGGCATGTTAAGACCTCCATTTTGTTACTATTTAGGCAAAAGAGAAAGAGAACAATAATCCAGTGAGGCTCTCTCCCTGTCTTGCATGCTTAGGCCTCAACAAAAATGGAAATGGGAAATAAATCTCTGAATTTTGTAACTCAACAAAAAAGGTGGGAGCACAATTTCTGCACCATTCTGCTAGTTTCTGCAGCTTCCTCCCAGTCAAGAATCCCATAATCCACCTTGTGTAAGCGCAGAGGCGTATGTGCAACATATTGCTCAGACTCTGACCCTGCTGCCTTCCTAATTAGGCCTAAGTGAAGTGTTGTTGTTGTCTTCCAGCCCCCCTGCCCTCACCTGCAGCTACCTGCTCAGACGTGGACTCCAGAACAAACTGCCAGCGCTGCCATTTGGGCTCCAGTGTGTTTCTGTCTGCATCCACGTTCCCATGTGGCCACCTGGACACAAACACACACACACATACTCACACACACACACACGCTAAGAGAGTCAGCCCCCACCTCCAGGCAAACAGATGTCCCCTTTAGCTAGCATGTCCACACAAACACACATCCCAGGCAACATGGATGTTCACAAAAGGCTGTGAAATGAAGTCTTCTGTCTGGCTCGGTTCACGCCGCAGCTAAATGTGTCCCACTTGAGATTTCTTCTTCAAATGTGACACAAAGCTTGAATCTTCTGAGTCTGATTTTTACTACACAGGGATGCACAATTACAAATCTGAGTTTCTCACATGCCAGCAAGATATTTTAATCTGACATATGTGGAGTCTCGCACCATCATATTAGTGTGGATGACTACACGTGGCTGGCAGAAGCATATTAAAGACGACAAAAACGTGTAAATGAAAGAAAAAACGTGCAGCATTTTTGCAGATGACCTCTTAGAAACCAGAAAAAAATGGCGCCAAAAATGCATCGCTTTTTCACGTCTGTGTTAGTCCAGCGGAATAGAGAAAAACTCAAATCCAGAAATTTATAAGAGAGAGTCTCTTTGAGGGTTCCTGTGAAAAAAAATGCATAATATTCTTCTTGCATCCGAAAATGAAGTCAAAAAACTTGCCTTCAAAAACTGTATGCATCTATATTCATATACACACATTTCTGCTGTTTCTACCCCTCTTATACACACACGGAGTCACACTTATTCAGCCAACCCCCCTTCATTTGTGATTTTGCCATTACCAAGGGTTTTATGTATGTGTGAAAGAGAGGGGGACTGCATGCAGTGCATTTGTAAGAGAGGCTCGACCTGACAAATGTATTCGGCTCCCAGTAGCACCGCTGAGCCCCAAAATTCATGTAAAACACCGGTAACTCCCGGTGCTTTTTAAAAAGGGATCGGCTGATAAAGGATAATGATGGAGATTTCGGCTTGATTATGGGAGCCCATCCCCATCAAATATTCCATTCCCTTTTTTCACATTCGAGCCTCATGATGGAAAAAAGGAAGAAAAAAAAAATCAGACCAATGTACCTGGAGCTTCAGGCCTGAACAAGAGACAGAAAAGAGACAGAGACAGAGTGCTCATGGAGACAGAGGAGATAGGGACAGAAGAAGGGGACATATATTTTTCAAACAAATCTGTATAATTGCATAGAAATATTCATGAGTGGTTTAGCATTGTTCATATCTTTAAGCACTAAAAATTGCAATCTGTGATCTAGACAAGCAGCAAACAGCCACTGACGATCAACATTCTGATGCATTTTTCTCAATTTTCTCTTGCTATTTCTGTAAAATTTGATGTATAAGAAACTCTAACAATTTTATATGTAAAAAAAAAAATAGGCAGCATTTATACAAACAAGTCCAAATACTACACAAGAGGGAAGAGTCCACCCCTTCCTGCATGCTAGCTTTGTCATGGGCATGCTCGATAATGACAGTCATCGTAACCTTCCATCACCCATTATCAGAATGTGACACTGAAATTTCACCCCTTCAGGAAGTCTTATAATGCTGTTCGTGTTGTTACTATAACAAAAAAAGACAAAATGGGTTCAACACAATAACATGAATGTGCAGTCTCGGCATTTAAACTACTGTCCCCTCAGTTTTCTGCGCTCACACTTGGTTTTTCTATCAGGTGTAAATGTCCTGTCATTTCGCCTTTGGCAGTCCTGATAGGTAAAGTTAGCCAGTGTGTCCCCATTTGTCAGTGTGAACTTGTTCGAGTACATCCTTAGACCTGAACAAGAAGTCAATTCACATATTCAGAGAGATCATTGCCAGTTCTTTAATATAATCTAAAGACAACTTGCTGGTGCTGGTTAAAAGACTATTGGGCCTTCAGATAAGCCCCACCCACCAAAATACATTGTACTGTGTTCGGGTGCTCCATTTACTCTTGGATCCCAATCTATCTCATTTAAATCTGATGATTTAATTTTAAAACATTCAATACAGTTATTCTGTCTTTGGTATTTTTTTTTTCTTTATGAAAACTAAAAATGTCTTTAGACAGTCTTGTGCAAAAACTCAAATATGTTGTTCTTTATTGGGACCAATTCAGTAAATTATGGATTTTATGGTTTGCTAAACTGCAGCTCAACCTGGTCAAATTATAACGAGGAATAAGTTGGATAAAAACTGTTACATCATACTGTGCTGTATTTACTATGAATCAGTTTAAAATTGCAAATTATTCCATTTCAAATGAAATATGCATTCAAGTGTCAAGATTGAACAAAACAAAAATCTGTAATCAGAACTAAATAGGCAAATCAAATCAATAGATTTTGCAAATGTTTATCCACAGTAGCGTCCAGAAGTAGCTGAAACCTCATCTGTGATTTTTTTTAATGTGATTTTACTTCACGTGTCCTGAAACATTCAGAAAATGTTGATACCTGAATTGATTGACAATGAACTTGGCCTCCCTCTGCTAGTCACCAACCATCAAACTCATCGACAGGACCTGCCAACTTTTCAAGTTTTGAGGTAAAAGAAGTCCTGCTCTCTGGTATGTGAAGGTGAAAAAAAGGAGACGGCAAAGGAGAGGAGGTGTGAAGGAGAATAGAAAGTGGAGGTCAAAAACAAGTCAAGGCGACCATCTTCTTTTATTTCCCTCTAAGCAATTTAGAGCGACACAAATGTCTGCTTCAGGGAACCTATTGGATTCATGTTGATAACCTGTGAGATAAATATGCTAAAACATTCGCCTGTGAGAAGGAGAGGGTGAGAGGAAACAAGGAGAGGGCGAGGGAGAGAGAAGGAGGTGCAACAGGCACGCACATAATCAGAAGTTGCTGGTAATGTGCAGGCATTCACCCATTGGACGAACATCTTTCACTTTATTAGCATGACAAAGAACACAATCATTTTGGATATGCCTGAATGCCGTTTTCATTAACTTCCCAATGATTTATTAACAAAAGTGTCAGGAATGCTGTGAAAGCTGCAGGCCTGGGCCAAAACCTGAAAAAAATAAAAAAGGAAGCTGAGCAGGAAACAGAGAGAAAATAATGTAAACCAAATAAAGAAATGTCATCTTTACAAATGAATAAAGAGAGAAAAGGAGAGAGAGGGAGGATGACAGGGGAATAAGGGGTTAAAAGGTAGACAGTTTTATAACAGCAGAGCCCATTTTAAATGTAAAGTATATCCAGTTAATTATGACATTCATTAGGTTTTAACACAGCACATTCAAACTGAGACTCCCAGCTGGGAAACGTTCTCCACTCGGCTAATAGGGAATTCCATCAGCCATAGAGGAGAATGAGCCTCATATGGTTTTATATGCTGCTTCACAGAGTCTGCACGAGAGGGGGGAAAAAACGACAGCAGCAGCAACAGAGAAGAAGAGGAGGAAGAGTTGAGACCGGGTTCTGACCTTCACACCGAGGCTACAGCTTGACCTCTTACACCAAACATGATGATTTAATCTATCCTCTCAGTTCACATGACACCTAACAGAAAATGTTTATCATCAAATTATGATGTTTGCTAGCATTACCAACTTTGAACGTCGCAGGGAGTTCATTCATGTTCTTTCTTTTTAACACTCTGTGATACAGACAAACAAGGCAGCATCTGCTCAAAGTCTGTCTGCGTCTATTATGTTTTCAAAGGTGCAATGTGTAGAAATAGGTACATTTAGTAACGACTAAAATGCCCCCTTGCTCACCCTTTCTGCTTGGACTGTACCAGTTACATTCAAGGTCAAGAAGCAAGAATAGTATCATCCTCCATTTGGCAAATATTTACTGATCAATAACATAAATCAAAACGATCAACAACAACCACTTTTCTTCTCCTTTGACAAACGATTAGCGCATTTTTGACTACATCCTAAAATGTGCAGGTCGCGAGTTTGTTCATTCTGTACTACTGTAGAAATATGGTACAAGACGGTGGCCTCTGTGTAAGGAGACCCAACCCAGTTTAGATACACAGTAAAAGGCTCATTTCACATCATTACAATGTTGAAGTATGAGAAATTCCTCAAGTGTCAACTTCAGGCAAAAGCCAATAACACCCAGTTATAGTACAAGTTAAAATGACCCAAACTTAGCGTGATTACCCTCCCTCATTTGTTTATTTCTAATCACTGCACAGGGGTCAATTTCCATCATTTATTTTAGTCATTTAAAATCTCATCAGTTTGACTGAGAGATTTACATTTGGCTTAAACAGCCACTTTCTCTAGCAAGTGGGGTAAATTGTATCTTAAATTCAAGAAAGAGATTCATACTCTGCTAAGATGAACACCAAGGCAATGAGACAGAGAGTCAAGTACATAATAGAGCCCAGTGGTTAAACAACACATTGAGACTGAGATACAGAACATGCAGAGGAGGGCGGTTGGAACATGTGGCAGTGACAAGCATATTTTGAAATGTATTAAATACTGATATTGTTTTAGAAAGAGTCATACAGTGATAGTGTGTAAGCAATTGATTTATTTACATAAAATGGAAGGGGACAAAGAAGAAGAAGAAGCACCTACTAGTTAGCTAACTGTAGCAGCCCTTGAAAAGATAGTAGGACACTGTGACTGTAGTTTTAACTTTATTGTAAATCCAAAATACAACATAAGAGCTTGTGCCTTTTCCATAGGTTCCAATAAACTAAACATTTATTCTTTCTAACTGTACCTCAGCTGTTTCCATTCACTTAAATTACCTATGATCAACCTGGAATAGAATTTAACTATAAATTTCAAAATAAAAGCATGTTTTTACAATGCAAGAATAAAAGCTATAAATATTGCAATAATATTTTTATTGTGGTATTCTATTGCTACTATATGAGGTGACTTCTGTGGAAGGAGACCCACTCCTGTACATGCAGCAGCCCTAATTCAGACCTTTATCCCTCCTCAAAGCCCCCTTTCTAGATGAAATTCCTTTAACAACACAACAGAAAAGCAGTCAAGTGTCCTCTTCTTTTAAATTCTTAAGGCCTTCTTGTCGTTGGGATCCGGAATAGGATTGAAATGATATTTTTTTTCTTCTATGGCAAAGACAACTCTGTGCAAAAATGCTGATAATTCCACAACCAGACCAAGATTTTCCAAACAGTGATCCCTGTCCCAAGTCAAACAAGAAATGAAGGTCTCACAAAACTTCAAATTTGACTACCACCATCTAAATATTGGGCACAATGGCATTGGCACACATCTTTAAAAACAGGATCTTGGTTTAAAAATCAGCAAACCAGACCTTTCATACACATTCACGCCAAGAACAAGGAAACTGGAGCCGAGAACTTCAGCAGCTCTCACTTGAAAAAACTGATCACTGCTCTCCGTGTTAGTGACCGTACAGTGTGAGTGAGTTATGAGCAGTGAGAACTATAAATGAGTCACAGACCTGTTTCACTTGGACTTCTATTTTATCATGGTATGCATTTATGAGGACATTTTTCATTGAGGTTCTTGGCTGCGAAAATGCAACAGCTCATTTCAGTATCCTAAAGGCCTTCCTGGGAGTCCCCGTAACCACCATCACCCACAACATAAACAGCAACAATGGAAAGAAGGAAACTTGACTCAAAGGAGACAAGTGCTTTAAAAGATCGAGCTCCTTTCCGGCCGAGCTGATGGACGACTCTCCCCTTCACAGTCCCTCTGAAAAAACAGCCAATGAAAATAAGCTCAACAGTGCAATTTAGAGAGCCTTATAAATCAATCCTGGTGAGTACACATATTTCCGTGAGGGGAGAATTTATATGTTTAATTACCGAGCGCAGGTGCCGGGCCCTGGCTTTACTCATTACAGTAAGATATATGAACGGCAGCGAGGGCCTGGATAGCGCAGGACAAAAGGGAGGACAAAGTAATTAGCCGGCTCTTATTTAATGGGACCCTTCCTCAAGTCATTCCCGACTCCCGTCGCGGCTCCTTGTCCATATGCTTCAATTCAAAAGTCATTTCATAAAGGACCACTGGTGGCAGGTAGCACAGCGGCAATTAACATTGGCGCAGAATGGAATCGGCGGGGATTGAAAATGAAGTGTTAAACACTGTGTAATATTTGATTGTCCGGCTTTTCTAACCACAGTCATCCCCCCTCCCCTCTCTCCCTCCTTCTTCCCTCTCGTCCCTCTTAGATGGATTTTCCCGGAGAGACGGAGAGCCAAGCGCTGGGATTCCCCGCTGAGTGGAACTGTGCTGCAAATGCCTTTGGCCACAGAGTGGCCGAGGTTGGTTTTGGCCCCGTTTGTGTGTGTGTATTTGGCCGAAGTGTGTGTTTATCCTCTCATGGCCTGTAAGTGGACTTGGCGGTGGATTCAGTTTTGGCTATCCTGAGCCACTGAGAGTATGGGAGTGTAAGTGTGTGTTTGTTTGGCCCAGTGGCACCTGTACTGTGTGTAAAGGCTACTATAGACACTAGCCACTGCATATCCAGTGTGCCAAGCCCAGGCCTGTGCCATCTTACCTCAAGGACTCTGGACCTGTACCAAACAGCAATGTGCCAAAGAGAGGCGCCGACTGCCCAGAGGAGGGGGTTGACTCTGCTTCTTCAACAGCATGTTCATTTAAGTACTTCAAAAGTCTGTACAAAGTCACAAATCTCAAAAATATAGGCTATATGATATATATATATATATTTAAAATTTATTTAATAAAAACTGTGTTTCACTGTGCTTCTGTTGGTCTATAACAGATGCAGGAGCTTTAATATGATGGGTGAACATACAGGATTGTTCAACTGCTTTAATGTCAGATGATTAGTCGTAATAAAGGCAAAACACATCTTCAAAAACACCAACAATGCCCTGACACAAAGTACTGAGGTTGTTCTTGTCTGCTACCATGGACAATGACATCAAACTACAGTTACAGCATTTTTTACATTTGATGCCTCATTCCTACTTGATATTTGCAGCTGATGTCCACTGATCCATAAATAAACCTATCAAGACTCTGGGGCAGATGCAAGGACATGCATTTATTTACAGATAGATAGAAACTGGCTAATTTTGCCCAAGTCATGCCATCCAGTTGTTTGTAATATAAGGTCCTGATGTTGGGTTTTGACCTCTTGGTTGATCATGTTTGTGGGATTTTCTTTTATTTCCTATTTGTATTGAGGTTTCTTTAAAGTCATCATTTCATCTATCCTGACCTCACTTCCACATTTACCTGTATCATGTCATGTCAGCCATGTAAAGGGGATTATTTGTTAAAGCTGTTAAAACTAACAACTGAGCCACTGATAAGGTGATAGGGTAAAGGTGCACTGTCTAGTTATCTAAAAAAAAATCCAAAACCCCACTCTTACATGGTAAGATGGATCACAGACAGCTTGAGCAAGATCATTAGGCATTTGCAGATCTGAGGTATTCTGTGGATTCCAGATACAATGTATTTAGATTAAACCTTGATTTGGATTTGGATTGTGGGGACCCATTTCCATTGCAGCAGGGGGGGACGACTCATTGGATAAAACAAAATTTCCTATAGGACTGACTTCTGATTGAGTCCTCTCATGCATGGAAAGAGCCTATCCTCACTATAATGGTAGTGGGGCCAATTCCTTATCCCAGTATGATTGGTGCATGTCACCCCCAAAAAAATAAAAAAATAAATAGTCATACTGTTTTAAATCAGCATTGAAGCTATTAAGTCCACTGGGGTTGCAGAAATAAACACAAACTAAAAGTTTTTTTTTCCGAAAAGCCTCGAGTAGATCATAATGTTAGACAATCTCAAAACACAATCATTGCAAGGTTAAAAAAATGAAAACTAAATGTTAACACAACTTGAGTGTCCAGGGAAAGACAGTAATCCAGCACAGACCTCCCATCATCTACTCTGTCCAATAAACTGCAAATCAAATCCACAGAGGACAGGCTTCACAGTCTCCGTTTCACTTTCCACACTCAGCATTCATGTTGAGTCAGTCCAGCCAGCCTGGGGGCGTTGTTTGGCCAACACTGAACCAGGGTATCCCTCACTGGACACCACTTGGCTGCTCCTGACCTCTGTGTACACGCCGTCTGGCCACAGGCTTGCAGCAATTGGCAGGCCGGCTCAGACTCTGGCACATGCCCACTCTGAGTTCATAGCTTTTGACCCGTGTGTGGAGGGGATGTGTTTGGCTCATAGTCGGACATATAAACATTAGAGTTTAGCCGTGGGCCAGTTTGGCCCAAGCAGCCGTGTTTAACAGGCTGACACTGGTTGAAATAAAACACCTGATGTTCTCAATCTGTCTCAGAGCCAGTAACACTGCCACTGTCCTTTGGCAGTGTGGGCACACAGAACACACCCTGTGGATAGAAACATTAAGTGATAGTAATATACTCTGAGTGCATCCATGAAAACAAGCTAATGCTGCCCAAAGTGCTTCATAGTCGACTCCGTAATGAAGAAACTCCAGTGAAGCATTACATGGTCCTTTGAGAGTTGACGCTTTTGACTCGAGCACATTTTTTTTTGAGACATTTTTGCCTTTAACCCAAACTAAAAAGGCAGAGACAGAGTTTCAAAATCCTTTATTTTAGAAGAGATGAAATTGGAAATGTCAGCTTTGTAATTTAGTGAGGGCAAGAGTGACCGAGCTTTCCAAAACAATACTGTATTACTGCTCAAGGAAAAATTTTTCTGTTGCCTCTAAAGATCTCAGACCAGTAGTTTAAAATGTTCATAGTGATTGTAGGGTTGTCACAATACTAAAATTTCAAACTCAATATCGATACCCAGGAAAATACTTGATACTCTATACCAATTTTAAAACTGTGGGAATAAAAAATGACACTTTAAAAGGCATAAAAAATATTTTTATTAACATGAACAACAGAAGGGCCAATAAATAATCAATCAAATAAAATTATTAAATAATCAGAAAATAAAAAATAGAAAAAAATAGAAAAACAAGACAATCACTTTTTCACTTGGATCCCAGGTTTCTCCACTGTGTAAATGGGAGAATGGTCCTCACATATATACTCTGCTACAGCTCTGTTTATTTTGACAGCTTCAGGAGACTTTGGGGTCATACTTTCTCTGTTTTTCAAATAGCAGTGAAAGAGTAGGCTGCGGTTTCTTCGGTTTAGTTGCAGGTGGACTTCTCTCTGCATCTTTAAGAGAAGACAACACGTTTGAGTTACGTTAGCGAGCTGATAGCAGCGGGCCCGCGGCTAATGGCTAATAACAAAACAAACATCATTCACTGAGCACCGCGGCTACCGTGGATTACAGTGAAGCGCTAGCCACAGCTAATCACAAAAGAACCAACATTTACTGAGCATAAAGCCGACCGTGGCTACCGCAGATTACTGCTAGCCACCAGCCAGACTAACATCATTAATCAGTTTAATACATTAAGGTCATGGATGAACAGGAGCTTTACTAACCTGCTGGAATTCATCATGAAGGCCAGGATGCCGGTCCTTGAGGTGTTTTGCAAAATCCGTCGCGCTACTAGACTTTGTGCCATACTGCCAAACTTAGCAGCGGTAAAACGCGGGACAGCAAACGGGGTCGCAGTGAGTGCTCTCCCTCTCTCTACTCTGACGGCGAGGTCCATAATAGTGTGCAATGACGTGTAATCAGTCTCTCATGTCATGCGCAGTGTAAATGCACAGCGATCATGTGAATTGAACATTTTCTTGAGCTAGCAGCAATTTTAAACTGCATTCTTTGAAGCATAACAAACTATATAAGTCAATACAGTCACTTGACAACATGCATTGGTAAAATGATGAGACAAAGCTAGATTTCATTGTAAAAGTGATGGCGATCAGGAGATGATGATCTGCTAGTCTAGTACCACAGCCTGAGACAGAGTGACACACACTGTATCATATTCCAACTGGAGGGGTTACAAAGTAATAGAAACAGAGAAGTGAATCTTTACTGCGGGTAACAAACTTTGAATGTCAGCGAGCATGACGGCCACTGGCTCAGAGAGACAGAGAGAGAGAGATGGAGGCAGAGCTGGCACAGATCCCTACCTGGTTGAGAGGGTTTGGCACTCCTCCAGTCAGTGTGCCACCCTGGCTGCCGTCTCTCCTCCCAGCGTCCCGCCCAGCTTCTGTGTCCCATTTCCAGTCTCACTGGGGACACAACCAGAACAGCACTGGAAAGAGACAAGATGAGGATTGTCAGTAAGCAGGTAAAACTGTGATAATCAGAGAAAAGGAAGGCCATTTAGGCCCTGAAACTCTGTCAGGTGTTCATATTTCTCTACCGACATCATTCTGACCAATTACTGAATAAGATTTAGTAGAAATACTGAGGGAATGATTCCTCAAAATCAACGGCTTTCTAGGACTTTATCTTATTAGAAAAGCAGACTTCAGTTGTATTTATAAAGAAAAAGCACCCTGCCTGATCCATTTTCCTCATGAGAAATATCTGAGTAACTAAAAAAAGTGAGTCAGCCTCCTTGACAAGAAGTAGTGAAGCTTATTTGTCTGAGTAAGTCCAAAAAAAAAAAAAAACAGACGGCAGCTTTGTTTCCATTAAAGTGGAAGTGCAAGTGTTCATCAAAGCTCTGAGAGTTTGCCAAGTAAAATGTGAAGCTTGTGTTTTTCCCTCAGCTAAAATAAGGAGAACATTCAAATGAAAGGAAGTGGATTGTTTTTAAAATAATTGTCTCCTTATCCATATAAACCCCACTGTTTTATAAACTGTGTCAAACTGCAGTTAATGAGGATATTAGACAATTAAATCAAGGATACATGGATAGTTTTATTTAGCATTTTGGTATCAGAGTGAATTTCTGAGCAAATTATTAAACTGGAAGTATTTTCTGTGCCATCAGTGAAAAAGTCTCGAGTTAAGCAGTGCGAGAGCAGAGCAGGGCTTTGAGTGAGTCAAACAAACAGCGCTGCAGAAGGACAAGAGTTTAAGTCCTGTTTGAGAGCAAAACTCATGGCAGAATCATATTTACTGAAATAACAGAAATGAATCATGCACAGCGTCAAATAACACATAAAATAGTTTAAGGTCTTCTTTTCAGTCCTGTCAATAATAAAGCTTTTTCAAATGGCACCCCTGCAAACCAAGTATTCTCGTGTAATTTTTGGATTTACAGCATTTCCCTTATGCAGTTGCTTTCTGGTTTTGCGTCATTTGCAGCACAAGTGATATCAATGCATTTTTTCAGCTTTTTGCATCCTGTCTTTGTCGTTTGAAGCACATTATTCTGCAGCATAAACTGTTCGACACCCTGTCTGCACTTATCCTTGTCTGCCATTGAAGGGCCTTCCTTTAAGAAGACAGCCCCATTGGTGGCCCAGAGCCGGTCCGACTTTGAGACTCCTTATATAACCTTAAATAAAAGAATCATCCACAGTCATAACAAAAAGAATTATCAGGTATAGAGACCAACATGTTTTTATTGCACCAGGCTGTAAACATGTTTAATTTTGCTGTAAATGTGGGCTTTCATATTCCCGGCTCCGATGGGAATTCCTTGGATTTTTGGAGCAATCCCCCAGTGGACACTTACGTCTTCATTTTTTAAAATGTATTATTTATGATATATACTCGACCCCCTTTGAACCATTTAGGATGGATTCATAACCTCCGTTTGTTGGACATTGTACAGTTTATTGTTCTCCAAGTCCAAACTGAGTTGGAAACAAAAGCTTTTTGGTATTCTGTACCTTTTTTCATTGAGCAATCTACTGCAAAACCTAGGAAGCCTGAACATATTTAAACCTGTTGTTTAACGTCTGAAGGCCAGGCTGTCTGGATGCACCAGTTTTAGCTGACCACTATTCCAGACTTTAGCTTTACTGAAAGCATGTGATTGCTTTGTTGTGGGTATATGTTTTTACTAATAATAACTTTATTTATATAGCACCTTTAAAAACAGAAATTTACAAAGTGCTTTGACAGACAAAGCAGAGTAAATAACAATTATGGGAGCATAGAAGAAATAAATCATAAGTCACAGAACAGGCATTAAGATTTCCAGTAAAAAGAAAGGGAAAGTGAAAAGGTAAAAGGATAAAGACATCAAATCACAATAAAAACAGATTAGAAGATAAGGGGTTGTGACCATGTGAACACGGTCAACTGTGTCAAAAGCTGCACTTGAATCCAGAAGAATTAAAACTGAGCTCTCTTCTCTGTCAGAAGCTAAAAGAAGATTGTTTGTGACTTTGAGGAGGGCGGTTTAACCACATAGCAATACCGTATTCTTAAGCATGCAGCCCACAGTATCAGATCAGCTATATGGGTAAACAGTTTATAAAAGAAAGCTGAAGTAAAGGAAAATATAACCTCAGGGACATAAGGAAGACAAGTAGATACTTAGTGTTCTTGGCAGCTTTGATAACAAAGGATGGCATACATGTAGAGCTAACATTGTTCTAACATTGGAGACTTTCTCTACTCGTACATCCTCACTCTTTTCTTTTTCAGCTTGTACAATTTCATACTGTGACACATTACATAAAGTCTTTTATCTGTTGTAGAAGAAAAAGCAGGTACCTTGACATGAAGGTTTTTTAAACATGTGCCCTTATTACTTCCATTTTTTTAGTTCATCAACTTCTGAACCAAAGTCTAACGTTAAACTTTTTTATTTTCTTCATACTTCACTAAGCAGCTAGAAATTTTGCTCACAGGTGGTTAGACACATTCTTTACAAGGTGCTCTGTGGTTGTCATATTGACACGTTTTTTTTTAAAAGGAAGAGGTGCTGTAATTAATTAAAGGTCTTGGGTTACAAAAGGTCCGGAATTATGTTGTTATGTGAAAATATGACAATGTGCTGAGGCTACGCAATGACTTACACTTCCATAAAAAAGTTCACCCCTTTATAAAAACACATCTACAGAAGTTGACAAAAGGAACAAAAACTGGCATAAAATGAATATAACATGATGGAGAGTTTGTACAAAAACTCAAAAGTTTATTCAAGACCTTGTCAAGTTGTAAAGTCTTTTGGAAGTAATTTCAGGAAAGTTTTAAGAATCGAAGCACAGATGGTTCCATCAAAGGCATCATGAAGCCGTAAATACACTTACTCTTCGTCTTCAATAATTAACTGCCTGTTAACAATGAATCTTTGTGAAGAACAATGAGAAGGTCAAACATAAAGCATCAGACAGCGTGGACTAAGATGGTTTTTAATGTTGGAGGAGGAATAATGATGTTTTGAAACTTGTGTTCTATCGTTTTTCATTATTATTTTTTAATTAAGTGACTTAAAGGGAAACTTCTGTATTCTTCAACTTGGGGCCTATTTTCCATATGTTTATGTGTGCTTGGCTGATGGGGAGAACAATTTCTGAGGCTTTCCAGTATTTAGGGACAGTGGAGCATCCAGCAGCTGAGAAACAAGTTAAAACATAGTTTGATTGTGCATTGCTAACCCTCGTCCACTACAAGTGCCTTATTTCACCAAAACAAGTCTTCAGACGTGGTCACACAATGTTGTATGTCCAAGGTATCAAAACTGGACACCAGTGGCGGCTGCTGGTCTTTCAAGGAGGGGAAGCTCATTTTTCCCCATCCACATTGTAATTGTGTTTGTTCATTTGAATGTAAATTCTACCCTTTGTTAATTTTTGAGAAAATGATCTGTGACCCTGTCTTGACAGAAGAGAAACACAACGCTAGTCATTTTTAACAAAGTCGCTGGGGATCGGTAAAGTCTCCGGATCAGTTCAGAACAACGCAATGAAATCTTGGAAAATGCTCCGGTGGACGCTTATACTTTAAGGTCGCTGACTGGCTCATTTTGCTGTCAACCAAAAAGGGATTCCGCCTCAAACAGATCATCCACTCATCATGCAAAAGCCAAGTGGCCAGGCCAGCCCACTGCCCCATAGGCCCCAAGAGAAGCTGAGCCTCCGATGGGCGGGACAAAGCCCAGCATTTATCCAATGACTGTCCAGTTTCGCACAGTGAAACAACCCACTCTTCACCTCCCTATTAAAGTCAGTAGATGTTCAGCGTCCAACTGTGTAAAACACTATGGCGCAGCAGGGATTAATGAGAAGGAAGTCGTGTCGGTTACCTGTGATAAGTAACTGATTCTGAACAAAAGATGAACCCGTTCTAGCGCATATTTAGTCAATGAAATGTACACACAGCAGTACACATTTCACCCCCCTTTTTTGTTTTACATTTTAGGGGACGCCGAGCTTCCCTTGCAGTCTTAGAGCAAGTTTCTGCTGAAAACAAGTTCCACTCATCCTCTAAATGTTGACATTCTCTTTCTCTCGCCTTGTTGACCCATTGATTTGTAGGAGCTCTTCATCAGTTGATCATCGCATTCAAAGAAGTCACCCATGTCAGAATGATCCTCATTCACCAACAAGGTTTGGTTGTTCATGAACCAGCACCAGTGGGAAGTGAGGGAAACCTTTGCCAGTCCATTCTCAGGACATGCTACAACAATCTGAGCCTGTCAGCGGTCAGATAAAGCACTTATGGTAGACACTGTTTAACGATGCAGGATACGTTTTTAGCTCCATTTCATGGGTGCTCCACTTTGCCTCAATACTGGACCAATTTCAGAAATTGTTCTCCCCATCAGTCAAACACACACAAAAACATGGGAAATAGGACCCAGGTTGAAAAATACCAAAGTTCCCCTTTAGGGTGTTACTTGGCGCTGCAGCTGTTGTGCCTCAAAAGTAAAAGCATGCAGAAAGAAAAACTCTGCCCTGCTCACTCCTCTTGACAGTGAAGCTACAGTAGCCTTCAAGGACAAGAAGCACCTGTGATGCATGATAAGTATGACCCTCCATTTGTCAAGTTTTTACTATCTAAAACTTCTGTCTATACAAATCCTCTCTACCACTCTCATTCAACCTCTGTCCTCATCCTTGTGTTCTAACCAGTGCACTTCATGCTGCCATTCACCAAATACAAAAGCGTGTGCCTGTTCAAAGTCTGTCTGTTCGGTGTTACTGTAGCAACATGGTGGTGGAAGATGGCAGCCTCCTTGAACAAGAGTCCTTATGAAGTTATCAAAGTCTTGTTTTTGGGAAAACTGACTTCCTCAGACCAGGCATAGAAAACCTTTTTTTTTTTGTGGTCCAATGTTTGACAGGAAAATCACAAATGAGAGGCACAAAAATTGTACATGGATGATGAGCGAAAAAAAAAAAAAGAGAGGGATGTTGAGGAGAATCAGGGGGAAGAGAAAAAAGAAGAGGGAGACAGAGTTAAGGGGGGTAAAGCTCAGGAGGAGGAGCGATGAATTCCCAAAACTAATCTGAGTATAATCAGGGCACTGCCCCAGTGTCCTAACCCCGTCTACACACACACACACACACACTAGAGCACATCTGCCTACCCATAACCCCCAATGTGTGGGCGGTGGTGTTCCCATGACCCACTTAACACATCTGGGTCAGCTGTATTCAACCACCAGCACACACACACACACACACACACTGAAGCTGAGCCAGGTAAAAACACACACACATACAGACACGCACACAACACATAGGTTCATATAAGGCAGACATGCTCCAGCACTCTAATGGAAACATCAAGTCTTTTTTACTTCTCATTATGATAAAAGCTCTGTATTAGTGACACAGGCTACCATGTGATAAACTGAACCATTGTTCCACATCCACCTCAGGACACCCAGAGTTCAGCAGTCGTAGTTTTCCTGAGTGTTTACCCAGGATGAAATACCATCAGGCTCTTCTGAAAGGCCCAGCTCGGGCTGGAGCAGGGGCCGTATACTCTTCCCACTTCAGCGTATATAAAGAGCACTGTGAGATGAACACCTTGGAGAGCCAGAAAGGTCATCGCGCTAGTTGTAGCTGGATGTAAACTAGCAAGTTTTTTTGGCGCGGTGGGGCCTTTTTGCAGAGGCAGGAAGCGAGAAAAGGGCACATGAAGAGAGCGGTTAGGCTCTTTAAACGCAGGGGTAGTACTGGCTGTATCGCTTCCAAAAATAAAAAAGAAAGAATGAAAAAAAAACTTTTGAAGTGTGTTTGTGTTTGAGGCGAGGGAGCAAAGGTGTGCTTTAGAGTTTGAGGCAAAAGGCAGGAGTATCTTCAGCGTGTGTGTGTGTGTGTGTGTGTGTGTGTGTGTGTGTGTGTGTGTGTGTGTGTGTGTGTGTGTGTGTGTGTGTGTGTGTGTGTGTGTGTGTGTGTGTGTGTGTGGAGGTCCCTTATGCCAGTTTTAAAAACCATCCGTAGCCCAGGTAAATGGCATGCTGTCCTCTGCACATGCCCGGTGGCTTTCTCTTTCTCTTCACAGGGAAGAGTTCAGAGGGCCAGTTAGCACCGTTCACAGCGGACCCTGAGGCTCTCCTCGTACACACACATACACAAACACACATATACACACACATACACACAGAGGCTGAAATTTACACACAAATACTCCTCTGTGTACACACATGCAGCGTACACGGGGCCAAAAACACATTCACACATGCTCAGAGGCTCGCGTAAATTCATGCAGCAGCAGTCAGTCAAACAAACACACATGCAGACACGCACACAGACACACACACATTCTCACACACAGTTAGCCTGTGGCTAGAGTGTTCAAACAGGCGTGATATTGAAATCCAGCAGTAGGGAGAACAGTGGGTTTTGCTGAGGTCCATAGCAGGTTATTGATCAAGGTTAGTTTACTGTGAAAACTCTGCCTGTGGCCAAGGGCCATTCACACCAGTGGTGTGTGCGTGTATTTGTGTGTGTGTGAGTGTAGGAAGTCTTTGTATACAGACACAGGAGTGCAGATGTAGAGAGAGTGTGTAGGTGCATGTGTCTAAGCTGGAGAGTATTTTCGCACTGACATATACTGTAAGTTTATGAATAGACAGCAGCAGTGCTGTTGTTGTGCATGTTTTCTGAAGCTGTTTCAGTCCTTCAATCAGGTTTGTTTCATTTCTCTCATGACTGAGCTCCTTCTCTGTTCCTTCAGAAAAAAAAAGGTAAACGTGTGGACGGGAAAAACACAGTTAAACCGCCAGAGAAACAGCTTCATCATTACAACAACACTCACACTGATGCTCTGGTATATGTTCCAATTTTAAAGGTAGACTGTGGAGCATTTAACAGAAATTCACAAAACAGACTCGGAGTTAGTTTTGTTAGATCTTACTGCGTAATCTAATGTTATTTGATCAGTAAAAATATGACTCCATTTCATGTACAGCTTTCCACGCCAGGGATGCTTTTCTTACGTTTCTTTTTTGAGCATTAGTCTTTTCAGGAAACAATCTTTTTGCTGGAAACTTCTGTAAGAGCTTTCCAACTGGCTGTGAGAAAGAGTAAAATTATTTATGATACTTCAATAAAAAAAATGAAAAAAACTGACTTAATTTGCTAAATACCTGTCTTCAAAAAGTTCTCTACAACGTATGCCTGAACTTCTATTAAGTTCTCGGAGCCAAAAGTTCCGGTTACTTTTGGTTGAAATGCATCAATAAATAAATAATAGCATTGATATCAAAGTAATATACATAAAACAGGTACATTTGTGATCTTAATTCTGGTTGTTTGCCTCAAGAGGATTACCTGCCAAAGGCTGATGTGTTTCCAACACCCAATCTGCCATAACACTGTTTATATCTCACAAAGCACAGAGGCAATTTTGCACCAATGTGTAAGAAAAGATTACCGACTCCAATAAAAGATATAATTTAATGTTGAGCAGACATTCAATCATGGGCTCACGTTGCTATAACAAGTCTCAGTGAAGTCTTTTTGAGCCGTTAGTCGACTCTGGAGTTCAGATGTGAGCTTTACAAGCTCATAGAGGTTCTCCATCACTGCTGGTGTGGGACTACTGGAGGTTTTTTTTCCATATACTGTAAAACTACAAAACTTGGCTGCTTCTCCGCTAATCCTTCTGACATACTTTACACACACACACACACAGATAATAATAAAAAAAACACTTACACGCACAAGTGTGGACATCTCTCCAGTGCTAACAAAAGCAGATGTATGAAATGTGTCTGTTCCTCTATTCAGGGTCTCGGAGGCGTGGCATCAAACGACCTTCACATGGAGATCGAGCGCTAACACACACACTCACACCTACATATACACATCCATAAACAAGTGCTTAAAGTTTACCACAGACACAAAGTCCTCTTTGAGTCCAACTGGAGCACACATCCACTCACAACCTCATACATACACATGCATTGTGCTTCACAGGAACGCATATATGTATGCGGGCTGCTATTTATTCATGAAATGGCAGAGAGATGTCAAAGCAGCAAAAAGTTGCGGCCTCTTCCATCTCTCCTTTTTTTCACTCCCTCTTTTCTCTCTTTCTCTCTCCTTTTAACACCCTGTTGCCCATCGATTCAAAAGTGCTTGAATACATTGTACTGTATAGCAAAGCCACTGTGATGCATTGTTCTCATGCTTGAATGTATGGGAATATATTTGCATCAATGCCTGCACTCATCCTTACAGCCAGTTTGTAGTTTTCCAGTCAGCTAAAACAGCCTGTGATGTCCCACTGACTCTCGGTGAGATACGCACCCTGAGTGACTGCATGAGACCTACTAAACTTCTAATGACTGCAACAGAAACCCCTCTACAGCTGTATAAAAGGCTCACTGATAGCCCAGTGGTCAAAGCACTCCAGGTATAGAGGGTTTCGTTCTCGTCGCAGCAGTCGCTGGTGCGATTTCCGACCATGTCCCCCCCCTATTCTCTGCTCACTCTTCAGCTGTTATGTTTAAGTGCCCAAAATATATCCTCACAGCAAAATGAAATGGAGCCAATTCAATCAAATGTCAGCAAAGAAATCTAAGCTCCTGAGGAGAGCTTCATTAACTGTTCACTGGTGTTTTCTCAACAAAGAGGTTGAGCTGACCAGTACTGTTGACAAATACCTCATGTAACCCATCTTTAAAAATACGGAACTATTCCTTTATGGCAAAGCTTTATGCACAGATATGTATGATTGGGGACGTAGCTGATCCACCTGATTGGGCCTTTTCCATCAGGGCGAGGAGATCAGGTGGGCAGAAACAGTCACTGCTTTCAATTCACGTCTACAAACTAATTTCTATAGAATTGCTTTTATGTGATTTTGTCTTCTTTAAAACCTTTTTACTCTTTTTATTCATGGTTTACAATAGCCCCCTTGGTCTCAGGTTTTTGTGACTGGGTTCCTGTGTTGGCTGGGTATCACAGGTTCTCATAATATCTTTGTTTTTATGATGTCTCAACTCTTGTGACACTCATCGAAGCTTTTTATGTCTTCCACAAATTTTTTTTTTTTTTTTTATTGCCAGTATTGAGACATTTGAACATGTAGTCTGAGTTTTTGTCATGTCAAGGCTCTTTGACCCAAGTGTTCTCTTGTTGTTGTTGTTCTGTTGTTTTTATCTTCTCTGTTTTCCTGCATGTTAAAGCACTTTGTAACTCTTGTTTTTAAAAGTTCTATATAAATAAAGTTATTTATTATTATTATTATTATAATTATCATCATTAATTTGACATCAGAATTTGTGAAGTTTTAGGGAGTTTTGTGCCTGTGTGGCATCTTTGTGTGTCATGAAATCTCTTCAGAAACAAGCGGCGATTCCACTGTAACGACATCCGTGTTTTATACAGTCTTTGTTTTAAGCTCTCAGGCCTCTGGTCTTTCAAGTGTCCTTTGTTGAACTTCAAGTCAATCATTAAGACTTCTTCTCCAAAACCTTGGTGAATTTCTTCAACAGTGACAACACGTTTAACAACCAAACTACTTGTGCAAATAACAAACAGCCAAAATGTCCTCCCTGTGCAGAAATGCCCTCCCTCTGAAGGTCTAGCATTTAAAATCATAGGGATGGGAGTGCGCGCACACACACACACACACACACACACACACACACACACACACACACACACACTTGCAGTCTCTCCATCCCCACTCCCTCTCCGCCTCCCTCTGTCCAGTCAGTGTAATGGATGGTGAATCTGTTGCTTACTCATGCATACAGCTGACAAATTGTCCCTCTCCGATCACGGCCCTGCCGCTGTGTGATTTGTGAAAGATGGGACGCGACAGGATGAGTCGGCAGCTCAGATTGAAAAAGGGCACAGAGGATACAGCCAAACTAGTCCGAAAAGGTGCATTTGAAGAAAATTATATACCTGAGGGCGTACAGGCCACCGGGCTGTGGATGAACTGCTTCTGTGTGAGTGTATGTACGTCTGAGTAAGATTAGAGATATGTGAGACACGTTTTAGCTATGACCTTGCTGTGTATCGTGGATGAGAATTTTAGTCAGGTATAAAAAGCATCACCAACAAAAGGCGGGATCTCTTGGGTGCATGTAGACAGAGTATAGCTGACTAAAATCTGAATTCATTTGACTTTACTTAACTGAGATGTAGCCCACTTTATGTGCACCAGTCCCCACTTAAAGTGTATAATATGACCCACATACAGTCCAGTAGTCCTCGTTTACAGCCGAATTTAACCCACATACTGCTCACTGAACCTGTTATGATAATATAACCCATATTCTCCAGGCTGTTTCTCTCTTTTACCGACAGTTTAGTTTTTTATGACAACAGCCTACTTCTGTTGAAGGTCAAAATTCAAGTTGTAGTGAACCCAACATAAGAGAAGCAAAACCAGTGTTTAGTCTGTGTCCAGAGGCAGCAAAATGTAACATTCCTCATGGCTGCTAGTTTGGATCAAGCGCTGTTTTTGTTACGGAAAAGTTTCAGATCAACTTTTGGTGAGATTTTGAGGAAAAAAATGTGGCAAATAATAGTAGAACTACACTTTAGACTCCTGATACATGTTTAATGTGACCATTCAGTCTTTTCACACAGTAAACCTCTACAAGTTTTGAGGGGCTCTACCACCTTGACTTTCCAGAGTTGCATGGGTTGGGTTGTAACCAAGTCTTGAGAGGCAGGACATGGCATCCAAATTACTGTGGAAAAGCCACAGTGCACTGTTTCTGAAAAGATATCTCTCCTTTTGCGCTTACATCAGTGATTCATGCAAGGATGTGTACATATTAAGGGTGGGAATCACCAGTGTCCCCACAATATGATATTATCACGATACTTGGGCCACGATACGATACTATTGTGATTTTTAACATTTGCAAAACCGTGAGTATTGTGATACAATATACTGCAATTTACACATTTTTTCAACTGTTAAGCTAATTTAGGATTTAACTTTCCTTTATGTTTGTCTCACTTAAACAGTTTTTTATTTTCATGTAACACATCTTGCAAACCTTATTGTTGTACTAACTTTCTCCTGCTCTATGACGTCACCTCTACCAATCTCACTGGACAAACAATTGATTTTATTTTTCCATTATGATAGATTTGACCTCATATAAACAATTAATTTGAAAAATTGATACTTGGAAAATGAGACGATAGGATATATCATAAGGCAAAATACTGCGATACTATGCTGCATCATTTTTTTCTCCCACCCCGGTACATATCTTCGCCATTTGCATATCAAAAATTACTCTTCTTAAATCTTGGATGTTCAACTTTATCTTGACATTTTTTTGTGTTTGCATTCACATGTGCAGCACACCTAAAAAATGTGTAAACTTTTGGAGACTGCTTTACGATTATGAATAAAACTTTACAGATTACATTATTTTGGATATCCAGGATGATGAAACTTGAACAAAAACAGGTATAAATGATAATGACACTGAGCAAAAAAAAAAATAGCAATTAAGTTTCACATGATTGGTGTTCTGTGTTAAATTGGCTAACATCAGGCTCCCTTCCATGACCTAACTCTACATAACTTTACTTATTTGACAAAGTCATGTCATCACATTTTAGATTCGGCTGATAGTTAAAGAGTATTAACATTAAAAGGAAATTATTGCTATTGCATGCACCCCATTAATGAAGGTTAGGTCTCTTTCCCCCATGTCACACCCTGCTCTCTACACTTCCTTATCTGTCCACACTCCTGCTCTCTCAAAATCAAGGCAAAAAGTCCAAAAATAAATCCTGAACAAATATGCAAGAAAATGCAACAAATATCAAAGTGTCCCGCAAGTTTGCATGTGTGCCTGAGCATGAGCAGGCAGTGGAAAAAACAACAACCTCTGTTTTCAGAAATATTCACACATGTGGACTTCAGCATTGGTGTCTCCAACCTTCCCTGCCTCTTTTCTGCAGTCCAAAGTTATAAAAGAAATTGTCTGAGAGAGTGTTTTAAAAATCCCATCCACTCTAGAGGTGTGTTTGAATTTTTCTGTATCCATGAGACGATTCAGAAATGGTTAAGTGTTAACAGACCAGTAGGTGGCAATAATGTGAAATCAGTCTGTTAAGTCAAAACACCTCAGAAAAACACAGACAATTGGAGACAGCGATCCTCATTTCCTCTATGAAGGAAATGACAAATTAAAAACTATTGAGTGTGATGATGGAGGACAGCAAAGGTTCACTGCAAACACTTAACTTAAGGGAACCAAGAAGACTAAACAAACTGGTAGCCAGCCATTTCGGCAAAAGCAGGATGTTTCTCCTTTTTCTATTTCCTAATCCTCTAAGTGCGTCCTAGGTGCCTTTAAAAGTGATCTTAGGTGGTCTACTTTTTAAGATATTATGCGTTGAGGGTTCAGAAAATAAGGCAGCACAGTTCTGACCTGAAGCCGTGGAAATAATCACATAAACATAATCATGCATACTTTTTGACTACTCCAAAAACAAGCACATGCTCCTAATGTGATCCTTAAAATCACAGGCCAGCACAGAGGAGCTTTCATAAATTAGCCTACTTTATGACATGCCGCTAGCTATCTGGAGGAGGAGGGAAAAAAAAGTATATCAAAGATAAAAAGACAAAGAAAATAAAGGAGGGAAGGTACAGAGGGGCAGCGGTGGGGGGGAATAGGACCCTCGCTAATTCAGAACACTAGACGGAGCATTGTGCCAAGTCTGCCTCTCCTCTAACCCCCTTCCCTCACCCACCCTCCCCAACCCTTTCTCTTTCAAAGGACCAAGGGGAGGCTGCAGCTTTCTAGTCATAAACATCTCGCGGGTAGGTCTGCACTGGGCCTTTGCCACGTTACACATTTGCTTATTTGAAAGGGGGGAAAAAAGCAATTCTGGCACAAAATTTGCCTCTCTCCCTCTTCTCTTCTCCCTCTCTCATTCTGTGTCTGATCATTCCTCGAGGCCAGAGTTGAGGCTGTGATAGAGATTAGGACAGCAGCTCTCCTGACAAGGCAGCTAAATCTAGGCCGGCTGACAAACCTGGCAGTAGCACTGTTTAGGGAAGGATTGTTCAAAAAAGAAGCAGAGAGGGTCTTTGACTAATGGCGAGCAGCCGGGTCAGGAAATGGAGACTTTTGGATGGAGCCAAAATGGTTGATTGGGGAGACTGATCAGTTTTGATTTAAGGCAGATGTAGGGCTCTCGCATGGCTGATCCAGCTTTATAAAAGAATCAGTGTGTGTGCCTCGGCGAGTACATCTGCGTCTGCATGTGTGGCTGTTTAAGGCTGACTACACTATATGTGTACATAAGAAGGTGTCAGTGGTCTGCAGTCTACAGGGACTGCTGCAGATAAACAGGCTACACTCACAAAATGCTGAATTCACAACACTTCAAGAGCCTACATGTTACCACACGCTGCTCCTTGCCACCATCAGATACAATATGGTGCCCATATGCCCATGATGGCATCCAGATGAGTTGAATAGGGGAGCGACGAGGCAGGGGGGCGTATAGAGTCTTATTAAAGTACCCCAGGACGGCCCACTTTAGTTGGAGGATTTTTCACTACCTACTGGAAAACTATTGCCTTCAGGAGAGGAAAAAAAAATGTCCCTTATGTTCAAACACACCTGCCTCAGTCTTCCACTTCAGTTTATAAATTATTCCTTTTTATAAAATCCAGGACTTACATTTATCGCTGCTGCTATCATATTAAAAAACAAAAACAAAGAGTCACTACAGCTACCTCAGGACGAACTAGGAGAACCTGTATTGCCACACTTTTAGAAAATTAGACAATCTAAGGGGGAAAAAAGAGGGTGTTTTTTCACAGACATGAGCAACTGAGGAGGCTAAAGGAAGGGTGACCATATTCTGGCTTCCCAAAAAGAGGACACAACTATGTAGGGACTGAGTTATGGAGTCGCACAAAGTTAAGTTTGAGAGTTTTTCGGGTCGGACTGAGTGTCTTCTATGCGCTTCTAACTCAGTAAGTCAACGTAACACAAACTCCAAACTTCTGTACAAAACTGCTGACATTTGAAGGATTTTATGAACTTGCCCGGACAGCCCCCCAAAAAAGCGGACGTGTCCAGGTAAAAGAGGACATATGGTCACCCTAGCTTAAAGTCCACCTCAATGCTTCCTCTTGGCCTTTTGTTAGGTGGATTGTAGGTCAAGTCAGCATTTCCAATAATATTGCAGATGAAGAGCTTCAAAACGGAGAGGATGTCTATGTACTTCCTGGTCCTGCCTCAAACTAGACTGATACTCAAGTACAGTTTAGGATGATGGGATGGTCAGTCAATCCTCCACTTGGCCACCCATGTAGACACACCCCTGCCCTGACTAAGCAAGCTAAGCTAGTGGAGCTCCCTGCCTGGTTGAGGTAATAAATCAGTGAACAAACAGCAACAGGAGACAAAACAAAGACACCACCAGCCTCTGAACTGACATGGATAATCTTAATTGCTGAATGTGGATCATCGTCACTCACACGGAGATGTTCTGACTTTAACGGATGTTGCTCAAAAGATGTCAATCCGCAGACTGTCAGAAAGCAGCTGCAAATGAGGACAGCTTGATAACTAACTTGTTTCACTGTTTGCAAATTAACCACAAGGAAGACAAAGAATATGAAAAGCTTCAGGAGTCAGCAGATGACAAAGATTGACCAGCAAAGATTCTGGCACAACACACTTGGCGAAGTTGCTTGCACCGGTGATTTCAGTGTTGTTCTTTTTACCCATATCACTTAGTTGGAGTCACAGTGTAGGCTAACAGATAAGACCTGCTTTTCATAAACAAGTTATTTTTTTCTGAATGTAATTAACTACTAGTGTGCTATTAACATACATAAGCAAGGTATAAGACTGCAGAAATATGAAACTTTTATTAACACATTATTACATGTATTTTGAGAGGAAAAGTACTGTCAGTGTTGGTTATCTGAGAAAGAACTCTAGAAATATCAAGACATTACTCTATTGTCCCGAATGTAAGACCGAAATGTACAAAGTTGTAAGGCATCTGAAAAAGTAGGATCATTTGTGTGGTCCACGCTGCTGTGTCTACAATAAAACTATTAATACTAATGAATAGTATGACCAGCGTTTGATTGTAAAATCCACTCACTTTGTGAGACCAGCAGCTTTTTGGTGATAAACTCTGACTATGTCTGTTACATTTATGGGCTTTTCTGTCCCAAAAAGCTGGACTTTTTAAGACTGTTTGGATCTAAGTAACTTGTGATAATGTAAAAAGTAAAAAGAAATGATTAGCTAAGTTAATAAGCTGACTGTGCAAGACAGAAGCTCCCATCTTTGCTCTATTTTTTAGCATAAATCAGAGAAGAGGCCAGTGCAGCCTGGGTCAGGCCTCACAGTGTACTCACAGCACAGGAATACACATGATAGAACTATTTGGAGTTGATTTATCCCATTCAGGTTATTCCACAGCCAGCAGATCTGAGTGCAAAAAGGCCTACCTGGGTGCTTCATTGCACGGACATTGTAAGAGCCTATAGGTTAAAAACTTGTCAGTGGTCACTGAGCATATATTTTTTTTCCTGGCTAGCTTAACTTCAGGGGTAATGTGCTCTAGCTTTATTGTGGTGACTGTTTATCAGAAACAATAGACAGGAAATATGTGAAGAGGATTTGGTTTGGAAGCATTAATTATACAATAACACGTGGCACTTGTTCTGATAATGTGAAACAACCCTCCGAAATAAGCTCTGAAGATCACTCAAAGAAAAGGAAGCATTCTTACGATTATTGTGTGTGAGTTTTTATGTGTTTGTTCTCACCCAGGATTGTGTATTATTACTGTCTCTGTGTCTGTCGTCCTGTCTCTCTGCTGTTACACCCACCACCTCACAGTTGCAGATTAGGCCGCTTAGCGCTCACTGCGGGGCGAGCTAATCACCAAGGAAAGCAAAGGGTGGGAGGGGAGGAGGGGGGCAAGAGAGAGGGAGAGAGAGCGAGGGAGAAAAGAAGGAGAGTGGCGCTCAACTGCCCCCCACTTCCCCATCCAACCATCCGACCCCCACCAATCCCACCCCCGTACTGCCCGCAGGGCACCGTCACGGTGACAGCGGTGTGACAGTAATCTTTCAGTGACACTTTTCTGTTTTTCTTTCTTTCTTCCTCTATTTTTTAATAGGGGGTTGAGAGGGGGAATTAAGGTGGGGTGGAGGGGGAGAGGGGGGACATTGTCAACCCCACCTCCACACTGAACACCCAACCACCCACCGTACCCAGAGGTGCTGTGACACTTAGACGATTGCCCCCAGAGAAGGCAACAACACGGCGGCACAATGCCGGCAATAGTAGAGCCAGCCAGCAGCTCAGAGATGCCTCATCTTCCTCGCCTCTAAAAATACTTTCACACAATGCATTTGATAAAAGGTTTATGCAATGATGCACAGAGTGCACGGCGATGTAAGCACCCAAGCTTCACCCCAAACTGCCAGTGAAAAATGAAAACGAGGCTGATTGAGTTGCAGAATGTGTCAGTGCAGACTCACAGTTTGACATATTTGGTGTCTTCATCAGAGTCAAAATGGACAAAGACGTACGGCAAACTCTGATGAAGACACAGTGTTATGAGCTTAATACATTTTCTGATCTGTTTGCTGTCAAAGGTGGTGAGCAAATTAGTGTGCTTAGACTACACCTGACCATGGTTGTTGGAAAACCTGCTATTATCGACCCTTGTGACTCGTAATGGGGGAAATCCAAATTCATAGCATGGAGGTTTTCGTTGAAGATTAAGAAAACAGTGTATCATCTGAGATCATATTATCGATGTAGGTATAAAATTATGAAAAATTGGTGAAACACATGGAAAAGAAAAGATGTGTGTTGTTTTGTGTTGGTACATTGTCAACAAATTCCTTTTAGTTCAGTCTTTGAATTCCCTATGAATTGTGTCCTCTCTCTTAAAATCGTAACAATTTGGTTTAAGGATAAAGATCCACTCGATGACTGAAATAAGAAGAGAGGACGAAATAATATAAAATCAACGACAATTAGAGAGCATGTCATTCAATCCCAGAGGAGTTCAATAAGGATTAAGCTTTCCAGACCCTACAGATAAGTTTGTTTTTGGTCTTCTGAGGGAATTGTTCTCATTCATAAAAATACAGAATATCTTCATCTCATTCTTTGAATATTAGAACAAATGTGGTGAATATCGGAGACCAGAGAGAAAAGAAAGAGCAGAGGTCACAGAAGAGCCCGACCTCTCGCCACACACGATGCTGAGTTATGATCCCCAAACCACCTGTTTATTGTAAGTTATTCCCTAAGCTTGTTTGAATTGGCGCACACATAAGAATTTATCTCCTTGTTGAGCACAATGAGGAGCAATGTGTCTACGCATGTGTCGGTAAGCAGAAGGTAGCACTCCAGACAAAAGGGAAAAGAGCCAGATTTAAGAGCATTGTCGCTTGGTGTGCGCCAAGCATCTCCATAAATCCTAATACACTGTCATTCCCAGTGGAACAAAAAAGAGAAAGGCAAAGAAAGGGAGGGAATGAATGCATTTTCTTCTTATCTATCTGTCTTTCACTCTCTTTCCCCAGTGAGGGAGACAGAAGGGAATAAATGGCTCCCCTCTCCTCTCCTCTCTCCTCGGTGTGGGCTGACAGCGCAGCAGATGGTGGTTTAAGCAGTGAATTTATGAGCGCCACAATCTTAATGTTGCAGAAAGAAAAGAAAAGGACTCGCATCAAACGCCACTGACAAATGCACTTGCTAATATTAATGCACTCCTCATTCATCCAATATGCTGCCTAATTGCTTTTCTGTACACAGTAATATGGCACCTGCTGCTCAAGTCCGGCGCTCCCGTCAGGAGAGGGGAGACCGAGGGGGGGGGTGGAGATGTAGAAGTAGAGAGAGATGTGGAAGAAAGTGTCTCTCTCTCACCCTCTCTCTTTTTCTTTCTGTCTTCCTCTCCCTCCTTTTCTCCTGTGATGGATGCAAGGCTGTGGATCATGCGCCAGACCTGTCAGTGTTCTCTAATTAAAATTTTATACTTACAGGCTCGGGGAGAAAAAAAAAAAAAGGTGGAAAGCACTCAGTAAACAATCAGTTATGAGAGGAGAGAGAAGGGAGAGGCCATCACACAAACACTCACAAGGTGCGACACGCCGAGGCAATCCAATTTTAAGTACAGCATCACACATTGAAAACATGCAGACTTTATTAGAGCCTAACAAGGCCGCCGTACCCGCAGATCAAGCCAGAATCCGAAGGGGCCTCAAAAAAGCAGCGAGACGCCCACCTTTGCTGCAGAAAAAGAGCTCTTTCATGAGCTTTGTGGACATGCCAAATGTAATAAAAGCTCAAAGAGCTGTTAGGCTGTATGGCTATGTCACCTTCAAAGTATCAGTGACTAAAGTGGTTTCACAGAGTTGTTGGACTGGGCTGCAATATGCCATAAATTTCCTACTGGTTTCTTTTATACCTATGTATGGCTTGCTCGTTGCGATGTCTTCATTAAACTTTAAAGAAAAAGCGTTGATCAAAACTCAATATGAAATAATCGATAGAGTGTGACTGTACATGTGTGATGCATTATTCAGAGCCGGTATCTTCTAGATTCACTCTATTCTGTTGTTGAAGCAGCGTTACCTGCATCAAAATGAGCTTTTTTTTTTCCAAGTATCAGCTATCTTCTGTTTTTACTTTTACACTATTATCCACTTTTAAACTCAGACACACGCAAACATCCATTTTCAAGCTTTATATCATGTTTGGGTCCATCTGGGGCCCATGTTAACCCCCTATAGTCCCACCATTATCTGCCCTCCAGCTGCTGTTAAATGCACTAAATTGTAAAATAATGAGTTTGTAAATTGCACGCAATTACGAATGCAAATTGAATAAATCCAGCAAACTATAGATTGTCCTTTCTCCTCACATCAACAGAGAATTGATGCACGTTTGATGGGGAGTAGCAGGTATTTCCTTGAGTGCTGGGATGAAAAACTGAAAATGCATTTTGTTTGTTTGAGGCGTCTGAGGCTGTGAAAAGATGAATTGTGATTTGATGGAGCAGAGTGTGCCACTTATGGAAGGTGCGGTGTGCAAAGCTGCCTGCTTGCTGAATGATCAATGCCAAGGAGGAGCGCAGTAAATTAAACCAACAGGAAAAGTGAGATCTGAGGATGCAAGTATGAACACAGGAAAAAGGAAAACACTCCTCAAAGGGTCAGTGGCCTTAAACCTCTGGCTGATAGGATGCAATGTGATATGGTAAAATTCAATATGGTTACAGTATGATACGATACAGTGCAATATGACAAGACCCAGAAGATACAGAGCAATCCAATACAACACAATGCGATATTATACGATATGACACGATATAATGCGATATGATAGACGTTGTCGATGTATTGGCGACTTTGTTATGTATGTCAATGCTGCACTTAACTGCCTTTAATTTACTGTGGATGGATAGAAAAGGAAAACCAACAATAATTCAGGCATAAACAGAGAAACCTATACCAAAAAAATCCTCAGTCATCATATTGCATATTACCCATAATGCACCAGATCTGCACTAAGCAGCATTTATTCAAGATAAGATAGGAGGATAAGAATATTATCACTAAGTCTTTAAATACATAATTGAAAATATGATCAGGGTGGGCACAAAATATATATTTTTTAAGTGGTTGAGTTGACATTTGGGAACTTGGTGGTTTTTAAGATGCTTTTCTGACTTCTTTCCAATCACATCTTTTTTTTTCCTGTGAAACACTGATCACTATGAATTTCATCATAAAAAATCCATGCGGCAAAAACATGCACACGGTATACCTGTGTTGTAGATATTTGGTGTTTCAAAATTTACAGGTGCATTGCTGTTTAATGAATACTCTTACTGTCCGAAAATAATGATGTATACGTACTGCGAAACATTGACAAATACCAGAGTTACTTTAGAATTTTTCTTACACGCCAAAGAAAATTATACAAAACGGATGATCATTGGAACATTAATCTATAGAAATAATGTCAAATAGTTAGCCATTATTATTATTATCAGCCATTATTTCTTTTTCACCTCTCCAGTAGCCTCACATAACCTTCAGTTTATACATCTGAAGATACTCAGAGAAGTTACCTGACTATGATTGATAAAAACCTTTTTTTCTATTGCAGATGACACTTAGACATCCCGGCTTAATTAACTTCTAAAATCTTTTTTAAATAATTGGTTTAAGTTTTACTTTAGCTGGAGAATAACTAGAATTATAAGCACAGTCTGAACTTTGTTGTATTTGGCATTCCTCTTCAGTAACCATGCAATCCTCTAATGATGTCACTTTTTTATAAATCTGTTCACTGTTTGCGAGCTGTCATGTATGATGTCTTTGTCATTTATGTGTGTTTAAGCTCTCAGTGTAAGGTCAAATTCCTTAAAAGGTTTTATTCATTCAGTCAGTCATGGATCCATGTTTTGGTTAAATCAGTTTTTGTCTTTCTTATTAGAAACATACTTTTCTTCATGTCTGTGCGGCTCCCCAAAACAACATCAAAATTAATGTGAAATATGATGAAAATGTAAGCTTTGACAGACCTCACATATTATTGCTTTCTTCAGGTGAAGACTGTTTTTTTTTAATTACCTTTATTATAACTATTGAATACCTCCTTCTCTTTGGACTCCACTTATTTGGGGCATTTTGCAGGTTGAGGATGAAGGTTGTTGGTAAAAGCTGCAGCAGAATGATTTATTAAAAATGTATAACATATATAGAGGTGCCACTTTTGGGTATTGAAAGGCATAACTAGTGCTCTTGTGTCTTTTTAGGGATGTCCGATGTGTACCTCTAAAATCTTTCTAACATTTCTCCTCTATCCCACCCCTGATAACACAAATAAAATGAATGATGCCCCAGCCCCACCAACTACCTGACACATACTGTCATGCAGCCAAAGAGTCACTCAAAATCAGTCATGTCAAGATTAAAAATGTCAGACTTCCTGCACACTGGACTGAATGCCACCTTCTTCTTCCAATCCCTGTGTTTGCAGGTTAAGGATGCAAATTGATGAGAAAGGATTTTGTTGACATGTGAAAGATATTTTATCACTACTTAAATATATATACAATACACAGAGATTCCACCTCAGGTTTTGGGCCCTGTGAAATTTTTAGATGAGTATTGACGGACATAACTGTTGTTGTAGTTTTTCAGGGCTTTTGTCAGTTATGGACTCTTACAGTCATCCTAGTTTCCCTCACCTGTGATGATAAAAATAAATCATTTATGCCCTGGCACCTTCTCTTCCTGACAAAGTCATGTCATAAATACAGTGCTAAGAGGTCAACCTCAAAACATTGTGATTTTAGACAAAAGCATAGCTCTAAAGTCGTTTACCTTCTTCCTCACCTCTCACAAATAGATGATATATCTGGAAAAGTTTGAGCAGATTTTCCTTTGAATAGTTTAATCCATGAATATTTTTTAACTATAGCAAACAGTGACATGCATTCATAAAATAAGAGTGGGTGTATTTTAGATATGAATCCCACACATCATTTTGTTTTTGAGTACCCAGTTGTTTTCCTCACTCTGGATTTTGTGATGTTTGCGTCTAGGCAGCTCTTACTTATCATCATAAATATGGGAAATCTTGTGACCTGACCCCACAAACCTTTTTGAGCATCATCCAATTGAATTTCCCTTCGGGGATCAATAAAGTTCTTCTTCTTCTCCTTCTCCAACCTGTTTGGCTCAAATTTCTCAAACATGAGATTTATTTTTTTGCATAATTTTGGCCATAAAGATCCCTGAAAAGATGACTTTTCGGGAGAAAGCTTTTGGCTCATTAAGTATTTCTATTTTTATTTCTATTGTTCTTCTCTGTTGGTTGCTTTTGCACAAAATCCTTATTGGTGTAAAACCTACTTGGCAATAAACCCAGTTCTGATTCTGAAATAGATTAATAAATAAATATCCTCATAATGAGGGCTGAATCCTATGGTAACAAATCCCTATGTGCCCCCTTCATATTTGTAAACCTCCCTATTACTCTATCTATCTAACCAGATATCTGATGGTGTAAACTTTCTTTACATAAACACTTCAAACGTTATGTCTTGGCACACACACTAACACACTCTCAATATTGTTTACTATACACACTATATATAATCTATATATTTTACATTGCATAGATAGCCCAAAGTGATCAAATGTGTATGAATTGGTTTCAAAGATATTAAAGATGATATTTTCTATCCAGTGTTTTGCATCTTGTATTTTTTGAATTTTTATTATTCTTCATATATAATTTATTATTAAAAAAAATAATTGAGCTCTTGTTCTTAGTAAGGCAGGTTCTTATTTTGAAAAATGTCTTCCCGTTATAATTAAATTTACATTACAGGATTATAATTTTAGCACATAATTTCAATGAAAGTTATTGGATGTTTTGCAGTTTGTGTCTTGAAGTAGTAATGTGTTATAATGCATGAAATTGTAACAAATATATGTAGCTATGCTTCTGTGCAATTGACACACTTACACACTGCATATCAGCACCATTATAGAGACCGTAATTATAAACTTGTTTATTTAAGTTTTTCTTTTATAAACTGTGATCCACTTGAACCTGATTTAAGCGCTCCTTTCTCAGCTAAAGTAAGATCAATTATTAATCTGAAAAACAGCTTTTGTAAGTCGTGATAATGAGGCAGCAGACGCTGAAACAGCCGACACACACAGTCAATCACACAGGATCCACTTTGAGCGTCTCTCACACACACACACACACACACCTGCTTTTACCTCTGCTTTCCCCCTGTGTGTCTGTGTATGTGGGCGGATGTTTTGCATGCATTTACCTTGTCCCTGTGTGTGTATCTTCCATATGTGTGCGTGTGTGTTTGTGTAGCGCGAGCTAACTCTTTTATGCGTGAAATGGAGAACACTATGCACCTGAAGGCACACGTCAACACGCCAAGAACAGGCATCATCAGCTCAGGACTTGACTCATATCCAGCTGTTCACGCACAAGCGCGCACACAAACACATATTCTCCAGTATCTCTGTGTGTATGAAAACAAAAACACATTTGATGTGAATAAAGTAATAAAAAATATCTTCTTTTTTTTTTCATTGCTTTTCCACCCACTCATTACAACTAACGCAATCATCTGTGATTTCCCCCGTGAGACAAATAACTGGCATTAGTTTAATTATTTCTAAGTCTAAACAGCACCATCATACATCCAGTTTTAATAAAGCATGTGTTCAAAGCTGCTGAAGTGACACCAAATTACTGAAATGATTCGAAAGAGTGTGATCATAGGAAAGGTTTTCTGCAAAGAAATTAAACAAAAACAGATTGAGGAGTATCAGAACTTGCACCCTGACTGTTTGTCCGTGTGGTAAAAATAAAACCATTCATCAAAGTCGTGTCATGTTTCCGCCGCCACACCTTTACACCCGCTGGCAATACCCAGGTCATCACAGCCCAGCGTGTTTTATAGTTTGTGTGTTTAAGGGAGAAGAGTAAATTAATCACCGGCACATTTGCAAGTCGTATAAAGACCACAGCGTCGCCATCATCATCATCATCATCATCTTCACTGGAAATATACTACCCACAATCCTTTTCCACAAGCCGACTAATTAGCCACAGAAAGGTCAAGTAAAGTCAGGCTGTGATTAGAGAGAGAAAGCAGAGAGAAAGGGAGTGAGTGAGAGGAGAGGGGGAGGATGGGAGGAAACGAGACAGACAAGAAGAAGAAGGAGAAGAAGAAGAAGAAGCTCACATACATCTAGTTTTGGACTCGTGCCAAAGCGTCTCGCTCTTTTTTTTTTTTTTTTTTTTTTTTAAACATGCCGTCCTCTCTCCATCTTCTTTTACACCACACCGCAGCCACTGAGAGCTTTTTCTACAAAACGTTGGCTTCAATTTTTAATGAAATGCTTATGTTGCTGCACCTGGACACATTTGCTAAGCTGGCCCATCAGGTAAGGGTTCCCAGGAGGGTCATTAAAAGCAGATCGGACCTGCCTGGGTGCCAGCAGTGATGCAAGGCCTCGAGAATCAAATGCAGAGAAGATGAGTTTTTTGTGCTTTAAGAGACAGTGTTTTTCTGCTTGTTAAAAATCGTTTTTACATCAAGTAATTCTTTTTACTTTTGGTTGTATTTTTTATTTTTGGTTGGTACTTGAGGTCAAATAAAAATTTGACAGCCTTCCTCCAAATCCACCCGAGTATGACAGAATACTCAGGTGGATTTATAAATATCCAAATCAAATTTAACACAAGATTTGATCTTAATGAATTGGGAAAGGTTTTAGTTTTTACCCCACCGACAGGAAGCTTGTAATTATTTTACTCTTAACTCACCACAGTCATGGATAAATGTGTCCCTAAGAGAGACAATCAAAGTCAAAGGTAAACAGCTCACATCTGATAAGTCTTTTAGAGCAATAGGACATATCTGGAGGATCTTTAGGGACACTGGGGATCCTACTGATCAGGAGACATCAAGATCTTTAAAAAGCCAACGCAAGACAAAAATGCCAAATTCTATTTCTATTGGAAAAACTCCTGTATGAAAATATAGACTACCATGAAACTGATCGAGAGAAATATAAACAATGTTTTGGGTAATTAGAAGAAAAGCACTAGCAGCCAGATTATAATGAAATGATTTATGATCTCTCTGTTCTTAAACAGCACCTCTCCTGTAAAGGAAGCTCTTCTGTGATGGTTGGAGATTTTTTTACTAATTGTAGAAACTCATTTTCTTCCAACGCATTACCTGTTGAACTGCGGGCACTGAGACTAAACTCATTAAACTTAAAGCTCATGTTTTGATGTACCAAATTTCTGACTTATTCCATCTCTCTCTCTCTCATCTTGTGCACCTACTTTCTGCTGAAAGTGTGCCGCTTCACAAGGAGGTGACCACCGTGACATTTATAATTACTGCCCGATTTCAAATATTAACTCTGTAGCTAAAAGTTTTATAAAAAGTTATTTTTAATTAACTTCTGTGCTATTTGACTGGCTTTAGTACTCCACAACCACGCCACTCTGGTCTCTGATCTAAATTGTCGACTACCACAGCTTCATGAGAAATAATGTGTTTAACACTTCTGAGAACACTGTCTCAGAACACTCACAGGAACAATCTTCCTTCACCTACCGAGACTTTAGATATTTACTCTGTGACAAACTTCATTTATTAATGTCTCAAAATAAGCTGAACTTTGCTTTAACTCATACTGTCACATACAGGCCTGTGTCCTATGCTGCATTCCTCAGAAGTCAGATGTCGGCGCTGGGAATGACGTCACACTCAAGTTACCAACATTTCCGTTACCAAGTCGGAAAAAAGTGAAATCAGAGGGAGAAAAAAAGATAGCTACAACTACGAAAGTTATGTTAGCGCTTGCCTTGTCCGATTATAAGCATGGACAAGGCATCTTTTTTCCGCCTCCGATTTTGCTTTTTTCTGACTCTGTAACTGAAACACTGGTAACTCGGGTGTGACGTCATTTTCAGCTCCAACATCCATCTGACTTCTGAGGTAACTCAAACGCAGCATTAGTCTCAGCTGTTTCAAAATGCTTATGTAATACAGAATGAGGTACCACAGGGCTCATCTTTAGGTCCTCTGCTTCTTTCCATATTTATTAAAGACATTCCCAGTTTCTTCTCCAACTGTTAGATTTGATTATTTGCTGATGATATGGACATTTGTATGTCTCGTAATAACAGATCTGTAACTGAAACTATCTTTAGAAAACATGTTTGACCTAGCTTTGAAGTTTGAAGGGGGTGCTTGTTCCCCAAGCACTTTACACCTCCTATTCAGAGACCAGAGTCCTTGCTGTAGTGGTCTCTAGTCCAACGCCCAGCCAATGACCCTTTGCTGCTTTTCTTCCTACACTCTCTTTTCTCCACATTTTTCCATTTTCCATGAATTAAGATTTTAAGAAGCAGTTTAAAAAAAAAAACTACTTTAACACTAAAAAGTCATGTACCATGCTGTTTGGGAAGGGATGACGCCTTGGCGACTCCCCAAACTTATCCACTTATTTCACTGATGGTTCACCCTTGAACATGTCACCTTTTTTAATTACCTCGGCCTCTGGATTTAACCTTCAAAACACACACCGATTTGACATTGAACCCCGCCTCAAAAACAGCATGGTTTATCTCAAGGGTCTATCTATTAATAAATTTGCAGCCACTTTCTTTTACGTGCATGAGTTTGCTATGTGTGCGTGTCAGATGCTGTACGAGTATATTTGTGGTTGTGTGTTTGTGTGGTTGACTGTCAAGTGAAAACACGCAGAAAGATGATGCAGGACCAGTGCTATTCCCTGTGAGGCTCATACAGTGGTCTTTGCCGCAGGCTTCTCCCCTGGCTCAATGTTGAGTCAAAACATCTCCTGTGGTACAAGAAGACAAAAAAAAAAAAAAAAAGCAGTAGCGGAGTGTGCTTTCCTGTCAACAGCAAAACACAGCAACGTGTTGGATGACAATGACACTGACACCACACTCACAACCTTTGGGAATACACCGGAGTGTAGAGCGTCACGGATCCAAATGATGTACAGTACATGTCATTCTGCAGACTCTCCTATGCTACGTACAGCATGCTGTGCCCCACACAAACACAACTCTTCCACACACATACAGAGGCAATGGCTGCACACTTGCCCCTCTACCTGGAATAGCCTGATCCCTGAGGGGAGTGGTGTTTTAAGACATTCAGACGCACTTCCCTCACACACACTTTCACTTGCACACACTCACACACACCCAGGGTAAGTGGACCTGCAGCCTAATGTGGTTTAATCACTCCCAGCACATCCATCAGCAAGCTCCAGTAGGGGAGTGGAGTATTTTATCACCACTTTTAAGGGTTATTAGTACAAATACACTGTCACCCTGCATTACCACTGCAGCGCTTTAGGGTGCCATGCCCTCACCACATTCATTACAATCTCTATCAATATCTATCAGAACTAAACGCTCGCTCGCTCACTGGCTCTCCCTCCCTCCACCTTCCCGCTCCTTCTCCAGCGTCCTCCCTTCACACGCTCGCTGCCATTAAAAGATGAAGACTGACTCCCTCCTCTTCCTCCTCCATCTCCCTTCACCTCCTTTGACACACAGCTCTAAAAGTTTCACTCCATTTATCGTCCGGCACTCTTCCGGCCCGAGCTGTCGGGCTGACTTGATGGAGTTTGGCGGCTGGCAAGGACACTGCCAGACGGTGACTGCGAGAGCCCAGTGGTCACTCCAAAAAAAAGAGGAAAAAAATTTAAATCTTGGATGTGATGACTTCTTTTTTTAGGCAGACTGAGCACATTATTCACACTGCACTCTTACCAGACGCTCAAAGGTGAGAGGATTAGGAGAGATTTTCCTCACGTCTTTTGGATGTGTAAAGTTACTTTGAGCAAAGAGACAATTTGCAGTCTCTGGCTCTGGGGGGTTATCAATCAAGCTTCATCTGACACCTTTGGAGTCCATTACTGACTGGTGGGACTAAAGTTTTGACAAATATGAAGAGATGTTCTCGATCAGGTCTTTTAGGGAATGATAATGAATTGAGCCTTTCTCAAATCCAAACTCCTGTAATTAGCTGTAACATATATCATTGGCATCTGTCATTTTGACCCTTTTCTAGGCCGTCCTTATCAGCTGTGTTCAGATTGGTCAAAACCCAATGACGACCATGATCAATTCTTTGATGCTGAAGCTAGGCCAGTGACAACATGATAACACACATCATATAGAATCAGTCTGCATAAAGAACTGCTGCACACTTCCCCTCAGTGTGTTGACGCTCAGCCCATTAACATGATGCTAAAACCTCTATTTGTTGCTATAACTATGCTTTTAAATTACATGTAAACAAGGTTGTCTGACTGAGATTTCACAGTAAAATTTCTCCAAGTCAGACCAAAATACTGAGATAATACTAGCATTAGATGGAATAATAGTATAATATTAATAATAGAATAATTTCCAATAGCACATTTGCATCATCCTCTGACAAGGACCATGTCACCATTATTATTTTTTTTTAAATCCATAAAAAAATATATTTAAATTGCTAAGATAACCATGAATATTTGATTTTAACAAATCAGAATTATAAATTTATCAATAAACTTACTGTTATTGTAATATAAAAGTTGGATTTTGGGTTATTTATTAATCACTGTACATGGGTCAACAGACATCCAAATTTCCTTTGTGGGAATATTTCATTATTTAGCAAACATTTATTCAGGTTTAGTGACTTTGTTTCGTGTTTACTGGTTTTATTACATTTTTTACCCCCCCCCTCCCTTTTTTTAGATGCGGAAAAAACAACAAATTTACAGGATTTGTTTCCTGTCACAACTGGTCTTTCTGAGCCTGTGACAGCTGCACCCCTAACAATTTTCCTACAAACCTGTTCTCTAGGGCAGCGTTCTGCTAACAGACCAATGCTATGGAATGTATAATGACCAATCAGCATCCAGTATTTACCACAGCTAGTTTGCTTTTCTTTTTTTGTATGACATCGGAACACTATTGACTTAAGATGTTGATGTCTCTTTAAGTTTGGTAACTTCCACTGGTAAGGTTACTCTCTCAAGTTAGTCACATAATAAACATATTGATATATGACTTAGCGTTTATCTCTACCAAAAGAATGGTGTCACAGTAAACCTGAAAACACTGTTTTAGTATAAATCAGTCTAATCTGAGCCGAAGTCAGATAAAACTGTGGCTGTTTCACAGTGTAAAACAGATTTTGAAGGTCTCTCTGGGTGTAACTTTTTAGTACCGCTTTCTTTGCCGATTTATTAGTAAACTCCTCCCAAAGTTAAACAGTTCTAACTACAAGCTAGTCCATTAAGCCCTGCACATACAAACAGAGACTATAGATGTATTAATAGTCACTATTTTTGAAATCACGGAGTCAGCCACCAATCTGTTTTGTTAACGCAGCCGTGTGTGATCAGGGAAGGCTGTCCCTCAGTAACTTTATACTGCAGATGCTGGGCTTTGAGTGGATCAAAGTTCATATTTAACATTTGATTTAAGAACCATGATGGCTTTTCATTGTTACAGAACTTTCCTGGACATTGCTGAAAAGCCAGATGTAAACACTGTCCAACTTAAAAATGACGTAATGAGTTTTCACACATGTTGCAGTCCAAGACAAAAAGTCAGTCAGACAGCTGAGTAAAAAGAAAAAGGCGCTTCAAAACTTTCTTTATCCATAGTTGATAAGCTGTTAGATTAACAAGCTTTAGCATTATAGTTCTGCGGGTAATGCAGATAAAAAAAAGTTAAGTCTTAAAAGTTGCAGCTATAGTTCTTCTCCTATTATTCAAGAGAATGTGTAGGCCAACTTTTGGCTCTTTCTCCAAGGTTTAGTCACTAAGTCTGTTATTCTACTTTAAAAGCGGCTCATGCGTCATACAAACATATGTGTAAGGTTATCCAAGATTCAATCTACCTTCTTTTATCTTGAAGTGTAAACATTGTAAGATTTTAATTTTTCTCCCCACCTACATCGTATTACAATACAGAGCTCGGAGTCCTGACACGGCGGCGTGGCAGCTGTTGGCCACAGATTCCTTGGCTGGGGAAGGTTATTTGGAGGTAAACCCACACAGCTTAGCTTGCTAAGTGGCAACAATTACCGCGCTTACACAGTGTTTACGTCTATGGCGCACACCTGGCACAATTGCGTCAGTGTGCATTATAAACCTACCTCTAAAAAATGCATACAATGCCGTAGCCAGCCCCCCCTCCTTGGAAAAAAAAGTGGGAGACTTGAAGTTTAAGGTTGATGTATAGCAGCCAGCTCCAAATTAAAAAGAGATTACAGAGAAATCCTGCTGCTGAAACAGTTTCAAAGCTCAAAGGTAATGAGATTTTAAAAAAATCGTAAGTGCATGCAAACTGTCTGCACATGTGTGCATCTGCATGTACATTCAGGCACGTACACAAAGAGACGTACAGATCATTTAATGACAACCTCCACCATCACATGAACTCCATATGTTGCATCTCTTATTTCCCGCCACGTACACACACACTGGAGAACACCAGCACTTCAGTCATGTTTTAAAGTTCCTCTTAAAACCCTCCATCTGATCAGGTGGCTGTTTATTCTCCTTTAATTATTTTCTCCATTTTTTCCAGGATAATGAAATAAAAATCTATACAGTGATTCCCAGAGCTCTCGTTATTCAGTTGCACATATTTTACAGTGAAATAAAACAGCAGCGTAATGAACGCTGGAATTTGACCCGATGCTGTTCAGGCCATTCAAAGGTCAGAGGAATTAATTTTGCCCACTGTTGCCGAGGAATGTTGTAGAAAGAAAGAAGAGCAGAGAGGTTATGAGTACAATGAGACATCATGAGTAACCTGGACCTTTAAAACTGCCTCTCTTTTTTACAACTGATGAGTTAGTTTCACATTTCCGACATGCATGTGCGCCGCGCTTCCTGCCATGTTAATGCTATAGATGTGAACTTGTAGCCTCGCGGTGTAGAAGTGTATGTTTTCGGTGCACTCAAAATTCAATTTACCTCTTAAAGCACGGTTAAGGATGTGTTTGTGTGTGCGCGTTTCTGTGTGTGTTTGTGAAGCACCTCGAGCACTGCTGTCATCCTTTCGAGAACAAAAGCACTCAGCGTTACAAGCCGGTCCAAGCCGAGTTCTGCCCTGTTATTTATGGAAAACGAGGAGTGTATGGATTAAACAGATGATGCCAAGACGAACAACAACAAAAAAAAAAAAAAAAAAGCGAAGCCATGATTCATTTCCCAAACCATGGAAAAGGGCCAAAGGACAAACAAATCAATGGCAGTTTGGATGATATCTGGCCCCAAGCATTGACAGGCCCTGCGGTGTTTGGCATGAATGTAAATGTGAAAAGTGCAGTTTTCTTTATGTGCACTGAAGCAGGCCAAAGCTACAATATATGCCATTTTGTCCTGATTAACGTAGCTCAATAACGTGCATTTGAAGCAGTCGTAGCCGTGGTAAAGCTTTCACCGGCTGCCGAGTGCTAAATACATATATTTCCCTCCTTTTTCAGCTGAACGGATTAAGCCGAAAAAAGTGATGCTGATGATTTTAGGAGACAACGGCTAGATCCATCAAATTAGAAAGCAGCCAAAACAATCAAATAATGCACTGGATAAATGATGTCATACTGTAAAATCTATGGCTTATTGTCTGGGCAGAGGGCCAATTCACATCGCTACACTGGTTATGCAAAGCAGCAGGAATGCTTCGAACGTGAGCTAGTCATCAATATACAGCAGCAGCAGCAGCCCGCTACTGTTATTCAATGTAAATTTGATATGTGTTTGTGTGCTCACGGCAGCCCCGTTAAAAGCCACATGTGAGGGAGGATGAGGAGGGAAGAGAGGAGAGGGGAGGGGAGGGGAGGAGAGGAAGAGCGGGAGAAGAGACGAGCCCTGGCTGGCTGCCACTCATCTGGGCACCTTCTCTAAGCAGGGCAGAAAATCAAACACGCCAGGAAAGAATTAAAGGAGAAAGAGAGGGAGAGAGGGAGAGAGAAAGAAAAATGATTTTTCTTATAAATAGCAGGGCTTGCCAGAAGGCAGAGGAAATGAGAGCAAGTGAGCGCTGTGGAAAAGAAGGGCTTGAGCTTGACACGGGGCTTAAAATTGAGAGGGGGCGGGAAGAAGGGACCTACTGCGCGAAAATGTCTCCAACCAAAGCAAGGATTAGTGTTCCAACCTCCTCCACCGCCAAGATCCGCCAGTACAACTAATCACCTTCACAGCTTCTCTCTCTCCCTCACTCTTCTCCTCTCTTCTCTGTCCTTTTTCACTCTTTTCACTCCCCTCTTCTCCCTCTTCTTCTTTTTTTTTTTTTTTTTTTGCCTCCACTCTCCTCTGCTCTTTAAAGTATCATTTCGCCCCTCTCAACGTCATTATGGCTAAAATTAAAGCAGAGTATGTTCTGCCAAGAACGATTAGCCGCCGCAGCCTAACTGGGCGCAGTAAGGTGCTCGGGGTTTTTTAGTCAATCTAACGCGGGTGGAGGTGGGGGGGGGGATGTGTTACAGGCGCAGCGGCACACTGCAAACTTCAAACAGCATCTACATATATGATGACAAGGGATGTCGCAGATAAAACCCCTCCACCCAACATCCTCTCTCCTGCTTTCTGTCTGTCAAATCTCCTCTGTCACTCCATCCTTTACTCTTTGACCACCCTCCCATCCCTCCTTACTTCCCTCCTTCTTTCCTTCCTTCCTTCCTTCCTTCCTTCCTTCCCCACCTGTCAGTCCCTCCTTTTCCTCTGTTTCTTCTTCCTCTCCGTCGCTGCCATCCATTTCCTCTCCCCAGACAGGGCTCCTCACAAAGATGGCGACGGCGACAAGAACGACGGTGCATAAACATAAACAAGTCAAATTGATCACACAGAAGATGAGCCAGGCGGCGGGGTTTTTTTTTTTTGTTGGGTTTGTGGTGGAGTGGAGGGGAGGGGGGGGCATAAAACAGACAGGAGCGATTAAGCTCCTTTTTCTCCCTCTTCTTTCTTTCTTTCTTTCCTTCCTTTCTCACATCTCTCTCTTTCTCCTCTTGGAGAAGGTGAGGGGGGGAACGGTTGCAGAACCATCCCAGAGAAAGAGCCACTTCATAAGCAGATGCCTGGCATACGATTGCAACCGGGGGAGTGTGTGAATTCATTCTCCTCCGCTATAAATACACGCCGCTTCTCTGTATAGGTGCAAGCGCAAAATGTAATTAGGCAGTGAGGCAGAAAAGCAAGCTGCCTTTCTCTCTGTTTGCATATTTTGTCCACAAATAATGTACTACAAAGGCGAAGAGAGGAGAAATCTGTCTTGAATATTCATTTACAAAATAACGGTTTGCTGATAAGGCCAAGGTATGTGATAATCAATTAGCTAAATGTTCTACAAAAACCTGGCAAGACGGAATCAAGGCGATAATAAATATGCACTAGCACACACTGTGCATGTTGGCGAAGCGAAATGACGACTTCAGCAGAAGTCTGCAGCGCTGAATATCCATACCGCATTAGCCTAGATAAAATATCACAATGGAGGGAAAAAGGGAGCGGGATGTGTTTTTCTAATGAGTTTGTTTGTTTCAAGTGTTCGCACAATAAGAAGGAGTTAATTCTACATACAGGGAGAATAAACGCACCTGCTGTTGTCTGTGTGGCGTGTGTGGAATTGGGAATGTTGGAGGAGACGAGGCCGATAGTGTGGACGGAGGAGAACGCTGCACCAAAAAACAAGGTGTGTGGATTTTTTGGAGGCCAGAGGAGTAACAGGAGGAGACCCGTTTGTTTTGTGCAGTGATGGTTACATGCTGAATGTTGACCTTATCGATTCTTATATTTTATTGCACATGTGTAAAAGCAACGTAACATCAATGCTCTGAGAGGGAAAGTCAGCACTAACTCACATCGAACTTTACTGATAAAAAAATGAGCAGGAGGAGCAAAAAGGGGGAAAGCGTAAGAGCTTGTCAAGTGAGAGGTAGGGGAGAATTCAACAACAAAAGATGTAACTTCTGACAAACACAAGAGTGTAAACAGAGAGAAGAACGGAGCGAAAAACGTGATACAAGGGCGAATAAATATGATAACGTATGGTTCATGGTCAGAATTAGACGCAATGACTCTGCATTACTTTTTTGACTCAGCAGAAACTGGATGATGACTTGTTTTTGAAGCTAGTGCAGTTTCTACTATGACTTGGTAGACTGTTCCAGCAGTGAGTTTTTCTGAATCTGGTGGAAAACTGAGAAAAAGTCTTCCTGAAAAAAAAAGCCTTGGATGAAGTTTTTTGGCTGATCTTGTCCAATAAGGATGAACTAGAGTACATTTTGAAAGAATCATGAGTAAGCGGTGAGTAAATTCAATGACAAAAAGAAAAAAAATGCAAACGGTGCGGATGAAAGCTGGGGATGATTTGTAACTGGAATAAGAACTACGGCACTTAATAATGAACACTTTCTGCAGGGAGACATACCAAAGAGGTGATCTTTGCAGGTGCTAGTCTAAACAATATTACAGTCAGGGATAGTGTAATAGATCATCGTATCAGACAGATTTAAGCTGTAAATAAGTAACAGATGCCTTAAACTTCGGATGACTCCTTTATCCCTTACCGTTTTACTAACACTTTTGCAATTTTTACAGGTGAACTTCTCATCAGTGAGAACTCTGAGAAATGCTGAAACACTTTTTATATTATTAGTTATCTGTATTTTAGGATGGTAATTTTTTGCTCAATGGCCTCTATAGGTGTAAATATCATTATGCACTTTTATTTAAATAATATTTTGTTTTCTTTAAACCAAGTTTATATTGTGGCCTGGTCTATAGGCGATAACTTAGTTATTAGTCATTACTAATTAATTAATCTTTGATTAATTGTTTAAAAATGATTTTTGTTCTTACTTTTTATTTTTTGTAGCTTTATATGATTAAAAAAATTCTTAACAAAGTAACCAAGAGTTTCACAAAAAACCTGCATCAAACAAAACATTCAGATGGACAATAATTATATGGGTATAAAAGTCTGTCCAAAAGCAAAGAAAGTTTTAAGAACTGGTGTGAAAGTGGAGTCAGACTTTCTTTATTTTTATTGCACAAGGACAACAAAACTGAGGTCAAAGCTCCTCAAAGCTCTTCTTTTAAATGATCAAGAGTCAAAATCTCAGAGATCTCAGAGAAAACTGTATTCACAGAGCACTAAGAGGAGTAGCTTTATTTTTAAATGCAAAAAGCAGTGAGCATAGAAAGTTTGGTATCTCTGTTTAGGAGGTGACATAAAAAGTCTTTATTTCACCAGAGATAAATCTGTAATGAGATTAAAAACTGTCTTTTAGGGGCCTTAACTTGAGTGCAGAGAGCATACTGTTGCAGAAAAGTCACACATAACCAAAACTAACACAGTTTTCAACCAATATAATCAAGTGGATGCAGTTTGCAAGGATGCAATACAAGTGGTTGGATGTGTTGGATTCTTACCAACGGGTTAGAAAAAAAAATTAAATACAAGCAATCAGCAAGACCAAAAACACTTTCTCTTTATTCTTTAAACGACTTAAATCCCTGAAAATAATCAGTGTATCTCCAATTAACCGAGGATTTGAAAAAACAGTTCTTGATACACTGTTTGATTATCAAATCAATAGTTCCACCCACACAGTCAGGTCTTTCTAAATGCATACATGCAACTCACTTCCTTCTGAATCCTTCGACCTTAATTGTGCAGCATGTCCAATGTAATTGAATTGTTCTGCAGGCAGAGCTGCAGCATTATGCATTATAGTTATTACTGCACTGTTTTCTATGCATGTAAAACCAATTACAACACATGTAATTAGGCCGTGTGTCTATTAATAACTCCTAACAAATACTGGTGTTAGATATAAGCAGTCGCTTTTAATAAGAAGTAGAAATGTCACAATTAAAGCTCTCCTGCTTCTCCTCCAGGCCCTGTGAACCTTTCATGAGCAGGACACATCGTCCTCTACTGGCCGCAGAGAGAATTACAGCTGACCCTGCCTCCTGCAGACGACCTGGCAGGGAACAAAGAGGCAGCGCTGTGCCAAAGAGGCCTATCGCGCTCTGCTCCAGAGGGGAGGAAGAGAGGGGAAGGTTTCCAGTGAGGGGGAGGACAGGGTGAAGGGGAGGATCCAGCATGCTGGGGCATTGCAGCGGTCGACTCCGAGCTGAACGGGGGCAAAGTGTTTCAGCGTGTGGAGTGAGTACGATAGGGAAGGATGGTGCTAGAAGTTGGTACTGAGGGGTGGGCTGGTAAGACATCTGTCATCCTGCCATCAGTGCTGTCACATCAGAGGACAAATGGGCTGCTGGGTTTTTACAGCCCAAAAGCACGGGATGGCAAAAGGTATCAGTTAGCATGTGATCTCTTCCTGCTCTTTTGTGCCGTTTTCAATAAGCGTCGGCCACTGTGCTCCTCCTCATCAAAGGGCGAGAGAAAAGGCTGAAAAATGGTTACAAAGTGAGGGCAAACGAATATCTGTCAAATCCGAACGAAAACTCCGGATCAGCTCAGCATCATGGAGCTGTTCTGCATGCGAGCGTCCTTGGCTGAGGCCCAAAGCCACGTTCAGGGGGTCTGGAAGTCCCGCTTCCGAGCGAGGACGAAGAGTGAGTGAAGGGAGAGTGGCATATTTAATTTCCCCCTCCTCTACCCCATCACGCCGCCATCCCCCCTTTTGTTTTTTTGCCGGCGCCGCAGCACCGAGGCAAGGTCTTCCATAATGACACCTTGACTGTGAAGAACTTCATCCACTCCGCCGCGCTATCTGGCGCCCGCGTGACAAGACGGCTGGCTTTGTTGCCAGGAGAGTGGAAGAGAGCTTTGAACTGCAGACTGACAGCGCAGGGGAAGCCGTTCCAGGCGTAAATGTAAATTACTATTACTTACACGTTTAACCCAGCACCTACAAAACCCCCAACACACACACACACACACACACACACACACCTCACCCCATCCTCTTCCCAGTTCACTGACTTGCACTGGGCTAGGGAAGGAGGCAGTGGTAGTAGTGGGAGAGGTGGAGGTGGTGTGGCGATGTGTGTGTGTGTGGGGGGGGGGGGGACAATTTTGACATCATGTTGCCCTCTTTTGGTGGGTGACTGCAACTGCACCTCTCACCTCAAAGGCAACAGCTCAGCCTGTCTTCCTCAACTGTCTTCCTTCAACAAAAACCTTCATCTTCACGTGTGAATAATAAAAAGGGAACAGAAACCTACTTAAAGCAAAAGGTAGATAAAATATAGACAGAGTTTCTCAAGGGCAAGATAAATATAAAATCTATTAAATTAAGAAACAAACTCGGTGAAGTGTTTTTCCTCCTGACTTTACATTCATAAACACAACCACATCTAAAGACCCACGTTTTCCACGGCCTCGCTGTGAATCACTCATTCAAAAGCTGAAAGCTATAAGCTTGTATGACATTTGTACTGCTGGATTTATATTTGTCCTCACTATTTCACACATCTCAGCCTGTTTCTTTTTACCATCTTTTCATTTCACCTCCTACTTAACCAAAATGAAAGACTCAACACACATTTAAACGTCTGTCATAAAGTCGAAATGGAAGCTTCAAAAGGACTAAAACCAACACAGATAAAAGAAGAAGAGCCAGTGAAGAGGCTACAGCGGACTCAAGTTCAAGTGTCACATGGTTGTTCTACATATTCAAAGAGTAAAAGTCACCTTTCAATTGATAGTATAAGAAATCATTGTGTGAAATTACAAAAAAACGGTCTCATGTGAAGTATAAATCTGAAGTGTCCTCCGTGCATGACTGAGGATTTTGACTGAGAAAAATGACGTGTCAGATTTGAGCTGTTTAATTCATGTGTGATTGGCTTTCTGTCAGCTGTGGATGAATGTTTTGGGAAGAAAAGAGAAAAAACATCAGAATAAATCATATTAAATCAGCGGCGTCTTTACGCTTGCTTTCTGCATTTTTGCATTTGATTTGTTGTCTTTCTCACATGTGAGCGAAAATGTAACATTTTAAATCAAAGTAACGTCTCATGTAAAATGGGTATTTTCCTGAGTGATTGCCTTTCTTTACATACGAATAGAAACAATATTAAAATGGCATTTTTTAAAGAGTGAATCATATACTGACACTTTTCATTTCTGTGTGATTTAAAGTGTAAAAGGACTTCCAGATGTGGAGGGAAACGTTGCACATGAGGGAACTTGAAGTTTGCTGTTCTAGGATGGAGTTTGCATAAAGGTCGTAAAAGAGAGGATGAAAAAACTATCTGTGCATTTTTAAAACTAAGTGGGTATGTTTGTATATAATGTTAAATTTGTAGACCTTTGAATTTACACTTTGGACTAAAAGACACATTTGATTGTGACTGATACTGTGAATGGAGGCAAATGTACACACTGGTGAATCACAGGAGCAAGTTTTTACTATATGAGCATTGTGTCCTTACCGTGGCATCAGGAGGTCTGACTTATCTATAAATTGATAATCACCTTAATGTGAAATGCCTAAGTCACAAGGTGATGTATTCATGAGGAGCAAATCACTGCGATCCAAAAAATAAACCTCTTGAATTTGCTGCGTTGTCTTGGCTTTGTCACACATTTTTAATGAAAAAGAAATGTCCGTCCTGTCCTGATTCTCTTCATATGACTCTGAAGGATAAAAAAAAACAAAAAAGAAGGTAGTGTAAATTTGGAGGGAGACAGCGGTGAATAAATCAGAACTTTAAAAACCAATCAGAACCAGGACGAAGCAGCTTCAGAGGTTTACCTGTGAGGGATGTTATTAGCAGACAGGTGGAATCAGACACTGAACCGGAGCTTAATCACTGGCCACAGATTGGATTTGAAGTAAAATGACACTGAGATCGCGGATCGTGGATTGAGCCTCGTGTTCTGCTGTTGATCTTATTTTGCCACTCCACTCGCAGAGCTGAGCTCACTGGCAGCGCCTGTCGTCAGGCAAAGCTCCAAGCCATTTCCCTGAGATGCATCTCCACTGAATCAATAGGGCTCTCGCAGCATATCATTAGACATAAGTATTATAATTACTTGTGTTATTAATTTTGCCTTAATACCAGGGATAACATGATATGTAATTCAACCCTGTTGAGGGAAGAGAAAATAAGATAATCACAAATGCATCTCTTATGAAAATCAATGTTGAAATGGATATTCCAATAATGCCAAACCACTGCCCCTCTGTTTTTTTCCTCATGCATATCAACCAATCATTTTCCGCATTCATCTGGAAAAAATATATAAATATGTCCGACATATTTCACATGGGCGCCCCTGTCCGAGGCAAAACAATATGGATTTGTGTTGCCTCGCAAACAATTTTAATAAAAAGCTATTGATTGGGGATCGAGCGGCTAGCCTGTGGGCGCGGAGCACCAGACCCCAGTGGGTCCAGATCATTAATGTCCTCAACTGCTGGCTTCACTGGCGCAAATTTGTTCAATAAGGGTCTGGCACGCATGCTTCAGGGTTTGATTTTGATACAGGCGCGTCAAAGTGTTTGTGGCCGCTCCACAGGCCGCAAACTGAAGACACGATCAGTCACGACGTGACGGGAGCATGTGTTTTCATCCGCACACGTATTACTATAAAGTCTATTTGATAATCAGAGCTGATGCATAGGATTTCGGCAAAGTGGAGAAATGATTAATGAATTTGAATGCGAACTACTCCCACTCAGCCTGAGCACTCACAGCAAACATCACACAGAGACTGAACAGGTCTATTCAGAAGAGTATGTGTAGTTAAAAGAGACACAGCCACAACCTAAAGCATACCATGTCTGCTTTCTGTCTCTCACACACACACACACACACACATATTCACACACTGCACAGCTTGTCATCCAGACATCCTCCTGACAGAAGGAAAAAAGAGCAAAACACACTCCTCTTCTTTATGTCACCAAAATTTGTGCGGCCATAATATCTACATCCAGGCAAAAACACGCTCACATATACTTTTTTTGAGCAGGTATCAAAGCCTTGGCGCAGCGAGACAGTTTTAATTACCAGGTACTTTCCTTATGCTTATGATTTCAATTTCTCCCCGCAAAGCTGGTAATGATATTCAAAACGCCTGCTGGCAACTCCGACTCCTTATTCTCCCCTGTCTTTCCTTCCCACTAAGATGTGAATACCCCAGTTTATAGGCTTATTTGTCCTCCAGTCACTTTGTAAAATCTTTATTCGGCCGAAGATACCTTTTTAAATGCGAGCCTCGCTGGAAGGAATGGCAATAAAGGTTTTGGGGAGGGTGGGAAGAGAGATCAATGCAGAATGTATTAGCCGGCACTACCGAGACCGACTCCAATAATAAAAGCATTGATCCTTTAAAGTGAAGCTTATTCTGGGTTCGGCGTGGTGAAGGGAGGATGGTCCATTCCAATACCGCACCGACCAGATGGAGAATCACAGCAGGCAGTTTCACCCCCCCCCCTCACTCACTCCCTCCTCCCCCCTAAATATTCACATTATATTTCAAACCCGTATTAGATTCAGCCGCACAATTACTGAGGGATTCTTGTTCGAAAAGCATGCATTATGGAGGAGCATGTCCAATAATACAGCATATGGAATAACATATTCAATTGGCACTACTTAGGCGGTGCCAAGTACAAAAGAGGGTGAGAAGATGAGAACAGAAGGACATATTTGGGAGAGGATAATGTTAAATGAGGTGGTAGACTTTTTGGTGCATGTAAGCTATTACAGGAGGACATTGAATTCACTATTTTTCAGATGATAGTACAATTCAGGGAACAGACATCTGTGCGCGAGACTCTTGTTTTATGTTATTTCTCTCTAATTTTCCATGAAACGTCTTGTGTTCAAAATATGAGCGGCTAATATTTCCATTAGTCACCGGACACATCAGATCCCAGCAGTGTCTCTGTACACAGCCGTCGGTAGTAAAGCGCCAGCAGTAATCAAGCGTGAGGGCTGGATATATAACAAGCACACTTCACAGTATGCCTAACAAGCACACTTCACACACTAATCAGCTCGAGTGGACTTTGCTTTGCATCCACAGCCTGGCGTTTAGTGTCTGCCTCACAGAGACCAGCCCTGGATTAGATTATGAAATTATCAGGATAGTATCAGCAGACTTAAAAGTGAGTCCGTCCAAGGTAATTGGAATAGGAAAAGTGTACATGGGTTGTATCTGATGTCATTAATAAAGATTCCAATGCAAAGTGAGCGAGCAAAAACTCCATCTTTCAAGGCTCTTCTTTCCCACACGGGGCTGCCGAATCCAAATTACAAACACTTTTATACACACGACACTGTGAATGAAATGCAGGACTATAAGTAATCAGACTCAACAATAAGTCTGCACCTCACCAGCACTTTTATCCACATCTGGTAAAATATGAAGCTTTTCTGTTCATCATTAATGTATGAAATGTCCAAAAGAAGAAAACAAGGTGTAGGGAAATGGAAGTCGCAATTTGATGTCAAACTGCTTCAAAACCTGAATATGTTCAGTGTAATAATTTAAAAAAACAAAGTTGCAGAAGATTTCAACATGTCTATCTGTCATTTAATCTATTCAGAGTGTCAGCTCTGTGGTCTGAAGTTTGTAAAACTTGCGCTGAACATATCAATATCATATATTTTAAAGTTATTAGGTACGCTGCAAGATTTGAATCCCTTCTAAAGGTGTGTCGAAAACTGTTGTCTTGTGTAGTTTTTGGAGCCACGTTCATGTGACATTTGAGTCAAAGTTGCATTAATTATTAAGTTTTTTGCAGTATAAATTAAACGACACATTAACCAGCACAATCTATAATAGTACAATAATGACGGAAGTACAACTACACATACAAACACACACACTATAACCCACACAGTGACCCCCAACTCCACCTAGTGCCTCCTCCACCCTTTGAGGGACAGGGTGGGCCAGGGTAGGGGGACGGAAATCCGCCTCCTGTAATCCCATCAACTCATGTCAGACAGCAGTGTGGATACAAGCCTATCAGAGAGGCCTGTAATCCACAGCT